ATACATATATATCTATTTATCTACCTATCTATCTATCTCTCTATCTATATACTTATCTATCTATCTATCTATCGATCTATCTATCTTTCTATCGATCTATCTATCTGTCTAGCCATCTATCTATCTCTCTATCTCTCTATCTATCTATCTATCTCTCTCTCTCTTTCATCTGTCTATCTGTCTACCTGTCTATCTGTCTATCTGTCTTTCTATCTACCTTTCTATCTACCTATCTATCTATCTATCAATCTATCTAGCCATCTATCTATCTATCTATCTGTCTGTCTATCTATCTACCTATCTATCTATCTGTCTATCTTTCTATCTATCTATCTCTCTATCTCTCCACCCATCTATCGCTCAAAACTCTCTCTATCTATCTATTTATCTATCTATCTATCTGTCTGTCTATCTATCTATCTATCTATCTCTCTCTCTCTCTTTCATCTATCTATCTGTCTACCTGGCTATCTGTCTGTCTATCTATCTATCTATCTGTCTGTCTGTCTATCTGTCTATCTGTCTATCTGTCTATCTGTCTATCTGTCTATCTGTGTATCTGTCTATCTGTCTACCTGTCTACCTGTCTATTTGTGTTGCAGTGTCATTCAGTGCAATGTAGAGTAGTGAAATGTAGTGTGGTGTAGTGGAGTGTATCATGTCATCATGTCGCCGTCGGATATGTTTGGATCAAAGCATTTCGCCACTGGGTGTGCCACGATGAACAAAAACGTTAACATCATGCTGACCCCTATTCATATCATTCGCATGGCACCTATCTCACTAGAATTTACCAAAGAACATAAAACATCATTTTTTCGGGGTTGCGCTTCATCTCGCCTCGATGAAGCACAACCAAGTGCTTGGGAGCACAGCCAAAGTCATTTATCGCACAAAAATGAGCTTGGTTGCGCCCCCAAACGCTGGGTTGCGCTTCATCTCCCCTCGATGAAGCACAACCTTGGAAAATGATATTTTTTTATCTTCTTTGGTAAATTTATGTCTTCCAGACCATAGATTATTTTGCCTGTCGAAAAACTTGAAAGAAAGCGTGAAAAAAAAAGGTAACTCTTGTTTCATTTTTCCCTTTGAGCCTCTCCGTGTTTTTCCTTTCTTTTTTCTCCTTTTATTCTGCTTTTGTGTTTTTTAGATTTTGCTGCTTTGCTTTTTCGCTTTTCCGACGTTGATACTTTTTTCGCTTTTTTCGCGTTTTTCGCGAAGTTAGAATATGCTACGGTCTGGATGACATAAATTTACCAAAGAAGATTAAAAAAATATCATTTTCCAAGGTTGTGCTTCATCGAGGCGAGATGAAGCGCAACCCAGCGTTTGGGGGCGCAACCAAGCTCATGTTTGTGCGATAAATGACTTTGGTTGTGCTCCCAAGCACTTGGTTGTGCTTCATCGAGGCGAGATAAAGCGCAACCCCGAAAAAATGATGTTTTCTGTTCTTTGGTAAATTCTAGTGAGATAGGTGCCATACGAATGATAGTAGTAGTAGTCGTAGTCGTAGTCGTAGTCGTCGTCGTCGTCGTCGTCGTCGTCGTAGTAGTAGTAGTAGTAGTAGTAAAAGTAGTAGTAGTAGTAGTAAAAGTAGTAGTAGTAGTAGTAGTAGTAGTAGTAGTAGTAGTACTACGGCCAGGACGGATGTGCTGCCCGGGAAAGTGCGTTTTGACTGCGCAGGGCCAATGTTTTGTGAGATTCCCCGTGTCGTTCGTTTGGGCAAACGGATGACGAATTTTTCCCTCATTTCATCACATCATCATCATCATCAGCATCATCAGCAACAACATCATCATCATCAACATCATCAACATCCCAATTGACTGTAAAGTTTAACGGGGGTGGGAGTTTACTACTCCCTAATACCCTTGTTGATCTTCCCAATTGAATGCAAAGTTTAACGGGGATGGGAGTTTAATATTCCCTAATACCCTTGTTGATCTTCCCAATTGAATGTAAAGTTTAACGGGGGTGGGAGTTTAATATACCCTAATACATTTGTTGATCTTCCCAATTGAATGCAAAGTTTAACGGGGGTGGGAGTTTAATATTCCCAATGTAAAGTTTAACCGGGGTGGGAGTTTAATATTCCCTAATACCCTTGTTAGTGGGAGAACCTCCACAGAGTCAACCCCTAACTTGGTTGACCCTCTGGAGGCCCCTCCACCGGGTCCAAGTATTCGGAGTTCGGAACGTACTTGTACAGAACAAAAAACGATACTTTATGTATACTTAGTAGAAATCACAAGGTCAACAACTAACCAAAAACATTAGTTTCTGTGGACCCGGTTGGACTTTATGTAAACTTGCTAGAAATCACAAAGTCAACAACTAACCAAAAACAATAGTTTCTGTGGACACGGTGGGAGAGCCTCCACAGAGTCAACCCCTCACTTGGTTGACCCTCTGGAGGCCCCTCCACCGGGCCCACCTATTCGGAGTTCGGAACGTAATTGTACAGAACAAAAAACGATATTTTATGTATACTTAGTAGAAATCACAAGGTCAACAACTAACCAAAAACATTAGTTTCTGTGGACCCGGTTGGACTTTATGTAAACTTGCTAGAAATCACAAAGGCAACAACTAACCAAAAACAATAGTTTCTGTGGACCCGGTGGGAGAGCCTCCACAGAGTCAACCCCTCACTTGGTTGACCCTTTGGAGGCCCCTCCACCGGGTCCACGTATTCGGAGTTCGGAACGTCATTGTACAGAACAAAAAACGATACTTTATGTAGTCGTGGCGGAAGCGCCTCCACAGCGTCAACAACTAGCTCAGTCGACTCCCTGGAGGCCCGTCCAACGAGTCCGCGTGCTGACAACACGGTATACCTACAAGAATAACGATTCACCAACAACAAGCACACAAACATTCCAGCTGCTTGGGTGAGCTTTTCAAACTCCAAAAGTTTCTTTCCAACCGATTCTTGTCCAAAATGCCTACCTTGTACATCTAACGTTAGAAATCGGCAAACTCTTCAACGCAATTTCCACGAAGTCATGAATCCGCTTGTTGATCTTCGCAATTGAATGTAAAGTTTAACCGGGGTGGGAGTTTAATATTCCCTAATACCCTTGTTGATCTTCCCAATTGAATGCAAAGTTTAACGGGGGTGGGAGTTTAATATTCCCTAATACCCTTGTTGATCTTCCCAATTCAATGTAAAGTTTAACAGGGGTGGGAGTTTAATATTCCCTAATACCCTTGTTGATCTTCCCAATTGAATGTAAAGTGTAACGGGCCTGGGCGTAGTAGTAGTAGTAGTAGTAGTAGTAGTAGTAGTAGTAGTAGTAGTAGTAGTAGTAGTAGTAGTAGTAGTAGTAGTAGTAGTAGTAGTAGTAGTGGTAGTAGTAGTAGTAGTGGTAGTGGTAGTGGTAGTGGTAGTGGTAGTGGTAGTGGTAGTGGTAGTGGTAGTGGTAGTGGTAGTGGTAGTGGTAGTGGTAGTGGTAGTGGTAGTAGTAGTAGTAGTAGTAGTGGTAGTAGTAGTAGTAGTAGTAGTAGCCGTCGTAGTAGTAGTAGTAGTAGTAGTAGTAGCAGTAGCAGTAGTAGTAGTCGTCGTCGTAGTAGTAGTAGCCGTCGTAGTAGTAGTAGTAGTAGTAGTAGTAGTAGTAGTCGTAGTAGTAGTAGTCGTCGTCGTCGTCATAGTAGTAGTAGTAGTCGTAGTAGTAGTAGTAGTAGTAGTAGTAGTAGTCGTCGTCGTCGTCGTCGGCGTGCTTGCGTTACAAACAGTCGCACCTTCTCTTGCCTCTCCCTCCTGTCTTTTCCCCCCCTACCTTTCGTCCCCCCCCCTCAAGTTTATCTATATTTTACTTTTCAATGTGGTGATCAATGGTGATTTCATGATGATTTAGCCATTAAGAATGGGGATTTAACCAACGAAACATGGTGGTATTGGTTTACAGCTCTAGCCAATCAGCAGCATAGCTTCTGCGAGGCCCAGATTCTCTGATGAAGAGATGATTCAGCGAGCGTTGGTGCTGGAGAATTTGCACCTTGGCATTTCAAGGGACGTGAAGGGTAGATGGCTATGGATCAATACCTATGAAAATACCATTTTTAGTGGGATGAACATCCGTTTTAACCCAGCTATTTTGATGTGAACTACAGGGGTGCCAGACACCCTGACCCATCCCCATATGATCAATATTGGAAGTGGGATGGAACGAAACACATTGTTCAAGACTCCGGGCGCCTATGTTTCTTTTTTGAGATGTTTTTGTCCCTAAAACTTCAGAAAGTGTCTGGAGTTGTTTCGGGGATGCAAATGTCATTGGAAGCTGCCAAGGTCGCTTAGCTGTACTGGCCAGGACTGATTGTTGAGGGTCACTGATGAGGTGGAAGAAGCAGAAACCTTGTACTTTTTGCAGAGATGTCAGTTTTCTGAGCCAGCAAAACGGAGAAGGTTGCCATTGTGCCAACAGCGCCTAAAAACACATACATAATATGCGAGGCAAGTGTTCCCATAGCGCATGTATTCAGCATTACAGAAACAGATTTCCTTCGAAGGAGCTCATTGAGTTCTTCAATGGTGCCATTTTGGCGGTGACTGGCAATGCAGTGCATCAAGTGCATCGCCCCAGAGCTGGATTTTCGCTGCGCAGACAGACATGACCATTGCTTGGAGCAGTTGTTGGTGCGTGATTCGTGATACGGTTTTGCTGGGTTTTACATACTTCCAGGCTAATTAAGATATATATATATAGTAGCTACTATAGTGCCATCATGTTCCATCATGTAATATTCTGGCCAATGAGAATACCCTCTGGTAATTTAACATAGCTATTGAAAATGGCTATTTATAGTTGATTTACCCATTAAAAATGGTGATTTTCCATAGTTTTTTGTATGTTTACCAGAGGGTATCCACTAACATTTATGCAACTTCAGGAAACATGGCTGTTTTGTTCCTGGCCTCACAGCACTGGATGCGATCTGCTGAGGCGGCGAACCGCAACATGTCCCCCGTCTTCGCGTGCACCATCACGGAGGAAGACCGTGCGAGTAGCAAAAGGACTGGGACACCAGCCGGGGCATCGGTGAACAGAATGTTTTTCGGAAGAGCTGCATTGAGTTTGGTCTTCCAAGGTCTATGGTAGATTATGGAGGATTATGGAGGATTATGGATGATTATGGTAGGTGGGGCTAAGAGAATTCTTCGAATCCCAAGCAACGACTCGAGACTCACCGATCCCATGGGGCCATGGGGCCCATCGTGGTTCAATGGGTGGTCTTCCGTCAGGAAGACGGCGGAGCTGAAGTTCCGCACTCCAGATGGTGCCTCTGTGGGCATGAAACTCAATGGCATTGAGTACAAAGGCCACAAGGCTGGCGATTGAGTCTTGGATCGCTATAGAACCTGCTTAAGTAGCCAGGGTTTTGTCCCAAGTACTGTACCTTGAAATTTGATGGTTTGGAACCTCATTCCAAGATTATCATAAACATGGCATCAAATTGCAATTTGGGGTATACCATCTTTATTTTTTGGACAAACCGACATGAAGCTGATGTCAACATATGTCAACCTGCTGCTGCGCACAGTCTCCACACTCTCCTGTGATGGCCTGCGCAGGTCACGGTCAAGAGACCTGACGCCTTCACCAAGCCTGCTGATGGCCAGGACCAAATGGCTGTGTTCTTCGAAGTTTTTTCAAGAATAGCCATACAAAAGTAAAGGTGGATGGTGTGCTGCCCACTGGGTTCTGTTTGATGTTAGATAAATTAGATACAATTTGATAATTTGATGCCTTCTGGTTCTGTTGTGACATGTCCCATACACTGAAGCCGGCTGGTCACGAAACTTCTCAGGACCCTTCTGTGAGGATTAACCTCCATGAAATGCCGGGAGCTCAACTGGAAAGCTGGCTGTTGGTTCAATGGTTGGATTCCTTGTGGGTTTGATCATGTTCATGATGTTAAGATATAGGATTGGGTCAACCCGAAGGTCTTGAGCCCTGAAATTCTTCAGTTGTCAAATTGTGATGGATGGGCGTTTTTTGAAGATTGGTAGACTTTTGATGACTTTGTTGTTGCGTTTACACAGCCACATGTGGCCACAGTTGTAAAGGTCCATGGCCAAGATGATCGGCGGAGCTACTGACTCCAGAGGTATGCCTATGCCGCAGGTGCAGCATTTTCCACTTTGCCGTGCTCAGGGAAAATTCCGGGTGGTTGATGGGAATGACAGTATTCAACCTATTGGGTGGTGAATGCAATGGGCTTAATCTCCTGATCTTCATTTATTTAGGCGACACTTTCGCTTGTCCAAGTTTCAAACTCAAACTGACAGCTTGCTGTCAATCACGTGACATCTGGCAGGGCCCTTCGCCCAAGTTGTCCATTTTCAACCTGCCAGATGTTGGTTGCTCAGATTCCTACCAGTGCATGAGGTCAGACATTTTTCACTGTCCTCCATGGGAATGTCAGGGGTGAGATCTATGAGCTCTGTGAGTTTGTTTGCTGGCTTCCTAAGGCCATGACTGAGCAGATTTGCAGAGATTTGCTCAGCCAGTTTGGCAAGCTCAGGCACAACTCTGCTTCAATGCAACACATGGATTCAATTGGCATGCTGCCAGTTTGCTGATGGCCAGGATGTTAAGTCTTATTCGAGACTTGGGCACCGGCAAGATCAAGGGCTACGGAATCTTCGAGTGCCCTGGGCCGGTCTTGGGTTGGAAGTGTCCTGTCTGTGATCATAATTCGCGTATTTTCTGACTTTCATTCAGGCTCGATGGTCATGAGTCATTGAGTTGGAATCATAGCAACTTCAGTTCCGTAAAGATCATAACATTGTGATAGGAGACAGAGGTTGAGAACCCGAAATTCCGAAATTCCTTTTATCACGGACATGATTTTTGTGTGTTTCCAACCAAGTTTGGATGGTTTGTAAAATAAAAACACACCCAACGAGTTCATGAATCAGCCAACATCCCCAGAAAAGACAAGAAAGCTTAACCCAGGTATGTGAACCAAGACAAGAACACTTAACTATCTTCGGATATGTTCAATGATTCAATCAACACCAGTAAACTTTACCACATTTACGGATAGGTCCAATCAATCAAGGTACGACAATCCCAACGATGTGGACTTGGCCATCGTGGCGCTGAACGGTTTTGTGTGCGGTCAGAACGTCATCCGAGTGCAGAAATTAGGCGCAGCGGGGCACGGATGGAGAGCGTGTTTTTGTCGTGAAAACAATGAGGTGTTGGAAAGGTTTGGTGCCAGCAGATTGAGAACGCGAAATTCGTTGATGGGAACAGTGCAGTGAGTTCAGAATCGAAAAGATGACATGGTGATTTTTAGTGACATGGCAGTGGAACGTCTGCCATTCTTCGGCTCAAGTTTGGCCCGAAGTGAACATCATCTGCCCATCAACTGTCCATCCCCAGATATCCCCAGCCATGCAGAGAAATCTTGACGCCGAGGAGATGGACTTCGAACGGACAGATGCCGGTGCTTCGCAGACTTATCAGCAGCAGGCTGGATCCATCAAGAGGGGATCCTATGTGATGCTCAAGGGCCATCCTTGTAAGATCGTAGAGGTCACCACCTTCAGCCCTGGAAAACATGGCCATGCCAAGGCCCATATGGTGGGACAGGACATCTTCACGGGGAAGAAATATGAAGAAACCTCACAGACCTCACACAACATGGACGTGCCTGTGGTCACCAAGACAGAGTACCCTCTGATGAATCTGAACGCCGAAACCTTCGCGGTGAGCCTGTTGCAGGACAATGGCGAGCTGAAGATCGATCTCAATCTGCCGGCCGCAGCTGGGAAAGCCACTGAAGAGGATACCAAACTTCAGCAGGATATACTGCGGGCCTTTGCCGACGAGCTGGTGGTCAGTGTGGTGGTCATTGCAGCCTGTGGCATGGAAAAGATCATTAGTTTTAGTGCCACTGACTGAGAGGAGGTTGCTGCCACGATAGTCCATGGTGGCAGTACGTGGCAGTAGGCCTTGAATCTTGCTCGCCCCAAATTCGTGAACCACCAGGGGCGGATGTACAGTGTACAGAGTGGACACGACCAGCAAGGATCGGACAAAATCATGTCCTGTTGTAATGTTAGTAATGCAACAATAGACCACCCATATTTGATGGTTTACACATGTTTACACCATCCATTTATGGTAACATTCATCATTGGGGATGGTTTACTAATGCTTACCATGGTTCTTACTAACATTTTACCATCAACTTACCATGGTTTACTAAATTGGGGACGGTAAGTTTACACATTGCTTTACTAACATTTGGGTTCTCATCAACTCATGTGCCGTGCTGAACTGGCCAGGTCAGCAGTCCACCACCACAACATCCAAGCCTCAGCCGGTGGCGGCGACAGCAGGGAACACTCAGCATTTGCCGTTGAGGGATCCATGGGAGAACGTTTCGGGTGATGTCTTGAGTCTTGAACGTAACGGACCAATCATGATAGGAAAGGCATTTTGTCAAGGCCAACTTGATCAGACATGCCTTGCACGATGAATGTGACAAACATTCTTCATCCTCTGTGTGCTTAAGATATCTTACTGCAGAAGGTGAACGTCTACCCTCTGGTAATTCAACATGACTTGCTGGAGAATCCCTAATTCGCAGATGATTTTCCCATTTAAATGCCCATTTAGTATATTTAGTTCGGGGATTTCCCGGCTAGCCATGGTTAGCAAAGAGATTTCCAAGGGATTTCTATGGATTTCTGCTCCAAGCTCAGGCCATGTCCAACTCGATGACGCAGAAGATCGTCAAGAACCCTGTGTTGGCCATGCAAGTCAAGCAGGGAAGAGAGGCAACGACCTGTGGGTGTTGTCAGTGGCCGGGGGAGAAGTGAAGAGCTAAAAGCTGAAATATTGAGTATATTTGAGTTTGATCATCCAGAACCTGAAATCTTAATATCTTAATGTTAAAGCAAATCTATAGAGTTTTTGGTGTTGCAGATGTTACAATTTGGGTGTCAGTTTCAACGCCTGGCTGTGACAGTCGCATCAGGTGGGCTCTCGGCCAAGTACAGTGGTACAGCTCATGAATGCGGTCTACCAAGAGGACACGCGGTGACGCCATGTTCATCGCATGGCCAGTTGAAGCTGTGCAGCTTCCCTCTAGACTCTAGCTTTTTTTGGGAGACACAAGTGGGTCATATAGGATAAATATGGATAAATTGATAGTAATCAGTAATCAAGCCAAACTGGGACAATCTAGACATAGATAACATAGTGGTATGTCCTGAGATGGAAGACACCCCAGGTGACTACAGTAAAGTGCTTCGTCTCTTCCATCATGCTCAGACTTTAGCGCACCGAAAATCGTCGTTCAGCCCCTTCCAGGACGTCATGGATGACCAGGACTATGATGACATCACCGCCGAAGTTCACGCGGAGGCTGGACTTTCGCCTTACTGCGCTGTTCTATGAGTGCTTTAGTTGGGTTGATATGCGGAGTGCCATGGTTTTTGTGCTGGATGATGAATTTGAGAATATTGCTAGTACGCTCAAAACTTCGTCGGTGAAGTGCAGAGAATCCACAGATAATTATCCATAGTAGTTAGTTATGAGATGTTATGAGTGATTTGTGCAGGTTGCATCTTTTGTTCACCTAACCAGCAACACCAGTGCTATTTTTTTGCAATTCTTTCTGAGCAGATATCCAGAAGCATTGCTGGCCACTTCTCTCTGGCAGAACTCTCGTGGAAGTTTCTTATTGTCATTGTGGACTGAGGGTTTTGATTCAGTAACCGGTCAAGGTTTTGCATGTGGAACCCTGGAGTTGGCATCCTAACATGTTCTCTTCGCCACGTGAGGCCTCGAAGCATGGCAATGTCATGCGAGTCGTCATTCCCAAGCCTGCGAAGGAGAGCGGGAAGCATGCCATGGCTGCCTGCTTATTTTTGGATATACAATATGTCAACGTGCTGTGTAGCCCGATGTCGGCACAGATCAGCTTGAGCAAAGGTGACGCAGAACGTAATTTGTCACGTCTCTCTCTCTCTCTCTTCTTGTTGTTGCTTGTCAACTTGCTGTAAATCTAATTTTGCCAGCCAGTAGACTTGAAGTCAAACTGCTTATCAGGGATACGCCATGATACGCCTTATCTCACTTGAGCTTGTATTTGATTCCATTGCTGCCGTGTGCTTCAGCTCATAAATCACGGGTGTTCAATTGCGCTAATTTTCCATGACCATGCGCTCAAAACCCATAGGCCCTGGCCTCTTTCTTCTTCTTGCCTTGGCGGTGCTTCATTTTGTCCGTCCAACCTGGCGAATGTTCGTTCAATTTCAGGCATATGCCAAAAATGGTGGGAAGATAGCGAGGCAACAAGTTGCCAAGGAGGTAGTTCCAGTGATTCCAATGGCCCTGCCTCCAAAAGAGGTTGAGAGGATCCATGCAGCTGTGCGAACAAAAGCATTGGAAGCCATAGCGCTTGGCAATTTACCACCGGGCAAGGAGCTGGAACTGATTTCGGCCTTGGATTTGGGCACCATCCCCTGGAACCAATTTCCAGTACAGCTCAAGGAGCAGTTGGCATTGCCCCTGGAGGACCGTGGAATCGACTCGCTGTCGTTGAATCTGTCGGTGGCTGTTCAGGCCAAAGATTATGCCAATGGAAGCACGGTGCCCTTGAGCAGCCTTGCCACTTTTCACCTGTTGGTCGAAGGGAAGTGTTCGAAATTGAAGGGTTTGGTTCAACAGATGATCGTGGCGACCAGCGATGGCACACTCTTGCCAAAGCTGTGGCAGCTAACTGGGGCTGTTCAGCGAACATATTCTGTGGAAAAGATTCAGGCTTGGCGAAGGATAGCTCAAGAAGCTAGCTTGGCACGAGAAAAGACATTCATCACTCCGGTCAGAAAGCTTTTGAAGCGCTGGCCCCATCAAAAAGAATGCTTGAAGCACTGCCGCAAGTTTCTCCAGAACAGATCAAAGATTGCGAAAAAGGACTTCTTTGTGCAAATGGCGACAGGGACCGGGAAGAGTTTGGTCATGGCAGATTTGTTGGCTGAGATTTCACCATCCCAGAAAGCTTGTATCATCGTCCCAAAGCTGGACTTGATGGAACAGATGGCCCAACTATTGCAGGAACTGCATCCATCATCTCATATTTGTCGTGTTGGGATTGGGTGGCCAGCAAATCTGACTGCGGATGTCTTTGTATGTGTACGAAATTCAGCTTGGCAGCTTGCAAACCTCACCTTCCATGTGATTCTGCTGGATGAAGGTCATCACTATGAACCTCTGGCGATGATGGCAGATGCTAGTGCCACGGATTTTGAAGCTGCTGAAACAAGCGGTTCAAGGCACGATCTTGGCGCGGCTGTCATAACACATACACAGCAGGTCCTGGCACTCAAGACCAAGAAACGAATCTTTTTCAGTGCAACCTTGAGGAGAAACTCAGCCGATTTTGATTTTGGCTTAAGGCCTGCTATTGAAGCTGGAGTCATCCAGGACTATTCCGTCATGGTGCCGGTGTTGTCTGAAGGCGACCCACGACCGGGATTGGTGGAGCTGATCCGAAATCTGCCATTGTCCCGGAAGATCCTGGCATTTTGCAATACTGTTCACGAGGCACAGGCTTTCACACAGATGCTGACGGAGGCAGGGATAGCAGCAGACCATTACAATGGTGGAACTACACCGAAGCTTCGTGGTGACATCCTGCAGAGTTTTCAGCGACCTGAAAGCTATGGAGGGATCAGAGTTTTAGTCACAGTAGATGTTCTCAGTGAAGGAGTAGACCTGCCAGTTGCTGACACCTGCTTGTTTGTTGCACCTCGTTGGGGTTTGCGCTTGAGGCAATGTGTGGGAAGGGTCCTTCGCAAGCATCACACAAAGGTGGATGCCCTTGTCATCGCTCCGCCGATTGTGAAAAGGCCCAATGGCTCCTTGACGGAAGAAGCAGAGCTGACTCGATTGCTAAGCCAACTTGCAACTGCAGATCCGTGGTTTGAGCAAGCCCTCCAGAGTGGAGATACTGATCAGAGCCGACTATCAATCTCTACATCCGGAATGATGGCAGATGACCAGGAACATGTGCTCGGAGACAAGGCTGCGAGGTTTATTCGAATTCATGTGTTGCCGTACGTTTTGGACACCTGCTGTGCGTGCTCCTATTGGGATAGGGCTTATCAAGAACTTGTTGCGTACAAGGTTGAACATGGACATGTACTTGTTCCGAAAAAATATTGTGCCTTGTCTGGCTTGAAATTGGGACGCTGGGTTTCCACGCAACGGCAAGCAAAACGTACGCTTAGCTGCGACCAATTTGAGCGACTAGCCGATCTTGGCTTTGTGTGGGATGTCCGAAAGTTCAGATGGGAGGCAAGCATGAGGAGGCTCGCAGCCTACACAGCAAAGCATGGGCACGCACTCGTGCCAAACGAGTTCAATTGTTCTGATGGCTTCAGGCTTGGAAAATGGGTCGACACGCAGCGGGTGGCGAGAGCCAAGGGCAAAATTGACACCGAGCGAATTCGGAAGTTGGACGAGCATGAATTTGTTTGGGACACTGACCAGGCAGCATGGAATGCTGCTGCAGACAGATTGAAGGCTTACAAAGAAGAGCATGGGAACACATTAGTGCCGCATCGTTACAAGTGTGCCGACGGCTTTTGGCTTGGAGCGTGGGTCAGCAAGCAGCGGACGGCGAGAGCCAAGGGCAAACTTGACAAAGAGCAAATTCTGCAATTGAGCGAGGATGGGTTTATTTGGGATGCCAATTACTTTGCATGGAATGCTGCTGCAGAAAGATTGGAGACTTATAAAGCAGATCATGGGAACACATTAGTGCCGCAGCTTTACAAGTGTGCTGACGGCTTTTGGCTTGGAGCGTGGGTCGGCAATCAGCGGGTGGCGAGAGCCAAGGGCAAAATTGACACCGAGCGAATTCGGAAGTTGGACGAGCATGAATTTGTTTGGGACACTGACCAGGCAGCATGGAATGCTGCTGCAGACAGATTGAAGGCTTACAAAGCAGAGCATGGGAACACATTAGTGCCGCATCGTTACAAGTGTGCCGACGGCTTTTGGCTTGGAGCGTGGGTCAGCAAGCAGCGGGCGGCGAGAGCCAAGGGCAGACTTGACACGGAGCGAATTCGGAAGTTGGACGAGCATGAATTTGTTTGGAATGCGAGAGGCTTCTGTCAATAAAAAAATTAAAGGACCGGATAACCCCACAAGTCAACTTCTTCCAATAATGAGCTTCAAAGGTTGTAGCGGGGTCGGGGAAGGAAGGAAAGACAAAGGATGTGGTGAAGGATCGACAAGTTAAAACAGTTGTGTGTGACAAAGTGGAATGTGTATGTATGTATGTATGTATGTCTGTATGTCTGTATGTATGTATGTGTGTATGTGTGTATGTGTGTATGTGTGTATGTGTGTATGTGTGTATGTGTGTATGTGTGTATGTATGTATGTATGTATGTATGTATGTATGTATGTATGTATGTATGTATGTATGTATGTATGTATGTATGTATGTATGTATGTATGTATGTATGTATGTATGTATGTATGTATGTATGTTGTATGTATGTATGTATGTATGTATGTATGTATGTATGTATGTATGTATGTATGTATGTATGTATGTATGTATGTATGTATGTATGTATGTATGTATGTATGTATGTATGTATGTATGTATGTATGTAGTGTATGTAGTGTATGTAGTGTATGTAGTGTATGTAGTGTATGTATGTATGTATGTATGTATGTATGTATGTATGTATGTATGTATGTATGTATGTATGTATGTATGTATGTATGTATGTATGTATGTATGTATGTATGTATGTATGTATGTATGTATGTATGTATGTATGTATGTATGTATGATGTATGCAATGTATGAATGTATGTAATGTATGTAATGTATGTAATGTATGTAATGTATGTAATGTATGTAATGTATGTAATGTATGTAATGTATGTAATGTATGCAATGTATGTAATGTATGTAATGTATGTAAAGTATGTAATGTATGTAATGTATGTAATGTATGTAATGTATGTAATGTATGTAATGTATGTAATGTATGTAATGTATGTAATGTATGTAATGTATGTAATGTATGTAATGTATGTAATGTATGTAATGTATGTAATGTATGTAATGTATGTACTGTATGTAATGTATGTAATGTATGTAATGTATGTAATGTATGTAATGTATGTAATGTATGTATGTATGTATGTAAGTATGTATGTATGTATGTATGTATGTAATGTATGTATGTATGTATGTATGTATGTATGTATGTATGTGTGTATGTATGTGTGTATGTATGTATGTATGTAGGTATGTAGGTATGCAGGTATGTAGGTATGTAGGTATGTAGGTATGTAGGTATGTAGGTATGTAGGTAGGTAGGTAGGTATGTAGGTAGGTAGGTAGGTAGGTATGTATGTATGTATGTATGTACGGATGGATGTATGTATGTATGTACGTACGTAGGTATGTAGGTATGTAGGTATGTAGGTATGTAGGTATGTAGGTATGTAGGTATGTAGGTATGTAGGTATGTAGGTATGTAGGTATGTAGGTATGTAGGTATGTAGGTAGGTAGGTAGGTATGTATGTATGTATGTACGGATGGATGTATGTATGTATGTGTGTATGTATGTGTGTGACAAAGTTGCGTGTGAAAGATGCTGCGTGTGAAAGATGATGTGTGTGCGCGACAGTGCAGACCATTTTTTTCGCCAGCGCTGCAATGTCAGCTGCGCTGCATGCGGCAGCACTGCTCTCCATGCGGTGCAACGAGATGTGCAACGATGACGACATAGAGGAAAGGTACCTGCCCGCAAAAGTGTAGAACAGGAATGTAGCTATGCAACTATGGAAGACAAGTACAGAGCGCATGCCTGTCAAGGCACGAGACAGTCACAGTGCCATGCACCATGGTTATGACGCTAACTGCGCAGGTTTTTCCAAAGATGTCAAGCAACCACACAGTTCAGAAACACACAGGCGTCGCGAACATTTACATAGGTGTCGGTTCGCCAGGCATCTGCACACGCTTCTTCCCACATTGGGTCAAAGCTCTGGCTCCCGAGGACATAGACTGCTTGACTCATTGTCGGGCCAAGCGCGACGCGCCTGTCCTCCGTCCAAGAAGCTCACTGGATGGGCACCTACGCAAGTTGCAAAGACACAGAGGCTTCATGCGTGCTATCTTGTTACTACATGACAGCTGCAATATCTTGGCACATTATGAACCCAAAGAACTAATCTATTCTACATAGCTTAACCACAGTAGAAATCTTATTGATCAACTGTATAGATGGTTTCGAATTAATGTCGCCGCCCGAATGCCACACGAATGCCACGTGAAACGAAGGTGGATGTGAGATTGTGCCACGCCTGCCACGCAAAGTGCCGCGGCGTCATCCGCGACCAAACCGGCCCAAGCGCGCCACCCAGTCCCATGAGTGCCACGCCTGCCACGCAAAACGAAGGTGGATGTGAGATTGTGCCACGCCTGCCACGTGAAACGAAGGGGGATGTGAGACTGTGCCACGCCTGCCACGCAAAGTGCCGCGGCGTCATCCGCGACCAAACCGGCCCAAGCGCGCCACCCAGTCCCATGAGTGCCACGCCTGCCACGCAAAACGAAGGTGGATGTGAGATTGTGCCACGCCTGCCATGCAAAACGAAGGTGGATGTGAGATTGTGCCACGCCTGCCACGTGAAACGAAGGGGGATGTGAGATTGTGCCACACCTGCCACGCAAAGTGCCGCGGCGTCATCCGCGACCAAACCGGCCCAAGCGCGCCACCCAGTCCCATGAGTGCCACGCCTGCCACGCAAAACGAAGGCGGATGTGGGATTGCGCCACGCCTGCCACGTGAAACGAAGGTGGATGTGAGATTGTGCCACGCCTGCCACGCAAAGTGATCCGCGACCAAACCGGCCCAAGCGCGCCACCCAGTCCCATGAGTGCCACGCCTGCCACGCAAAACGAAGGTGGATGTGAGATTGCCCAGAGTACGCCTTATTGAAAAGATTCAATAAAGTTATTGGTTTGTCATGCCATTATTGAAATAGTGTTTTTTTTGAAACAAACCAATAATATTATTGGTTTGTGTTTCAATAAAATTATTGGTTTGTTTCAATAACTTTATTGGTTTGTTTCAATAAGGGTTATTGGTTTGTTTCAATAACTTTACTAGTTTGTTTCAATAGTTTCAATAAGGGTGTTTGTGCTGTTTCACAGAAAGTTTTAGGTTTAGACCCCATTCCAATCCACTAATCATGAATGGAACCTACAACCCATCCACAAGTATATATTTATATTTGTGTTTCACTCATGTTCAATTCCACCAGCAGCCTTTCAACTCACAAGCTATAGGGGCAAGCTTGGGCAAGGTCACTGCCCAACTGTCCCCTGCAAAAGGGTATTTGGCTTTTGGTCCTGCAAAAGGGCTTTTTTTTGGTCCTGCAAAAGGGCAATTTCTAAGAGCCATGGCCACAGAGATTGACCCCTTGGACATGCTCATCAGGCCTCCTCGCAACAGCTTTGAAGAGGTGGATGCCTACTGGTCCTACCTGGAGTGCACAACACCTCACTGTGGTGGATGGCTGTGGAGGAGGCACTTGGCAGATCCCACATGGGGTTTGAAGTGCTACCACTGCAATGCTTCTTGGAGGGAAGCATACTTGCAGTTTGGGTTCAGTCACTGGAACCCAGTGGCCAAAAGAAGGACCAGGCTGGGAGATACTGTGGACACAAGAAGGTGACCACTTGCAAAAAGACAGTGCCACCTTAAGGTCTTGCAAAAGGGCTGAAGCCAATGGTCCTGCAAAAGGGCTGAAGCAAAAGGTCTTAAAAATGACCATACACATGGAGAAGACACCAATGAAGGAGAAAAAATGGAGAGCAGTGGGGGTGTATGGTGTTGCAGGCTGCTTCTTTTGCCATGGGCTTGGCAGATGCAAATGTGTTTGCAGCATGTCCTATAAACTTGAATCTCTCTGTTGCAGTTATGCTCAATCTCAGCAGCTTCAAAACCTTGCCTGTTGGAAGATTGGCCCTGCAAAGAGGGCTATCTGCAGCTGGGCCTGCAAAGAGGGCTGCCCATGTCCCTCATGAAACCTGGGAGGAAAAGAAGGAAAGGTGCAGGAAATTCACAACCTGCTAAGAGGGTCCCATTCCCTGAGTTAAGCCAGCAAAAACTGGATGACAAACTTTATGCTTATACTCGGGCAATGGGGATCAAAGAAGCCTTGAATTTGCATGAATATTTGAGGCTGGAGCCACAACAGGCAGAATCTTGCAGGAGCCTGTGCAAGCTCAGCAAGCTCTTGACTGCCCTGGTGGAGGTGTCACCTTCTGCAAAGGTGAAGTGCAGGTACCTGAAGCACAGCATGGTGTACTTGCAGCAGACATGGGGCTGTGAGCTGCTGTCTGCACACTGGACATGTGAGAAGGGCTTGCTGGCAGGGAGGGCAGCAGATGCACTGCTTGTGGTTCTAAACCACTGGAGAAGGTGCACTGCTTCCCCCACAGCATGGCAAAGGTTTTGCTCCAAGCTGGATGAAAGCCAATGCCAGCTGATGGAGCAGGTGAAAAAGAAGATGGTGATTGAGAAGCCAAAGAGAAAGCTGCTGCCAAATGTGTCAGATGTGAGCATGGACTCCAAGGGCTTCCCAGCCATGACAGCCCATGGAAAAGAGGAGGAGGAGGAGTCAGAAGAAGAAGAAGAAGAGGAATATGATGAGACAGAGAAGGAAGATGAGGATGAGAAGGAGGCTGTGACAAAGAAGGCCAAAAAAAGCGACCTGGATGCCATGGAAAGTTCCCCACCACCTGTGGTGAAAAAGGACTGGAGAGCTGCAGCAGGCTGCAACATAAAGAAGCCTGCCTCCAAGCTGGTGGGCAAGAAGAAGGGGAAGGTGAGTGTTGCAGGCCTTGCAAAAGGGCCTAAAGCAAAGACAGGCCCTGGAAAAGGGCCTAGCAAGTGCAAGGGCACTGAAAAAGTGCTCATTCACCAGGCTAGCCTTTCCATTGGAGGGGGCAAAAACCAAGCCTACATACAACATGTCCCTGGGCCAGGAGACAGCAAGAGATTAATCATAGGGATCACAAAGCTTCAGGCTAGCAACACAACCAAGACACACAAGGAATTGGTGGAACTTTTGCTCCCTGCCTGCAAGAAGGCAAAGGCCACAAAGGCTGATGTAGTTGCTGAGAGGGCAAAGCTCCTCAGCAAGTTTGCCAAGTAGGTCCTGCAGCTGTCTGCAGTTGGGCCTTGCAAAAGGGCTTAGACAGAGAACTGCTGTGTCCCAGCAAAAAAATGCCAAGCTGGAGCATGTTACTTGTGGGATTGTGGGGGGGACCAAGCAGCACCAGTGTGAATCCAACACAGCTACACAAACTGCAATCTGAAGTGTATGGCCCAAGTCATCGCCTTAGTCTTGTGCTGGGCCCTGCAGGGGCCTGGCTTCTGCACACAGCAACTGGGCCTTGTACAAGGGCTCCCACTACAGGCCTTGGAAAGGGGCTTGGACTTGGAAGGTCCTGCAAAAGGGCTGGCAATGGAACCAAAAGAGGAGCCAGACTGGGAGGCTGAGCAAGTTCCAAGAAGGAACAGGAAGTCTTGGGCTGACCCGGCTGCAGAAGAAAAGAAGGAGCCTGCCAAAAAGGATGGCAAGCATGAGCAGAAAAATGAATGGTGGGAGGAGGACTGGAAAAAAGGTGGTAAAAAGTGGGATGACTGGTGGGAAGAAAAAGAGGAGCAATGGCAAGCATGGTCCAAAAACAAGAGGTGGGAACCAGATGGTGAGGATACAGAAGAGGAGGAAGTGCCTTCCAGCAGCACCCAGAAGAAAAACACATGTGGCTCACAGAAAGAAAGGGCCAAGAGAAGGTGGCTCATGAAAACCTGCAAGAATGAGAGCCAAGAGGAAAAGGAGAAGCTGAAGCTGGGTGCCTTGGGAGCATGCAGGCTGAAAAGGCTCCTGGACAGGCAAGAAGACAGGAAAAACAAGCTGGAAGCAGCCCAGCTGGCACAGGCAGCAGCAGCAAATGCTGCAGCTGCTGCCCAAGCTGCCCAGGCTGCAGCTGCATCTGCCCAATGGCAACAATGGCAGATGCAGCAGGCCCAGCTGGTGGAAGCCCAAGCCATGTGGCACCACCATGCCTACTACCAAGGTCAAGGTGGCCAGCCACACCAATGGGGCTGGCACCACCAGACCATGGAGCAGCCTGTGGAGCAGCCCAAGCAGCCAAAGCCACACAGGCAACAGCCAGGACTGGTGTGTACACATTCTTGATTTTTTGCAACCCTACTCCTTTCCACATGTTTGCTGGCTATGTCTTTGTGGCATTACAGGACCAGTGGCCACTGGCAGTGCTGCAGCTGGTGCTGGTGCAAAAGGAGGAGGGGGGCCACCACAGCATCCAAACACCTCTATATAGAAATTAATTTCTCATGCATGTCACTATGGCAATTTCATAGGTGCATCTACATACATCATTGGGCCTTTGAATTTGTGATGCTGCACACACTTCTATGGACACCAACCACTGCAACATATTTGTTTGGCACCTGCCATTTGGGGCACCCATGCATTCTGTCAGCCACAGCCAACATTTGGAATTTAACCAACCATATGTGTTCATAAGTGCAGTTCTTGGTATGCCACACACACACACACACTACAGTAAAATGTTTGGATATGTTGTAGCATCACCCTTCTCACCATCTTCACTATTTTCACCCAATTTCCTCCTGGCAACCTTGCCAGGATCCCAGGGGCCAGCCCCAGCACAGCCTGGGAGAAAAGGCCAAGGCAAGACTGCCAGGCCAAAGAGGGCAACACACCCACCAGCTGACCTGCATGGCAAGAGGGCTGAAGCTGCAGGGGCACTGGATGGGATTGAAGTGAAGGATGAGGAGTCCTCTGATGGCTGGCATGAGGTGAAGCCCAAGGGAAGAAAGCAAAAGAAGTGAGGGAGTTTCACCCACTTTAGGCCTTGCAAAAAGGGCTTGGCCAGCATTGGGTCCTGCAAAAGGGCTGGCATCAGCTGTCTTGAAAAAGGGCACCCAAAACAGAGCACAGCAAACATGCCCTTCTGGAAAATATGCCATCAGCTTGGGTTGGGCTTGGTTTGGAAAAGCAAAAACCTCATATGAGCTCATATGAGATCATATGAGGTGAAGGCACCTCATATGAGGCAAAAACTGTCTCATATGAGGCAAGACTACCTCATATGAGGGCAGCTTGCCTCATATGAGCTCATATGAGATCATATGAGGCTAGTGTCTTTCCTCCACTTTCTGGTGAAAACTTGCCTCCCAACAAAATGCTGCCATGAGAGTGTTGCCACTGCCATGTTTCATGGCCACCACTGAGGAAACTTCTGTTCAGCAGCATTTAGGCTTGGAGACACCCAAAACAAACTGGTAGATTGGGCCTTGCCAAAGGGCTCTTTGGCAAGGTTTTTTTGGCCTTGAGAGAGGGCTACCCAAGATGGCACCCAAAAAGGTCATGAAGGTGCTGAACTTGAAGTTAAAAAGGCCTGCAAGTGCCTTAGACCAGCTGAAGAAAGATGAAGGAGAGGGAATGAGCTTGGAAGACAAGATGGCTGCCTTTCAGAAGAAAGGCAACCAGGATGTGGGGCAGTTCCTGGACACCCTGACAAAAGGTCAGAGGGAAGCACTGTGGCAGAGGTTCTCCTCTGCCAGAGCCAGCATGAAGGACAAGGAGTGTGATAACCTATGGCAGGAAGTGGCCAAAGGAAAAGGCAGTGACCCAGCAAAGAAGAAGCTTTTGGGCTGCTTCTTGAAGCTGGGAGGAGACCTGAAGGGGAAAAGGGAGGTGTACCTCCAGGAGCTGGTGTCTTACACCAAAAGCTCTGGTGCCTTGGTTGCTTGTGGCTGCTCCTTCCACCTGGCTGGGTCTGTGCTTCTGCACCCTGCAATGTTTTTTCTAAGGTGAAAGGAGCTCAGAGGAGTGGGTGCCTTTTGCTGTGGTGCTGCAGCGGTTTGGCCTCCATGAGTGCATGAGAAGGGCAGCTTGGCATGTTTAAGGTTTGTGCTGAAAGCTGGTGCAAACATGTTTTTTTTTTGTGAAATTAGCTTGCCTTGTCAGGTAAAGAGAGGCAGCATAGGTGTCAGAAAAGACCCTGCTGACCCTGCTGAGTGGCAGTTCACCTTGAGGAAAATAATCACATGGACTGAAGAGAAAAGCCAGCATGAACTAAAAGGTGAAGCAAAGGCCAAAGGAGAAGCCTGTCAGTGGCTGGAGCTCAAAGCCCAAGGCCTTCTGGCAGATGGGGAAGGGCCTGCTGCAAGCTCCAAGGCTGCCAAAGCTTTGGAGGATGTGCTGAGCAAAGACAAAAGCAAGTTGGCAATCATGGACAAGCAGTCTGGGCAAGCAAGTGAAGAAGAGGCAGCAGCCAGCCCTAAGAAAGATGAGGATGATCAGGTGGTGGAAGCTGACCTTCTCTCTGAGATGGGAAGCAAAGTTGCTAAGGAAGAGGCCCAAGTGAGGGTGAAGAGAATGATGAAGCTCCTGAAAGGAGTGAAGAAGGAGGTTGGTGCAGCAAAGGCTAAGTCTTTGGACCTGTGCCTGGCTGACCTTCAGAAGCTGGACAAGAAAGGGAAAAAGGTCAGCCTGGAAGAAGCCAAAGGGAAGCTGTTTGATGCTGCCCTGCAGATCAAGAAGGCCAAGAGGAAGTGAGTTATTATTTTTGGGTGGCCTTGCAAAAGGGCTAAACAGATATTGTTAGCTTGGTCTTGTGCAAGGGCCTGACAAAGAGTCAGTGTTGGCCTTGCCAAAGGGCTATGTTTGGTAGTTCTGCCAGAAGGCACATGACCATGTGGCACATGACAGCAGGCATGAGAAGGTAAAAAATGCTTCCACCTCACCTTTGCCTTGTAAAGCTGTGGGCCCAAAGCCATGGGCTACTGTTGCATGGCCAAGCTTTAGCACATGGAACACACTTGCTTGTTTGTGGTAAGCTTTTGGCTTCAAGATGGCCCCTTCCCTAGAAGCTTTTGTTGGGCAGTGGCTTTTGTGGGTCTTGCAAAAGGGCCTGGGTTAGCCTGCTGGCCCTGAACAAGGGCTTGGGGAATATGGCCAAATGGAAGAGAAAGAAGCATGATGTCCCTGAGGAGCCCACTGCAGAGGAGCATTTGAGCCCTCTTGGCCTAGCACTTCTGGAGCAATTTGCACATGGGATGTCTGTTTCTAGTCTTGGCTTAATTTGTCCCATGATGCAGTGGCAGAAACCTTCAGCTGCCCACTCCCTTTTGACACCAGCATTTTGCCACACTGTTGTGGATGAACCTGTTGCCATCTAAGGGCCCTTCTGTTCAACACCTTGCTTTGGCTGCTGTGAAGTCTGGTGCTGCAACAGGTGACATCCAAGTCTTGGCCAGCCTGGGAAACTTTGGCAGGAATGAAAACCATGTGGCAGGACAAATCACTTCAAGGTTTTGCAAAAATGATTCCTTGGACCTCCCTGTGCCTTACTGCTTTGAAGCTCCAGTCTTGAAGAAAGGCACAGACAGCTGGTACCTAGCAAATCAGACTTTGGCAGTGTTCTTGCCCCATGAGTGGTTCTCTTGGGTGGAACATCATGACAATGTTTCTGGCTTTTCTGGGTTGCAGAGCTTTTGGGATGAGCATGATGCTGCTGATCCAAAGCTGTGCAAGAATCCCATGAAGGGCAGCAGGCACCTGTACCTGCCTCTGGTCATTCATGGGGATGGTGGTCAATTTCAAAAGTGGGATTCAATCACTATCATCTCAATGGGATCACTCCTATCAGCTGACAATGTTGCATCCAGCCAAATGCTCCTAGCAGCTATCCCCAAGGGCTGCCAGCACAAGAGTGAAAACCCAGATGAAGACACCATGACAGTGGTTTGGAAAGTGCTTGCTTGGTCATTCCAGCATCTCTATTATGGCAAATTTCCAGAATTTGACCATTTGGGGAAACCATGGCCTGCAAAAACAAAGAGGGCAGACCAAAGTGGCTCCCATCTGTGGACACAGAGGGTCAGAGGCTGCTTGTTCTGTGTCACTGCAGATGGGGAGTTCCTGCAAAATGAACTCAAGCTGCCTGGGCACAGCCACAACTCCTGCTGCTTTTCTTGCCAAGCAAACAAGAGCGACATACCTCACAATGACTTTAGAGCTACAGCAAAGTGGAGATCTACCTTGACCAAGCCTGGGACACCTCTTCCTGGTGGCCATCCTCTTGGTGCAGTACCTGGCCTGAATACATTCAGTGTCCACTATGATACTTTGCATTGCCTGGAAGAAGGGGTGGCAGCACATGCCCTGGCCAACACCTTCTTTGACCTAGTTGTGAGAGGCCATGCTGGAGCTGGGACCCAGGATCAAAACCTCCAGGCTGTCTACAGGCAGATCAGGCAACCGTACTTGGAACAAGGCATAGATGCCAGCCACAGGATTAAAAAATTGAGCCTCACAAATTTTTCAGCCAGGGAGAAGAAGTATGAAAAGTTTCCTGATTTAACAGGATTCAAGGCAAAGCAGATTCGCTACCTTGTGCCTGTGATGGCAGAGATTCCGCAGTTCTACACTGATGAGGATGATGCCTATAGCCTCCATAGGCTCCAATGCTTACAGAACTTGAACAGCATGTATGAGCTCATGGACTGTGGCCTTCACATGGGCAAGGAGAGCATCTTGCAGTTCAAAAAAGTTACAGACCTGTGTCTTCTTCACTTTGCAAGGTGTGCAAAGCTGGCTATGGAAGCTGGGTTGCTCCAATGGAACCTGATCCACAAGCACCACCTTGTTGCCCACATGCCTGCTCAAGCTGCCTATTTGAACCCAAAGCTGGTCTCAACATACTCAGGTGAAACAATGGTGGGATTTATGGCCAGCCTGGCCCATGCCTGTCTGAATGGAAGTCCTCCCCACTTGGTACCTGAAAAAGTCCTGTGGAGGTTCAGGTTGGGAATGTGGCTGAAATACATCCATGGATCAGAAACTTTGGAGTCTGAGAGCAGCAGTGGTGAGTAGAAGTTGTGTAAAAAAGCTTTGGGCCTTGGGAAAGGGCCCCACCCTGGCCCTGCAAAAGGGCTTCAAAGTCCTGCCAAAGGGCTGCAGCCCACTAGCTTGGGGACCAAGATTTGCACAGTCAAAGGAAAAAAGTGCAGCTGAACTGAAGATGTTTCAGCATGTCAGTTTGACACCCATGTGCAGAGCTTCAAACATGTCAGCTTAGCAGCTCTATGAATCTAATGACTCAAACCATTAAACTTATTGAAATGGAGCTTATTGAAATAGGAATCCATTTCAATAAGCTTTATTGGTTCATTTCAATAAAGTTATTGAAACACTAACCAATAAGAAAATGAAGGTTTTATTGGTTTGTGTTGTGATTATTGAAATTGACGTGAATTATTGAATCTTTTCAATAAGGCGTACTCTGGGTGTGCCACGCCTGCCACGTGAAACGAAGGGGGATGTGAGATTGTGCCACGCCTGCCACGCAAAGTGCCGCGGCGTCATCCGCGACCAAACCGGCCCAAGCGCGCCACCCAGTCCCATGAGTGCCACGCCTGCCACGCAAAACGAAGGCGGATGTGGGATTGCGCCACGCCTGCCACGTGAAACGAAGGGGGATGTGAGATTGTGCCACGCCTGCCACGCAAAGTGCCGCGGCGTCATCCGCGACCAAACCGGCCCAAGCGCGCCACCCAGTCCCATGAGTGCCACGCCTGCCACGCAAAACGAAGGTGGATGTGAGATTGTGCCACGCCTGCCACGTGAAACGAAGGGGGATGTGAGATTGTGCCACGCCTGCCACGCAAAGTGCCGCGGCGTCATCCGCGACCAAACCGGCCCAAGCGCCACCCAGTCCCATGAGTGCTACGCCTGCCACGCAAAACGAAGGTGGATGTGAGATTGTGCCACGCCTGCCATGCAAAACGAAGGTGGATGTGAGATTGTGCCACGCCTGCCACGCAAAGTGCCGCGGCGTCACGCGCGCCCAAACCACACCCAAGCGCGCCACCCAATGCCATGAGTGCCACGCCTGCCACGGAAAACGAAGGTAGATGCGAGTCTGTGCCACGCCTGCCACGTGAAACGAAATTATGGTATGTGAGAGATGGTATGTGAGCGTTAAAGTATTGTATGTGAAATTATGGTATTGTATGGGAGAGATGGCATGTGACATATTGTATGTGACATTATTGTATGTTAAGTTTGTGTGTGTGAAGTTATGGTATGTGAGAGAGGGTATGTTACTGAAAGGTATGTGAAATTATTGTATGTTAAGTTTGTGTGTGTGAAGTTGTGGTATGTGAGAGAGGGTATGTGACATATTGTATGTGAAATTATTGTATGTGAAGTTTGTGTGTGAGAGAGGGTATGTGACATATTGTATGTTAAGTTTGTGTGTGTGAGAGAGGCGGCGGGAGGATGAGGAGGAGGAGGAGCCCGGGATACAGAATCAAAAACAAGAACCCCACACAAAGTTGTGGGGAACTATATTACAATCTTTATCTATCTTTGGCTGGGTCGCAGTCGCAGTATCAGTCTTGAGTGTTGGCAAAGTCCGGTTTGAATCCGTTGGATACAATATTTGCATCAATTTGTTTTAGGCCAAGCAATTGTTCAAACGAGACACATGGTATAGGCATAGGTACTTCATTTTATATAATTTCTCTGACTGTTTTGATTTGTTTCCCTGAATTTTGTTCCATATTTGATGGGCATCGCGGCTGCTTCACTTTTTATTCGAACTCTCCGTGCATCCACAGAACCCTTTTTGCGCAGGATGGTTCCTACGTGGACGGGGTGGGCAAGATCTTCGTGGCCTTTTCGGATCGGGTTCAACTGTCTTGGGTCGTTTAAGCTTCCTGTGGTGGTCTGTAGGCACTTTATGTATTGGCTGCGTGTTTGTAGGATATTTGGTTTGTCGCCAGTCTGAGCAAATGTGGTTTCTAACAACTTTAATTCTACAATGGTATGGGCCAAAATGGTCCCAAGTACTTGTAGGATATGGGATATAGATTTTTTATGATCCAGGATCTACGCATTTCGACACTTCCATGGAAAGGAACGTTTACAGTCTGCAAAGTATTTGTAGATACTGCGAGGCAAAGATAAATTGTTTTCGCCTGGAAACTGTCATAAAAGCATATAAAAGCGTGCTTAGAACCAGTTCCGAAATCGTTTGGTTGCTCACGGACTCTGAGAGGACCTGACAGCTGCGCGAAAGTTCCAGATGGATGCCAATGGTCGAAAGTTTGAAAACCGAGTGGCTACTTGGCTAAAGTGACACATTTGCCACCAATCTCGGATCATTTTGATTAAAGTCCCCGAGTAGAACCAAGTTAGATTTCGGAACAAATCCGAGCAACCCTGCAAGCAGAGATGATGGTTTTCTGCTGAGCCAATAGCAGGTTGGCCAACGAGCAAGAGCTTTGAGTACAGTGAGATTCTATATCAAGGTTCCTTGAAATGCGCATTGCATTTAGTTGAGTAACTTCTGCACAGACTGCAGGGTTTTCCCATTTCCATCGTCGCTTGGCCCCAAGGTTTGTGCAGCTTTCTATCCAGTGGAAAAGTTCAATGAGGGCAAATTCAAGCTTTGGTCCGCGTGAGGCCTGTCAGGGACCCGGGCTACCATCATTAGTGAATGCTTCGGTTGAGATAGTGTTGTTTGATGTTGTTTGTGCGTGATTCTGTAAGTGAGGAACAGCAGCAGTCAAGACACACTCATCTTTCTTCATGTCAGTACTCAGCCCAAACTTAGCTTCGAACTTCAACAAAGCCCCCAGCAGAAACAGCACCCGGCCTGTCAGGCCTCTGGCCACCAGTGAGGTCGCCTCTGGTATCATAGATCCTCGTGCAGTTGGCCTGTTGCTTTCCACCGGTTTGGACTACTGGGGAACCACCAAGCCACTCACACCACACCCACTTAGCTAAGAGGACATAGGTCCCACCTGGCTGGGAAGAGCAGTGTTGACCCGCTTCGTCTCACTTATCCAGCGGAAAATGATCGCAAAGAGAGCCATGAACAAAAGATTCGAGATGCTAGGCGGTGCTTTCAGTCATCTTATTGTAGGTGTATAGTTGGTGTAGTTTGTACCTTGAGCAACCCACGAAAATCTTGATATCACTATGTGGCGCCTGACCTGAGATCTGCACAGTCTAGCAGTACACAGTAGTTTTGGCAATGCCGAGACCTAGTAGCTGTTAGGTTGAGCAGACACGCGACGCGAAAGGAGGAAAAGGTTGGTGTTTTGTTGCACCAGTTGCTGGAGACATGCACATATATTACATATATCTCAGCTTACTAGACGCAGTAGCGTAACATGAAACCTTGACCGAGCTACTATTAAACTCTGCAGATGGCATGGTTTTTCCATGCGTCCTACCTTAGGAAATTATTTTGAGGTGGGGGTTGGTTCCAAAATATTTTTTTAAAATAATTTCCAATTTTTAACATAAATTTTATGTTAAAATCACCCGACAAGAGCCATAGCAAAATAATTTTTGCACCCGTACCTTGATGATGGTGCAAAATAATTTTCCACCTACAGAGGTTGAAGCACCTTGAAAAATTTTAAACAAACAACTTAAGGCACCTCAAAATAATTTCTCAGTTGAACTGGGGAAATTATTTCATATAGTTCCAACTGTATAAAATAATTACCAGACACCCATGATGAAAATTATTTCATGGGGTGGGGGTACTTGCAAACCACCTGCAAAATAATTTCAGCATATTACATCAAATTTCAACTACATATTTCAACATGTTCAGTCAGGATATTCTTTGAATCAATCTGCAGCCATTTCCAACTTCATTCAAGCCACATCCCGTCAATCCCAACACATCCCAGGGAAGTTGAGTTTTGCAAGGTTAGGTTATTTTGGATTTCTGGGGTGGTCTAGTAGTTAACCACCCCCAAAATAATTTTTGGGGAGAGAGGAATCGATTCAGGTTTCTTTGCCCAAAAGCCGATGCTAAGTCGATGTTCTAAAAAATAATTAGTTCAGCCAGTAATTCATGGTAAATCTCAGGGTTTGTCTGTTCGAGGCAATTTGGATTTTGAACTACTCAGTGGGAAGTTAATTTTGCCAGTTTAGGCTATTATTATTTCTGGGGTGGTTTAGTAGTTAACCACCCCCAAAATAATTTATGGGGTAGGAAGGGGTCGATTCAGATTTCTTTGTCCAAAAATCGATGGTCTAAATCATAGGTGGTTTAGTAGTTAACCACCCCCAAAATAATTAGGTTCTCATGGTTTGATTCTTTCAGACAGTTTGGGTCAATTTGGATCAGGTTTGGCATTTTTGACCTATTCCAGGGAAGTTGAGTTTTGCAAGGTTAGGTTATTTTGGATTTCTGGGGTGGTCTAGTAGTTAACCACCCCCAAAATAATTTTTGGGGAGAGAGGAATCGATTCAGGTTTCTTTGCCCAAAAGCCGATGCTAAGTCGATGTTCTAAAAAATAATTAGTTCAGCAAGTAATTCATGGTAAATCTCAGGGTTTGTCTGTTCGAGGCAATTTGGATTTTGAACTACTCAATGGGAAGTTAATTTTGCCAGTTTAGGCTATTATTATTTCTGGGGTGGTTTAGTAGTTAACCACCCCCAAAATAGTTTATGGGGTAGGAAGGGGTCGATTCAGATTTCTTTGTCCAAAAATCGATGGTCTAAATCATGAAATTCCGACAATGCTTGTCGGGTGCATTCGGGAGGATAGGTAGGGTGACCCCCCAAAATAATTTTGTGGGGATTTTTTCTAATTATTTTGAGGTGGTTCTACTTGTTTTTTCAATCATCCAAAACCATCTTAAACCACCTTGAAATAATTTCCAAAATTATTTTGAACTAAGGGAAGTGTTTTTGAGTAATAGTAGAACCCTACAAAATAATTTATTTGCAAATTTTCAGAAATTATTTTGAGGAGGTGGGTAGTGATAAAGGATATTATTTTGGGGTGGTTAGAGTGTTTTGGAAAAAAATATTTTGTAGTGGGTTATGTACTAGAAGCACCTCAGAATAAATCCCAGAAATTATTTTGGGGGGTCACCCTAGTGATTTTACCCAGGGTAGCCCGCATGTTTTTCCTGAAGTAATCAATGGTGTGGAATTCGCTCCTAAACTTACTTAAAGGATCTTAAAGGCTTGGTGCATCGTGCAGTGTCCAGGAGATTCGGCCTTCGCCTGCATTGTTCCATCCATCACTGGATCTCTTGGCTTTGCTCCAGTCAACATATTCTCAGACATATTATATATTATATATATATATAGCAGAAGACATGAACAGTCCATGTTGGAATGCAGCCCTCACAGATATGGGTTGAGTGAAAATCATAGCATCATGATGCATCATGCAGATACAAAACTGAGCAAGGATGGAACCAAGAAGCTCTGAGATCAGTAGTTCCATGGTCTCCCAAAAGCAAAAAATGATCCAACTCAAACGAATCCTTGACTTTAAAGAGCGCACTTGCTCTCACTTTTTCCAATCCAAGCAAGTTCTTCGTTTACTGCACCTTAGAGCCTTGCCCCAGGTCCATTAAAAGTGATACCAACTCAGTGTCTGAACAGTTCCGTTTGTTTTGGCCTTAATGGTGCTGCTGGCCATGGCTCAGCGCTGCCCCATTTTGCACTGTTGCCTCCTGTTCCTTGGAAGCAGCTGGGAAGGGCGCGAGGGACTGGAAGTGAACTGCCAGTCGAAAGGGAGGAATGCTTTCCGCCAACAAACGCATCAAACAACCAGTTGTTTCATGTGGGCGCGCATGGGTACGGGTCAACATTTAATGCCCATGGCCCATGGGAGGAGGAGACCAGCAAACTTAGCATTTCTTTGATTATTTGATTGCCTATCCACATCGTATCCAATTTTGATATTTTGATCATTTTTGATCCAGACCCATATTTCTGATGAAAGGTCAATATGGCCCAGGTTGCTAACAGTTGCCGCTGCGCAAGATGCAACGGCAGGGTCCAAGTTGGCCTTCCTGGAAGAGGGCTATTGCACCTGGGCCTTGATTGTGCCAGGGCTATTACCACAGCACATGTGAGCTGGTACTGCAGTTGGTTCCTTGATACCCTAAACATCCACAAACTGTCACAAACATGTTGTAGCAGTTTTAACATATTGCCACAATATGTGCTGTTTTCTTTCCTTGGCTTTGGGTGAAGATGCGCCCGGCTGCAGGTACTTCTACTCCCTTGGAACCCTTCGATGGTGCCATAGACATTGCCTCCATGGACTGTGCGAAGATCATGGAGTTCGTCTTCATCTCGAGGTACCACAGACGTTGGGAATCCCAAAAGGAAAGTGCCACCCCTTGCCAACGGGTCTTGGGGTCGAAGTCACTTAAGTCAGAATCTGGTCTTTTCAGATAGTCACTTACAGCATCATCATATTTTCATATGAATCCTTATAAACTTGAATTTCCAAACATATCTTCCATGGCTTTTGAAATCTCAGCCACCCATGAAATCACCATGAAACCATATGAAACCAGCAACAGCTCCTCCCTGCAGGTGGAAGTTGTGGCAACAGCTGGACGGCGAGTTGGCCGAAGCCAACAAGACCTCCAGCGCCACTGGTGCCCTGCAGACGCTGCGGAGGAGTTCGAGGGCTTCGTCCCTGGTCTCCGCCCATGTGCAGCTTGGATTTTGGCTATAGATGAAGAGAACACTGAGAATACAATTGAGAAATATTGAGAATACTTTCGTTTAGATTCATTTAGTGGGTGATATGTTAATAAAGGATATTGTGGCAGTTGTTGTGCTTGGAATTTGGGTGCTTGCAAGCCTTCAAGCGTATCAAGCGTATCTTTAGTTCATTTTGACTTTAGAGTTGAACAGTCATGAGCTCCCATAATGTATATTAAATATATATTATATATAATATATAATGTATATTAATGTATATAATGTCTATTAATTACCTGCTTCACCGGCTTTGAAACGCCTGAGGCACATCATCACGGCCGTTGCCTCGCAACGCGCGGAGTGCTTCTCCGAGCACGTGCGGCTGCTGCTGACGGTGAGCCTGCGACGGATGAAGGGTTTGAGCACCGACCAGGTGAAGCAGTTGTGGTTTGCCAGCCAGGAGCTGCTGAGATTGTTGGTAGCAACTACATGCAATTAGCACATTACCCAGTGTCATCCCAGAGCAAAAAGGCGACTTTGTAGACAGCTGTGGCAATAAAACATCCAAGTGGGGAAGCAACGATAGAGTGGGCGGTGCTTCCGGAACAACGAGACATCATCAGGTGAATTTACATGAATTTACATCAATGTTTGGTAATCTGTCATCTATGCAACGTATTTCTGCACCTCTTGTGGAAACTCTTCACTTCCTGACTGGTGCCGTTGTCCACGGCCGATTCCAGGACGGTTTTGCCAACGAGGCAGAGCATTCTTCGCGCCTCAAAGCGTGGCTCTCCGAGGCAGTGTCATGTGGGGGCACAGCTGAGATGCGGGCAGTTTGGACATGTTTGGATATGATCCCTGGATACTATCAGTCTGTGTATATTGGCTACTATACTATACTATATGACTATATCATGTATTATCATGTTATATCATGAATAAAATCATAGATAGGCTATAGTTATATCTATAGTTATAATATCATGTTATATGAATATGATCTTTGGGCACCCCCATCTCCATCCCATCCATCCCTACCTCTTCAGTAGTCTCCTGGAGGCCGTGGGTCTCTTAGATGCAGACCTTCGAACCTTGAAGACCGTGCTGCAAACCTGGACCCCATGGGTGGTGCTGGACATGGGACGGAAATGGCTGGAGGAGGTTGGGGGAAACATATCACTTCTCGATTCATTCGATGCCTATAGAAAAGAACAACTATAGGTCATCCCTGGTTAGGTAAATAACATGAAATAACATGAAATAACAACTTTGACGGAAGATTTTGGGGATCCTGCCTCCATTTCTTTCTTTCTCAACCAGGACCCCGCCGAGTTTAGCAGAGAGTCGCTTCTATTCCCACGAGGCTGATGGGCGACGCTTGGCGCATATGGCAAACTTGATGGATTTGAAGGTCCCGAAAGGATTTTTTGCACAACAGAGGTGCTTTGCTGGGTCCATTTTTAGTTTCTTGGATTTGGGGGATTAGAATGATTAGAAGCCCATCCAAACAACATTGGAAACCACAGTGGAAGGATACAGCACCATGGAAGCCTTGAGACGAGACACCTTTGAGGACATGACGAGTTGGGGAGCTGGGGAGTTATTCCAATCCGCTTCCATTTTGAGTCGTGGTAAGCAATGTTAAGCATCATGATGACAAAGAAGCACAAACATGCTTTGTTCTTCTTTTCACGGCATCGATGGTGCAGTAAATGATCAAGTTGGATGAAGCTGGTGTTTGAAATCCAGACGAAGTAACAACTTCTCAATGCATACTTCTCCAGCAGCCCTTCTGTGTAGGAGTACCAACTCGACAAGGGCCTACTGCAAGGCATGTTGCGGATGCTTCCACTGGATTCAATGGTGGCGGACTTTGGTGCTGGATCGGGGCAGTATGCCAAGTGGCTCAATGACACAGGACTTTTCTGGACAGCTGGCTAGGATTGCCAGGTTGTTTGGAAAAACAGGAGATGCCAGAGGGGTTAGTTTCCAGACCTTAGAATGTGGATAACTAACTATATTTGTCTGAATAAAGTATATAATAATTATGTGTGCGATATCGTGAAATCACACAGTGCAAAGCCTGTTGAGTCTTCAACATTGAAGTCCGCAGCTCCCAGCCGTATCCCGGAGGACTAGTGACCGCCTTGGCCTTCGATGGCTCACCAGATATCCACCTAGTGACAAAGGGCGCTGTGGCACTAGCGGATTTGGGACAGCCGCTCAACCTTGGGAGGAGGCCCTGTGTGGTGTGCCACGAGAGGCTGCTGGTGATGTCAAGACTGTACCAACTTGGAGTATCAGCTGCAAAATCCGGATCTTCAGTATATTTATATTTAATTATATTTAGCTAATCTAAATATCAATGGTCTAAACCTCCTTCAGTAGTATATTTGGAAGAAGAACCGGTTTCCGCAGGTTTCCGCAGCAATTTGACCGCCTGAACTCCTGAACTCAAGCACAAATGATCCAGGAAAGAATCATGAATGAGTATCAGTATCACGAACATTTGGGTCTGTCCAAAATGGGGTATTACCCCACTATTCCCCATTTATGGTCATTAAATATAGCGGGAAAATGGCATGATGATGATGATGATGATGATAATGATCATTATTGAATATTATTGATTAATACCATTCTCATCGTTGTTGTTATAAACCGTGCAACTTCGGGTACCTTTCCCATTTCCCAAAGCAGCCAGCGCCACCACCATTGGCTGGTCAGGTTCGACTGGTCCTTCTGCCTTGAGGTGGCAGAGCATTTGCCAGCGACGCTGACACAAACCTTCCTGGAGAATTTGGACAAGCGGCTTGGATAATTCATGGATCATTTGCATGTTAGGGGTTGACTTTTCGTTTCCATTTTTAAACACTTATATATCAAGTTTGGAATTAAAAGTTCAAGGCTTATCACCTCAACTATCGATTTCATCCTTAGCCACCAATGGATCTCAAGTCACACCGGCATCAATCAGAAAATGGGTCTCAAACAACCCACAATATTTTGGTAATTTTCAGTGCTTCATCATCCATTTTTGTGTGGTTGATACTGGTGACCCATGCCCACATCGAGTATCCTCAGCAAGGCACACTGAGCACGGCCTGATCATCACCTGGGCACGTCCTGGCTTGCAAGGCCTCGGCACGGCCAACCCGTTCCTTGGTCATCTGGGGATGGGTTCAACGTGAGTTTGGACCCGTGCCCAACTATGTGTGGGTGGTGACAGTTTGACATAGTTCGACAAAATTCAAGATGAATGGATCTTGAATAATTGTGGGATGATTTGGGTCTGGACAATTTGGTACTCCAATTCCATCAATGATAATTAATCTGTTCCCCTAGTAATCCCTTCTCCCTAGTGTTATATACCTCACCAGAAAGCCTAAGTTCTTATTAGATCTAAACATTTGAAACTTGGGGAGTCACAGGACGGGTATCTAATCTGGCCATGAAATTAGATACCCCCAATAGATGGTAAATCGTCAATACTAACAACATGATAAAAATCGGTGGTCCCCTAGGTCTTGAATATTGATCCATATCCATATAATATCATATATAGTGGCTATATATATATACACCAGTTTCAGGATGGTTCAAGTATATTCAATCACCATTAAAAAATGGTTAAACAATGTTACAGTATTGTTGGTAAATCACTAGTTTTGATGCTTAAACCATCATTTTGCCCCCCCATTGGAGGTCCTTTCTTTAGGGCTCCTCAGACATGGACCGAGGTTGACCCAGGATCAAGCCTTAGAGCTCATCCGGCAACATACGGGGCTGACGCATTTGGATCAGGCGGCTGGATCGCTGGATCGTTGGGATGAAATGGGGATAGCAAAAACGGGAGAAAGCCCTTGGGAAATTGGGAATATTATGGACTATTCACCAGTACTGTGAATGGGTTTTGCCTGAAAATGAGGTATATGGTATACTGTATATACCCCAATTTTCAATTTGTGGCCACTTTAATAGGGTAAATACTGATGATTAATCATGAGAGGGTACCCTAGTTTCAGACAATACAGTAGCATGCTTATCACTCAAAGTTGGGTACCCCGAAATCGAGTGGTGTATCACTGTTTCGAAGATATGATATCGGTTGTGAGAAACATGTTGGGAAAACTCCAAAATTCGGATGATTTGTCAATGTTTGCCTGAAAGTTGGGTACCCTGCTTCGAGCACAACTGTTTATCTTCAATTCACTTTTCCGCACCTTCCTTGTTTGGTATAACTTCAACAAAGAGACAAAGAGATCATTGGATATGCTATGAACATCTATGAACCCTATGATTAGTTGCCATTTTATTATTTACTTCCTTCGTATCTTATAGCCATGACCCAGGAGCTCACGGCTTCCCTGCGGGCCTCCGCATCCATCCCACACATTGCGGATACGCGGCCCGACGGAATCTTATGGCATATGGTTGATTAATGTTGGTTATAAAGTTTTAATATGTTATTCTAAGCTGTATGCTTGTTGGACATAAACCAAAAAACACTATTTATATCTATTTTAATTGTGGTTGAGACTAATGACATCATTGGAAAGTGATGAAAAGGGATGATCAATTTTTGGCTGTCTAAAGCTGAGGTCTCAGCTACTGAAGTGATGCAAATTGAGTGAAAAGGGATTATCAATATCCAATGAACCAGCTTGACAGTTGTGATGCATGACATCCAAGCAGCACTGCTAGCCCGCGGATCATTCGAGGCTATTGGTCATGGTCAGCTGCTCAGCTTGTGGAGTGTTTCCATCTCTGTCAGGAGGATAGATTGAGCTGGTGTCAGTGAATTGATTGAGGAAGGGGCACCATGGGGGGAAGCTTAGGTGCGACCAAGTGCGGCAACGGCACCATTGCCACGGCCTTGGAAGGATTGACACGGGACAAAACTTAAGCCCTACCTCACCAATCCTTACCATCATGGTTGCCATCATCAGCATCATCGCATTATTGGCATTACCCAGTACCATAGCCATTGGAAATGACCCATAAATAGAGGTATTTTTTATGGGAACATCTATAAATGGTGGATTTTCCATTGCAATGTTTTAATACCGAAGGGTTCCAGTACCATCATCATTTCCACTACCGTGACCATTCTCAGTGCCATCAGCGCACGGCCAAGGCCCACGTCCGATGCATCCCCTGCTTGCAATGCTGAGCACGGCTGGGATCTCAGTGGCTCTTGGGATCGACTTGTGGCACACCACCAAACGAATATTTATATAATTTTATATAATCATATTTAACCAACATATGCGATATGACATGTGGGAGATGATACAATATGATATGATTTGATGGTTATAGAACCAGTGAACTAGTGAACTGCTAGATGGTTCCAACCAAGCAGGGGTTCATGCGCACATTATGCTGATCGCCTGGAAAGTTGCAGGTTGGATTTATGCCGGCAACGACGTGCAGATGTTCAACGCGGTCAAGTCTGCGTCTGCCTGCTGCGAGCTTTGCAACAGCAGCCTGGATATATTCGGCAGTGCTTTCACCAGGTGATGAGCCGTACAGACTTACCACCATGGGCGTAGGTGTCCAAGCTATGAAAATGATAAGATGAGTCTTGAACAGTGGAAATGTGGATACAATCCCTACTCGTCACCATGGGAGTATTGGAACTGCCTTTCCAATTCTGAGTTCCACTCCTTGGAACGCGCCGAGGCAATGAAAACTGCCGTTTCTGGACCTGGTCCCGGGAAGAAAGCCACAAGGAGTGGGACGTCAATTCCCAGGATGAACACCCATGGACTGCCCTTCCAATTGTCATCTTTTGGTGGTAAACTATTTGAACTATTTAAACTATCCCATTTTTGGGTGACACATAATCAAACTGTTTCGATTGTCATTTGGGACCTCCCCCAACAAGAAACACCAAAACTGTCTCACAGGAGCTTTGTTGGATCAAGGCCCAGCAACTGTGGGCAGTTTAAATCTCATGTGGGAGACTTTTCCATACTTTTCCAATGTGGGTGTGTCCGAAAATATGGCATACTGTGGAACGGCAATTTCAATGGCAACAGGTTGAATCGTGAGATTTTTGGGGAGCTTATTTTCAGATTCTTCAGCGAAAGTCATGGTTCATCATGATCAGATGGGAAGCAATTTGAAGCAGCCATCAACTGGGTATGGATCAATACCTATAGATACATTTTTAGTGGGATGAACATCCATTTACCAGCTATTTTGGGGTTCACTAGGTACCAGGGTTTTGACCCATCCCCAACTGCCAATGATCCGCATCTGCATCCATCATCCGTCTAGGCGACCCGAGAATACCGTATCAGCCATGCTGGATTCATTTCCGGCACGCGTGATAGCAGCTGATCTCGCTGGTCAACCTGGTTGTCAAGCGAGGAAAATATGACAGGGCGAGGGATTGGTGGTGAAACCAAGATGACGTTGATGGGGTTGAGTATCTCTGGTCCAAAGTTTTTTGCTACTGTAACAATTGTTTGAATATATTTGCCATTTTTGGATGTATTTGACGAACCAATAGATGATAGTACTTGAATTGGATTTATATATAGTTGATGCGTACTTTATGAAACAAGTGTGTAAATTTTGCTTAGTTCATGGGAGGAGAAGAGTACTTTATGGATCTTTCCGCTTATGAATTTGCGGTGCCAAGGAACAAGTCATCTGGATGACTCCTGTATTGCAAAATTCGCTGCCTGCATGTTTGGCCCAGCTGGCGAACAGCGCCAAGCAGCTTCGGTCAAATACTTGAGACATCTTGAGTTCAAGATGCACTGGCCACTTTGTTTGTTGAGACTACACATCAGACAATCTCTCAAACAGCGCAGTGCAACCCCATACTGAAAGAACACTTAAGTCACACCTCATCTTGCTAGACTCTAGTGACCCCAGCCCTTCTTGATGCAACACTTAACATTTGTTTCGCTGTCTTCAAACAAAACCATCAAGAACAGAAGCTTTGGGGTCTGGAACCATGGCATACCATAGCCATTTTTGAAGAGCCCACAACCAACAGCCATCAGTTCACCCCCACCGCTTCCACCTGGGATATGCCGTGAAGTTTCAGCCATGGGCTGTGCTGGGGCCAAAGCGAATGCCGTCAGCACAGCGGTGGCCCAGAAGCTCCGCGCGCAACGAGAGCGTTCGCGGCAGAAGTTCGCGAGAGGGCCCAAGAGTCACCTGGACTCAATTGCAGATGATGAAGTAGGTGCTTAGCTGCTAACCAGGGCGAAAAAAAGATGCCAGTCTACTTAACTTGCACATATTAGAATGATATTCATTAATCAACCTGGATTTGATCCTAGTTTGCCAAGTTTTGTTTACCCTCCACCAGTTTCACAATATCACTTGTTATGTTCCGCTTGCACTTTTCAGCGAAATCAACCGAGGCGAGACTGGACGGCAAAGCTTTGCATCCTTGGTCCATGCGTTGGCGCCAGTGTTGGAGGAGCAAGAAAGCAGACGAGGAGACCTGGTGTCCACGGTGTCCCAGACAGATCACACCTGGTGGAATCTCAGATTGAGAGCCAGTGACTTTTGAGTGTCGTTGATTTACATCGATGCCACAAAACTTGGAACATCTTGGAACCATCCCTCATATGCCCTTCTCATCACATCTTGCAAGGCACTCCTGTAGTGAAATTTGACATGTCATCTGTTCTGACATGTCATGTCCCATGAATCCTGGAATTGGAAGGGAAACTCTGCAGGAAGCCGCCGTATTTGATGAACAAAACCATGGTTTCCATTGATTTCCTGATTTTCCCCATAGATTTTCCCGTAAACAAAGCCATTGAATGACCACCCCCATCATGGTCGCTGGAGGAGTTATCTGGTCGCAGTCTGAGGACTGCTTCCAGAGCCTCTCAGTGGATCCAGATTCCTTCAATGAGGGAGACTTGGAGGTGCTGAGGGAACGCCCCTGGCAGCAGATGTGGAGAATACATCTTCAGGACTTTCAGGGCTGGATGTCGAATGAGAAATTTGAAAACAAGACCTCAAAGGAGCACTCTTTTTTTGGGGGAGATGGGGTGTCACTCAAGACTACCCTTTGGTAAACTAACATAACTATGGAAAATCACCATTTTTAATGGGAAAATCCACTATAAATGGCCATTTTCAATAGCTATGTTAGTTTACCAGAGGGTATCATATGAAAATGCCAGAAAATGCATCATGGCTTGGGATGCTTGGGGATGCTTTGGGGATGGTCTGGGATGGGGCCTTTCAAGCCATGGCAGATCATGGCAGCTTCAGGAGTACGAGGACGGAGCCAACCAGCTGCAAGAGGACACCGAACTTCCAGCGATGGACACCTTGCTGGAGACCATGCGGGACGGCAATGACGAAGCTGTCAAGGTGGCCAGGTTAAACCGGTGCTGAGAAAGGTGACAGGTGGGACTTGGTATGGAGATATTATGGAGATGGCTGAGTGAAGTCAACGGCCAAAGGCATGTTAAAGGCTTATAGAATGGAAATTGATGAATTGCACAGTCAAGATTTTGTGTTTCCACATTCAATAATTCAGCACTCATACAGATATCCTGCAGCTCATGAATAGCAGCTCCCCCGCAGAGTGAAATGGCAGGCCTCCTTGCCTCAATTGAAACGCTTCAGAGCCCTGCAGAGACTGTTGAGCCTCCAAGAAGACTTGGCGTCACTGGCCAGGACATTGTGCATGTTGCAACATCAACGGTTTGCAAGTGTTCTCATGACCAGAGTGTTTGATATATTTACATCATATGTATATATGAGCTATATATAATTATATATACACTGTATTTACTGTAATGTATGATTTTTGTATAATTATATCAAGATATTTCACAATGAATCATAATGTACATTTATATCAGCTCTTCATCCAATCCCAAGATGCTTCAATTTCTCGCAGGAAGGTGGCTCTGAGCTTGGCCTCAGAGGCCCAGTGGCCCCAGCTGGCCTTGGTGCTGCAGAAGAGCGGCGCAGAGGCGTTCCGTCAATGGTTTGGAATGGGAATTGGATGGGAATCATCCCCAAATGGAGCCGAAGTTGCAGGAATTTCAGAGTGGGTTAAGTGGATTATTATCATTTACCCAGACATAGTTTGAGCTTTTGAAAGATGTTTTTTTGGCCTGTTGAAGATGAAGTAGAAGGATTTCTACTTCCATGGTTGAAATTATACATGATATACGTAGAGTTTTTCTATACTTTTCTTCTGAGTCCATCTTGGGATAGTGGACACAAGTTGTTTGGGTTCAGGCTTCCAAACAGCAGTTGCAGGACGTATCTTGACCTGTTCGGAATTGATTAGGCTTCTTTCCTCCAACTTTGTTTCCAGCCAGGGTCACCTGAAATTTCTGCCAACCCCATTGCAGGTGCAGGCGTCCAATCTTTTGTCCATGGCATTGACAGGTTTTCATCTGCAGGCGAGGTCCAGACCTATTGCAGGGATTTGCAGGGCACTTTTGGGCACTGAACCTGAGTTGAAGATTGACATTGACTCTACAACTGCTATTGCAGTTATTTAAGCATTTTATATAGCTTTTTTTTTTTCAGACATCCATATTTGATCATATTTGCCTGTAGCTATCAGTTAGATAACATGCAGGCCTTTGGACCTTGCCATGGCCAGGGTGTTTTCTTCCGAATGGTCGTGGATGAAGATGACTGGAAGACCATTTGCGCCGAGGCACCTCGGCCCGTGCATCAGTGCATCGAAACTCCAAGCCTGTTTGAACAAAAAGGGACACATATGGAAATATATTTATGATATCAGATATAGAAATATTTAGATATCACATTTTTGCAGGTGTGCATATTAAAGCAATTTAAAACCACGTCCTTCTCGTTTCTATCATTTGGTGCCGATTCAGGTACGCATGGCCCGACAAAGCAAGGGCCCTTTGCTACTAGCGCTGGAGGTGCAGACACTTCAGGGGTCTTCCTGATGCGGGGAGGTCTCTCCAGCGTTGGGCATGGATTGTTTTCGGGAACCCATTTGTATATATGAATGTTTTACTTAGCAGGATTGCTGCAACCATCTGCAACCTATGGGAAGTGAATGGCTGACACAAGCGGAGTTGGTATTTCTACCTCTTTCACTATGTGCAATTTTCCACTATTATACGCTATTATCATCCATCTGGGTAAATTATAACGACCTCACTGTGACCTCACTATAATCATAGTTAGTAAGGGGAATCATCTCCAAATGGCCTTAATTCAGGTAAGTGAAATATTATAATTTACCCAGACCCATTACTAGTATCTAGGCTGTGAGGAACACATGGAACAACGCATTTGGCACTGCAGGGTATGGGCGTGCGACTGTTGGCCTCACCTGTGCTGAATGAGCCACTTGGCCTCAGAAACGGCAAGGGATGGACGGAATCAATCCATTCTTGAATTAGATGAGTTAGATTTAGTTAGTAATTACTGTTATATTATAAAGTATATATATATGTATTATATATATAATACAATATAAAAAATAATATAATAGATAGATAGATAACAGAGAGACATTCAATATTTTGTTGATGTTGACAGTTCATATTCCTGTTCTGAACAATTGATGTGTGCTGCAAAAGAACTGTTCAGAAGAAGCTGCTTGTGCTGCGTATCTTGACGTGAACATCATGGAACATCATTGGAATGACCCAGGAGTCATCCACACGTATCCACACCATCCACCGAGGTGTGCTAAAGATGACTCCTCCATCAAGAGGACGAGCAGGACTACTGAAGTCCTACTGAAGTGTCTACCAAGATTGCGCAGATGCAGACATTGAAATTTCATTACGCACTGCTAGCTGTGACAGGATTTTGCTCGACTACTGTCAGCAGCTGCGATATGGCCATCAAGAAGGTCCCATGTGCTTGTTGGGATTAAGGGGTGATTTCCGGCTGAATCAAGATAGTCATGTAGAGAGGTCCTGAATTTTCTGTGGATTCATCATGATTCATCGAATCTCAGATGACTGAGCCTGAGCACCCCGTTTGTGATTCACCTTGTAATTTATGTGTGCAAGAAAATCTGCCAGATGATCTGTGATGACCTGACACAATGGCCGAAAAAAAACCATGGCCGATCCGCTTACTCGCTTCACGTCTGCAGAAACGGAGCTGTGGAAAGCTGCCCAGAAACTGCCGAATCCACGGAAGTTGTTGTCGCTGGAGGCGAATGTGGAAGGTCAAGTGGTGTGCAGTGGTGGTTCCTAATCAAGAATTATGTGGTAAACTGGTAAACCCAATGATCAACCATCCAAAATAGAGGTTTCTTATTGATCTTAGTGGTTAATGGGATGGTTTAGTATTGGGTTTACTACAGGAAGGATAGATAAAATAATTTGATCCACCCCGCAACATAGCAGCACATGTACATAATGATAACTTATATATCTATAATATGCTCCAGCGTTCCCATCTCCCCCTGTCAAGGAATGGTTCTGGTAGTTTACTGTAACCCTCCCCCCCGTTTGTCAAGCCAGCCCTCATTCGCGGTGCAGGTTAGCATAGCATGAGCTGGGAGAGATTCAATAGCCGTGGTAGAAACTGTTTTACTGCCAAAAGCAACAGATCAAGAACCTAATTGTAAACATTCGTTTCTATACGTCGCAATAGCTTATTAGAAGCGTTAAAGGCAACCTTTGGCCTGTTTTTAGCTGAATTGTGTTAGACCTGTTTTTCGTTTGCGTACCATCCTCTCTTGCAGCGGTATTTCTGGGCCAGGTACCACTGGCACGGGCCATCGGTGCATTACCGCAGTCCCTTCGTCCCAGCGTCAAGGCGTAGGGTGGTTGATAGACATGACATGTGTAGCTCGGGTGCTGAACGTGACTTGGATTGTTCGAACTCGGAGCAGCTGTCAAAAAAGGAACTGTTTGCTCAGAAATCGTCAACCACAGACATCAGATTGGACAATTTGGACAGCCATCCCATCATCCTACAAGGATTTATCAGAAACCATGATTAACCATTAGTAACCATCATTAACCATCATTAGACATTCAATGTGAATTTCCATCCACTGTTCCTAGCGACTTTTGGATGAATCAAAACTGGCCAGGCATCGGAATGCCTGGCGCTGGTCTTTGGTATGCCACCAGGAGCAAAATGGCGGTTTTGTCAATTTGTCCCCCAAGGTATCCCAAGATCATCCAAGATCCAATGATAAAACAGGACATAAACAGGACATGTTCAGCAATAAGATGGATGTTCTTGGGGTATGTAACATATATTATATAACATGTTTTTTTTTTGGAGAAACCCGCAAGAATGGGAAAATATATTAGAGCCTGGAAAGCTACATCTATGAGGGAAGCCTCAAAGATTCAATTTGCAGGAGAACTGACAAGCCTTCGATGTGGAAAACCGGAGGCCTCGACTGTCATGGGAATGGCTCAAGCTATTGTGTACTTGTTTTGACCCGCAAAATCAGTCATTTTTTCAACTGAACCACAATATCTAATTTGGGGCCAATTTTTTTCATCCATACATAGCCATACCCAAATTTGCAGAATGTGCAATAATGTACAATCAAATGTGCGGGGCTCCCTCACCTTTGGACCTCCCTTTTGAAAGCCATTTTTCAAGGAGGAGTCCCCAGTCCCCAGTTATGGACAGACACACTACCATTTTCTGCCGCAACATATTGACACCGGTATATCCTAGGGTTTTCCCAAACAAGGCCGTCGTCAAGATTTCTCCTAAAAACTTGTGTGGTCATGTCTACATATATATATATATACATATTATATAAACATCTAGATAGAGATGTACCAATATACCGCATGCAAGTTAAACGTGTAATGCGCATCATTTACTGATATCAACCATGTTGACAGTGCCATTTGCAGTTTGCGGTCCAGGTCTTGGTTTCCGACTCCACGGCTGGTTTGCTCGAGGAGGTGAGGACCAATGGATGGTCCTCTGCGGAATCGCAGAATTTTGGGTTCCGGGCTTTGAAGATATTTGAAATAATAGTGATATGGTAATATATGGTACTATGGTACTATGCAATAGTGATAATGGTACTATGGTAATATATGGTACTATGGTACTATTTTGAAATAATGATGATATATCTGCGATTTGTGAATGGGTAATTTCCTGGCGATATATGAATATATCTTATTATCCAGGTGATACTATGGTAAATTTGAAATTGTCAGAACAGTAATCAACAACAGTTAGTGACAATCATAGTAACTTTGTATTTAGAGTCACACTAGTTTGACATAGAATAAACACAATGCAATTCATTTGAAAATGCCATTCATTAGATATTACCTTATTACTTTGCAGCTTTGAGGGCTGTGCCCGCAAGCAATCATTAGATATTCACCAGAATGAAAGATATATTCATTCAATGTTCAACCATCATGATGTCAAGTTTCCATCAACATTCATGAACCATGATTTAACCATGAACACATGTCAAGTCTTCCCATCATCCACAACATCCACGAGAGTTGAAAGACATCAATTACATCAATTGGGACATTGAAACCAAAGCCATGTTAAATCATGTTAATCTTCAAAATTTACCCAGACATCAATGATCAAACATGGTAATGATGTTTTTTGGTAATCTTAATGTCTGGCTAATCTTTTACCCATCAATGATGGCCATGTTAATGTCAATCATGTTAATCTTCAAACCATTTACCAATCTTTTCCCAAGGATTCCCATCTCCCAATGGCCTGCCAGGTGGCCACCTGTCTCCGATGCCTCAGCTGGCGCCTGATGCGTTTCAGCGATGTCCATGGCCTCTTTGGGTGTCCCTGTGAGGTGTCGCTGGGGGCCATGGATGCTGGCCATGGTAGTGGGCTTTAGTGGACTTATAACATGATATATGTATGTATGTATGTATATATATAATATATACACACACTGTGTATATATATATATATGATTATATAATACATCATGACATATCATGATTTGACATGATTTAATACGTTCTAAGCTTAGTGACTTTGTGTTAAAGGTTATTTACTGTGGTAATTCATTGTGGTTTTATGGGATATGACTATGACTTACTAACTGTGTTTGCGAGTGTGACACTGGGCTGCATTGCGGGAATTTGAACGAATGCAGCGACGATCCTGGGGAACATGAACATCATTAAGCTGATTAAATCCTTATACTAACCTTTTCCTTGTCTTTCGTATTTCAACCATGACAATGCCGGAAGGATTGCACTCTCTTCCAAGCAAGTGACTTAAGTGGCACAAACAATCCAATCACAAGCAGCTGACATGCAACTTGCCATCACGCCAGATTTGACAGGTTTGGTATCTTCCAGAAGCAGAAGGTGCTACAGCGGCCATGTGTTTGCCTCATGCCTTGGAGCATGAAGCCGTCATCTACATGTCTTCCATCATCTGTATGATTGGCTGCTTGATGCTGCTTCATGTTCATTATTTATATTCATTTGCATCATATATATATATATATTCATATATCATAATCTTATATATTCTTATATATGAAAAAACCATATACAGACAATTATGTGTTCATCCGAATACACATGGAACGATTTCATGTAGCAAACAGCCAATCGTCTCGTGGCGTGGAGGTGATCCAGCAGCTCCAGCCATTTGGGAATGGCCAACGCCTCATGTGGTGCCAAGACATGGCTGGGCGGTTGAGGGTCTGGGTCACCGAGTTTTGCAACTGACCTCAGGCAAAGCAATCGCTTCGCCGTGCTGTTTACTTCTGCTGCTCCGTTCTTTGGTTGCAATTCCGAAAAGACCTCTGAAGCAGAAGCTAGCCCAATCATGGATCATGTCTCGCTTGGGCTTTGTTTTGAAGTGCAAAATCTGTCCTTGAGACAAAGCATGAAACTTGATCGGACCTGGTGAACTGGAGGAATGAAACTTGATTGTTCCATGATGTTCCATGCAATTCTATGCAATTCTACACTGTAGTTGATTCATGTTGATTCATGTTGATTGGAACATATCCCAAAGTTTCCCTCCTGCTGAGGCAGTTTCCTCTATCCGAGGAAGCGTTCTTGAGCCGCGGGAAATTGCTTGCAGTTGTTGAAAGATGTTGAACGCATTTGGGCAACAACTAATTAATTATGTTCAACATCTTTCAACAACTGTAGGTAGAAACTTGCTTCTTTGTGCCACTCACGAAAGTCTTGAATTAAATTGTCCTGTAATTAGTCCAGACTCATTGATAGTCGCAGAGTCGCCTGTGCTTTCTGTGATGCGCTTCTGTGATCTTACATGTTCACTGCCAGAAACAAGGTGAAGTGACCATTCTTTTCATTGCAGGGTATGAGTAGCAAAGAGACTTGACCGCCTCATGAAAGATAATGTGTTTGGGTCGTTTGCCAACATCCATGGGGCCGTACTGCAGGATTCCAGCAGTCACAGCGCTCAGATCAAGGGGATGAGCAATGCCTGTTCGGATTGGCTTCAAGTGAACGAAATTCGAGGCATAGCTCCCTTTTTTTATTGGGATAAAACTATGATAAACATTGATAAACCAATATAAAACAGAGCAAACACACATACTTGGGACAGATTTGAGACATGTTTGGGACATTTTTGGACCATATCGCAGCTTTCCCAGGCCTGGTGGAACGGCTGCACTCGGTGGCTCAGCAGCTCTCGACGGAGCCGGGCATGGCACAGCACGGCAGGGCTTTGAGTGACGAAGTTGCACAGCAGATGGGATATGGATGGGATGTGGGATGTCGATGGTAATTTCATGTAGTTTTTATAATATTTTAGTGATTATATATATATAATATAATATACACACATATATGATACATGGACTTAAATACTGTATATATACACTATATACACACAAATACACATATGAATACATGGATTTTATTGGATTTAACTCACCAAGAGGGGATCTAGGAATTCGAGGAGGGGTTTTGTCGCCGGTGGATTTGCCCCTAATGTATGGGGATTGGGTGTGGTGTGGAGGTACACTTTGGAGACAACTCCATGTGGATGGGATATGAAGTCACCAAAAGGATGGAGGACATTTGGGGTGTTAGTTGGATGATGGTCAGATGGTACTTTGGACGGAAATCTTCATATTTCCGGCCTCTTTGGGATTAAACATCAGGTTTTGGTAGAGAAATAGAGGTCAAACATCACTGGCTGGCGTTTAAACCTAGAACAGTGATGGAGCTCAACGATATGGGTATGGTTCAAAATTCAAGACCCAAGAACCTAAGGAAGTAGGGACGAGTTTTTGTCATGTGGAACCATCCCGGGGCCCAGGTTTGACCCAGAACCATCTAAGATGATTGGGAGCTTTGGATGAGAATGGACCATAAAAAGCATCTTGAAATACGCATATTTGGGTGTTTCAAGAAATTGGGACTACCCCACAACCATAGGTTTCCGAATGTAAAACAAATATAATTTTGGATACTGTTGGGGGTTCCTATTCTAGGAACCCCATATTCCAAGAGATTGGGGTGTTGTATCCAACATTATCCAACTGTGACATTTCCGTGGGATGCACATTGGGATTATGGTGGGCGGTGTGTTTGCTTCTGGGAAACTCAAGATGAAGGTCAAGATCACATTGGGTAGTGGTCAAAATTATTGGGCCCCCAAAATGGACGGCTTTATTTGCAAAATGACCTGCCATTTTGTTGGACTGTTGGTACCTCATTTGGTTTGCGTAGAAATAGGGTACAATGCAGCAACATGCAATCATTTGTAATAATTTCCCGCATCAATGCGTTGCTTGACCCATTAGACCTGTAATATATCACACATATTTACAAATCCGATATATGGTTAGTTAATGTTAGTTGAGAACATAAATCCCATATATGGTTAGTTATGAATGAACATATATGGTTATCCCATATATGGCCCTAATACCATTTGATACCATTTGTAGGTCCATTGCTACCCCAATGGCAGGGAGTTTGCTTCGCGAGCAGCAGCTTCCTGCTCGCTTCGCGCCTGCAGTGGCTGAGCGTCTTGACAGAAAGGATGCTCCAACAATCACATCTTAAGCGCAACAAATATGGGAACAACCATTGGAACATGGGGATTTAATGGGACTTAGACGGGATTTAATCATTGGAACATGGGGATTGAACCATTAGAAATGGGTGGTTTCATTGGCTTGATGGAGATTTAATAATGGGGATTAATGGGGAAACCAAGCATTTTATTATGGATCATGGGACACTAAGAATCTGATATTGGGGTTTGTCTAAAGATGGGGTATACCACGGGTATACCCTCCACAACGGTCATTTTACAGTAGATGGGTTAAAAAGAAGATCAACCAATGGCATAGAACATGTTAACTGGACGACATGGCATATAATGTGGTAAACCCCAACAATAAACCTCCAGTTGAGGCATGGTTTATGCCTTTACGCCACCCAGTTCTGGTCAAATTGGGGATAGCCTATGCCTATGCCATGGGGTTTCCATGGTTTTTGTTGAGGGGATGGGATCCCAGAGTGAAACTGCCGCGTTGGACAAGCCTGAACCAATCTATATAATTTGTGCTAGCAGCTAGCATTTTATGCACGAAACAATGTGAATTCATCTGCTTGCTGGCATTCTTGTGTAGTGGAGACTCCAATTGTCTCTCCTAACCTTCGGTAATGAAACATGGCTAGCTGGGAAATCACCGAACTAAATGAAGGTTTTTTTGAGAAAATCATCTATACATGGGGGATTTTCCATTGCCATATTTGATCATCGAAGGGTATCTCTTTCTTCATACCGTGACCAGCAAATTGCATGGCACCACTGTTTGACCCTGGGTGTCACTGTCATGAGCTGATGGCTTCGCAGGTTGAAACTCCTTGGGGTGCAACATTTGCTGGTGAAGAATCAGGCCGGCCTACGGGCCCATCCCGCCATGTTTTGTTGTTGAAATAGTGTGCTGAGCGCAGCTTCCAGATTGTCTTATTTCATGATTTGAGTAGAGTCATTGACACACTGGCACACTGGACTTCAATCTTCTCAGTGGTACCATATCCAGGATCATATCCAGTAACATATCCAATACCATATCCAATACCATATCCAGGATTCTGTCGGCTCACTGGTTGGGCACTGATAGATTGGCCAGTACAATTTGTCCTCAATCCACTGGCCATCCCGCACTTTCAAGCAAGCTCATCTCATATTTTCTTGATTTCATATCCATATGACATCATTATATATTCCCATTACCGTCCATTACCCATTACATATATGGTCAGTTACTACAACGCTCCACAACTTGTTTGGCTGAGCCATTAAAGCCATATAATTTGGAAAATCCAATGTATATGTATAAATACAATAATATATATATATATATGTATAGCCAACATGTCCCATTTATGAATGATTCATTTGTGTATATATATATATATATCCCATATATAATTAATTGATTATGTTATGTTCAATTTAAGCCATGGCAGGCCCTAGTGGAAGAAGCTGCTTCAGTGGAGCTCATGAGCCGAGCGGCGAAACACGCGGTGCCGGCCATGAAGGGGGGACGGTGTTTAGAGGCCTCAGCAGATGAACCGAAATAGTCTCTAAAACTGCCACCAAAAACCCGTGAGATAAGCAGTTTTGCGGGTTACTACCTCCAATTTTAAAGGCTAAGACTAAGACTCCTAAAATGGAAAGTATTGACCTTTAAGCACGGGGGCAAACCCCTCTTGAGGATACATAGTTAGCTGGTGGTTACAAATCTGTGTGGCTCAAGCTGTTGGGTTAGCCATGGATCCACCCATTGCTGCTTTATCCTTAGAAAAAACATGGGTGCCAATACTTTTGACCGATACCCAAATGATTGGCAAGATGCCTGAAGCGTCTCCACAATGGAACGCACACAGAATTCCAACACTGGTACTAGAAGCTGGGAACATTGTTTCAAACCCAAGTGATGTGTTCCCACCATCCTAGTTTTTCATCCCTCAATTCCTGATTTATACTAATAGACCAATGATTTGTCACGAATTCCAACCAAGGTGCGCCACATCTTGACGCATCGCCAAATGCTGCGGGCCGCTTCCTCGTCCTCGCCCAACGGCTGCAACGGCTGCGCCGCGGAGGTCTTCTTCGGCCAGCTGGGGCCCAAACGGAAGGAGGCGCAGATGATCCATAGTTTATGGTCAATATGGTCATCATTTCTGACTGATTTCATTTAAGATGATCCGTATATTTATAAATGTCATTAAATGTCTATCATCATCGGTGTGGTGGAACACAGATACCTGTTCCATGATGATAGACTCTTATAACTAAAGACTTCCGTAAGTAGCATCCACAAAGACATCCATGAAAGATCCACAAGTTGCAGTAGTGCCCAGCAGCTGCTGCCCGAAACCTTCAGCCAGGTGGTGGACACACCCCTGCAGCGCCTTTGGGCGGTTGACGCAGATGGGGACTGGATGCAGCTGATCGCTAAGGAGGCCAATGTGAGCTGAAGTACTGTAACTGAGATTATTTTATCAAGCTGCAGAAGATCATTATGTCAATTGTGGTTGCAACTGAGAAATATCTTTATATCTTAATTAATATGTAAAGCAAAAAAACGTCCAGAATTTTCTCGAAACAATCGCATTGACATAGCTCCTGCTGGACATCAGACATCTGACAGCATTCATAGCCAGGGTTCCAAGACGTACGGCCAATTGGCGCATAGCGACCGCTAACTGGCCCCTGCTAGGCACAACTTCTCTCGACGGAGGACTCCATTGGAGCGGATGCGGCGGAGGCGCCCATTCCACCCATCCCACCGCAGGAGAAACGAGAAGTGACGCTTGCCTCAAAGAGTTCTGTGTAAATCCTGTCGACCTCAAACGGACCTGGTTTAGTCATGGTTTTTTGGGGATGAAACATGAGGAAACCACCAATGGCTGATTTCCAATTTGGGGGTTTCTCAAAATGCGGGATCCCCAAGTCACCACGGGTTTCAATACTAAGTCATGGTCATCCATGACTTGGATGATTTGGGGTCCCCCAGTTTATGTTTTGCCCCGATTCGTTGGCCTTCCCAAGACTACGACTTGATGTTTCCTCTGCCTGGCATCGGCCGAATCAGCATTGGTTTCCTTCAGAGGATGCTGAATTTGAGAGCGGCTCAACCAGCGATCTAATGATAATCTTCCTAGTGCTTAGTAACTAGGGCTTGGGGGAGTGATCTAAATAATATTTATATAATATAATGACTATAATGACCATAATCACTATTAAGAATCATCCCATTCCCCCAATACCCTGCTCAGTAAGCATTGGCTTTGTCCCGTTTCGATGATCTCTAGCACCCAAGGAAGAGCGATGAAGCAGAGTTGGAGGCCGTGGGGTCAATCAAACATGGCACTGGGAAATAGGCAGTTTTATAGTCAAAAAACTGATCTACAATAGTAATTCATATAATATAGTGACAATGAATAGCAAGGATAACAATAGCAATGCAAAAAAATGGACAAGAACTGGAGATTTTCCATTGTTAGCTTAGCTTATCACAGGGTACATCCCCACTTATAGCCCTTCCAAAGGTCACGTCCCTTGTCCAGAGGCCCAGCTGATGCTCAGCGCCCTGCAAGTGAACCCCGACGCGACGAGCGAAGAGCAAATGCAGCTGGCAGCGTTGCGCCAAGGGTTGCTGCAGGTGTGAACGCTGATGCCATGGATTTCCCCTCAAGAGTGGCAGAAAATCCAATTGGGCTGTTTATAATGGGATGACAGCTGATGGGCCTGTTGAAATGCCCCAGGCATGGTGTACAAAGCTGGCAAAAGTGTGGCAAAGTTGGCCTTGTGAGTGTGTGTGTGTGTGTTCATGCAGTTCTGTAGGTGTAATGATTTGGAACTCGCAGTCTTGAACAAGACATCGGGGATAAGCAGGCTCTCGGAACAGTTTGCATTGAAACCTGGTAGTCAAACATGGCAATGGAGAAGCCCCATTCATAGATGTTTTCCCATTTACCAATTTAAATATACCTAGGGGATTTCCAAGCTTGCCATGATTGATTTCCAGAGGGTAAGTTTGATTTCCAGAGGGTAAGTTGTTCATGGTATTCTCCAATCAACATCTGACTCTTGCAGGTCGTCTTCTGGGTTCGACTGGCCAGCATGGCACATGAGCTCTCACTGACTGCTGCTGAACCTCGAGACAAGGACGAACAGTTCTTCTCCCAACCTGTCTCGGAAAGGTTGGCATCCATTTGAATCCATTTGAATGAAAGGAAAGTGACAAAAACCATCAAAAACCCAGATTTTGATGGATTTCGCCCAAAAAACTTCCCCCAGCCTGCCATGCCAGGATCCCTCCCGAGCTTCCTCCGTGTCCACCGCGGAGTCGGAGGCTCCCAGGACCGACCTGTCGACCTCGCTGTCGCTGCTGCGGGCCCTGGGGCATCGCCTGATGGCGGCGGCAAGGCGCAGGCCGTTGGCGCTGGCGGCGGCCACGGCCGGTGAGTGGCTTGAATGGCAGGATTTGTGGGTAGGGAAGCTGGAATAGCTGGGTATATCATGGTTTATGATGGTTTATGTATATCATATATACATAACAATTATATAGTATAATATATATATACATATATATATATATATCATATATTATACATACATCTCAAAGTTGGGATCATGTTTAACGGGAACCATGGATGCACAGCATTGGTACTTGTACAGAGTGGATCAGAACTTGCAAGATGCAAAATCCATGGTTTCACAGGATAGCATAGCAGTATCGTGATCGTTTTTGTGGATTTCAGTTCCACTTCATGTGCCATCTGAGGTTGCGAATCTCCCTCCCAAGAGAATTCACTATCCGTCTTCGTGTGCACGCCCTACAGCTCAATGCTCCCATGCGGGTGCCCATTGGTCCCTCGGCCACAACCTCGTCCAGCTCAAGTATCCAGCTACATTTCCGCTGCACAGCGCCCTTGAGCTATGAAGAGGCCTTCTCTGAGGCTGGAAGTGGGTTGAGATCAGGTGGGTTTTTTGGGGGATTTACAGCCAGTTTATGGCTATTTTGATGGGGAAAAGTATGTTCTAAATGGGATGGAATGAATGAGGTTCCATTTCTTTCTAGATAATCCCAGTTTGACAAGAAGGACGGGCAGAAGGAGTCCTCAAAGACGTTCAGGAAATTCACGCCACTGACCATGCTTTTGCTGCCATTTTCACAGATTCAATCGTTGGGACCGCAATAGACCAGCTATGAGTTTGGGTCCAAAGTAGGCAGCAAGATTTTGAAATCACTGGAAAAATAAGCTCTTGTGCCCCTCAGGTTGAATATTTGGAGGAATTCTAGGCATTCTAGTCATACACTTTTGATCTTTGGCGTTATTGGGATTGGATATCCCACCAAAAGTTGAACTATTTGCAGCGACCAGATCATCCCCTGGAACGCTTGGAGCGATTTTCCTCAAAAAGCGACCATTGGCATCTCATTTCACTCTTATCCTTCAGGGGTTTGTATTCCAATTTGTTACGGTTATACAGTATATGCACACACATATATATATATATATGATATATTGGTATACATATATATATATGATATTTACAATATATTAACACTTAAAATTATGATAATCGATATTTCATAGACACTCAATATCCATCCATCTCCATCCGAAGAAATCCCATGGTCCAGGTCCTCCAGGCAGATCTTCCGGGCGATCCTGCGAAGCCGCTGAGCGCCTCAGGGAAGCTGGCGGCACTGCTGTTGACCAACCGCGTCTTGGCTGTTGACAAACGCTGCGTTGAACGGGAAAACAACCATCAAAAATCTTTCAAAATGTAGAGATCACATGGGATAACCCTTGGTAACTGTGGCTTTCATGGTGGTTTCATGGGATATATCCCCAAATGGTGATGTCTTTTTTTTTTAACATCATGATAATCCAATTAAGGGTACTTACTTTTTCAGACAAAGCCATATTTCAAACCGTCATAAACCGTCTAGACTGATGGTTTCATATGGAAAAAAAACACCTTATTGGTACCCTCTGGTAATTTAACGTAGCTATTGAAAATGACCATTAATAGTGGATTTTCCCATTAAAAATTGTGATTTTCAATAGCTATGTTAAATTACCAGAGGGTAACAACAAAAATCGTCCGGTTCACCTTTGGTCATCCCATAGAAATCCTCAAGGCGACCTGTCCCTGGGCCGCGGCCGCGTCGGTTTGTTGCAACGGTCTCCGGAGCTAATGGCGCCGTTGGTGTCAGTGGTCTGGAAGTTGGCCGCGGCCACGGCGGTGTTGAGACCCGGAGATGCCACGACGGCGTATGGGGTGAAACACAAAGCCTGGTGCCTTGGGAGGATTTTGGGATGTTTTTTTGGGATGTTTTTCTGGGGATGTTTTTTTTGGGATGTTTTCTGGGGATGTTTTTTTGGGATGTTCTTGGGGGCTACAGTCGTTTTTGTTTGGGGGATGGGGGAAAATTGGTGGGCCGTTCGATTTTTTGGAGGGGGAAATCGATGTTTGTGGATTTTATTTTTCTGGGGGGGTCGAAGTTTTTTTTTATCATTGAGGCGCTGGGTGTATGATGATCTTTGGGATGGAGATGGGATACACATTTAATGATATCACAGACTATCAAACAATGCATTATTTGTGGAAGAGATTCACGATCATGACAATGGCAGGGACAGAATGACGACAGCTCCTGTTGGAACATGTTTTAAGGGGCCATTTCCTCGAGGCACAAATAACCTGGCCTGGCACCAGCGGCTTTCCAAGAAAGGTCAGCCGTGAACTTCTGGCAATTGATCATCTGAAATATGTTGAATATTTCAATAACAGCATCCAAACCATTCCAAACCTAGTGTTCCATGATACAGCCCCATAGTTTGAGTCACATCGCAAACGCATCCTCGAAGTGAATAAGGACAGCCAAAACTTTGCTTCAAGTGGTTCACTACCAACTGCTCTCTTCTGCTGCGGACTCCGGAAACCAGGCGGACTGCAACTGAAACGGGGCAGCCCAAGTTGGAGCTGGGTGTAATCATGCACAAAGTCCCATGGTGGGCATTTTCAACTTCTAAAGTTCAACTTCACCAGGAAGTTTCAGTCACCATCCTTGCAGATAGTAAGTTAGAAACCATCATCCCCTGTCCAGGGCCTGGGGATCCTTGGGGATCCCTGGGGCATTGGTAGATTCGCCGAAGGAGGAGGCGGCCTTTCTGGCCAAGCAACTTCAGACGCTGAAAGCTGCGGCACAGATCCTGGGGGAGCTGGGCATCTCCTGCCCAGCGGAGCTCTTTGCGCCGCTGGATAGGCGTTCATCGGAATTTCCCCGGGATAATAATGGCTAGCAGTTTGATTTATTGATCTTGAATGTGTGAATTCTCCAGTTGGTTGTAGAACTGAAGGCCTCAAAGCTAGCAGTGACTGGCAGCAACTGGCAAATATTGGAGAAGTCAGTTGCATTGCTCCGTGGATCAGCAACTCAGGTCCTTCTTTACGCTGAGGGGTATGATATGCGAGAGAGAAGGACCGAAGCCTGTCCCATCAACCCAAAAGGAACATGGCCTTACAAGATGAGTCCAAGAGTTCGCACAAGATGACTCCAATCTTCTTCTTGATCTGCCATTCAATTTCTGGGTACTAAACCGGTCCAAAAGTCTATATCATATTATATTATATATATCATATTATATCTATATTAATATATAAATATATAGATATCCACCTCATTCCAATGTCCCAATGTTCCAAAACCATCCCAAACTCATCAGGAGATGTGGACGCATGCTACCTCCACTACCTGCAAGCCTTAGCTCGATTGGATGATGCTTGGGGCGATCCACGGAAACCTGGAGGTCGAGGTCATCCCTATGCGGCCTTCCTAGTGTGGAAGTTGGGATTGATCTCCTACTGCAGGTGGGGATGACCTGGGGGAACAAAACGCTTGTCCCCCCGAACTCCGCAGGTGAAAGTGTTAGGTAAGATGATGCAATATGCATTGATGTTTGCATTGATGTTGAGGTTGAAATGAATCTCCCGTAGAACCTAGGACCTAGGGACCTACTTTTTTTCGCGATGCATTCCGGCACCAGTTCTAAATTGAGCCCAAAGATCTGCGAAATACGGCAAAACACAATGCCATTAAACATGACTCGTGAGTGACCATGTGCCCTGCCGCCCTGCGAGGTCGGACACGAAGTGCATCGTGAAGTTCGGGGACTATTTCAGATCCTTAGTGCTCTCTTTCGAGGCACCCAATGATTGCAGCTGCCTGGGGTACTGTGAGGCGACAAAGAAATCTAGTGCAACTACCACTCAGAGTATCTTATCATGGCCTCATGTTCATCCATTTCTATTCTCTTCTCATACCATTGAATCATTTGCAACAGTTTGCACTCTTTTCCTCAACAACATCAAAATCAAAGCCATCAGGAGATGGATCCACCCTTTGTGGCGTTCACCTCGAAATCACAGGATATCATTGATATCACAAGTGTCCATAACCAGCATCAATTGATGGCTCCCTATCATCATTATCATCCCTTGCCTGGTGTGAACCTTTTCATCAAAATGCTTAACAAACATCATCCCATGATGATCATCACAGTGACCCATAGCAATTCATTACAATCATAATGATCCATCATAATCATATAATTAACATTTGTAATGATCCATAATAATCTATGACTACATAATATTTTCATCATCATATTCCACAACAATAACGCATCACTCCAATATCCCCATATTATCCCATTTCAATGGTAATTATCCACAACCATAGATCATCACAATGATTCTCATCCACAGAATAAATCATAATACATCACTAATATACTATGATCACCATATTCATGATTCATAATGGTGGATGATAATAATCACGTGCACTCTCTTCAGCATTATCATGCTGATAATGCCGGATACTCATAAAAACTATATATTTATATATTATTCAAATCTCAAGATTACATACAATATATCTTTGATATGTATATATATACATAGATATGTATAACAACTCTATCCTATCCTCTCCTATCCATCTTTTCTTAACGCCATCGCTGCAGGATGTGCCCTTCTCCTGGGGCCCTGGCAGCTCCGGCGACGTCTCGGAGCCGCGCTGCCTGGAGCTGCTGCGCCGCGAGGCGCGGCCGGCGGCCCAGTGGTGCTGGAGACACGACGTGCTCAACGTCCTGCAGGAGATGGGGCCGCCATGGAATGCCATGGAGATCCATGGCAGATGTGGGGAATATGAGAGTGAATGAGTTGTATAGCCTTATAATATGTATGTATATATAGATATGTATAAATGTAAAGATATAGGGAACTATGATGGAATGAAATTGTAAGCCCCGGATCCCACCAGGAGGGTCTTTTGCCAGCACCCTGCACTCCTGCGGCGGATGAGCTATCGACAGTGGCCAACCATCACAGCATCACAGGCTGTGATGCCTGTAGGATCATGGTGAGACTTGTTCCGCAGCCCCATCTGACACACACACACATATATATATATATGTATATATATATATATGTATATATATAAATATGTATATATACATACTATTATGTACTTATATTTGCAAGAAACACAAGAAACCCTACTGCAAATCTGTTCCTGATTTCTTAGCAGAAGAGAAAGGCAACGGTCACCTTCAGCAGGTTGTCCCGGCCACCATCACCGTCCAGTGACGGACCCCTGAAGAAGGGTCAATCTAGGGACCCATGTACATCAATAACATCTAATCACTAGGTTCATCTACCACTTTGGTTATGAATTGTTATTGTGTTATCAAGTCTGTTATTGTTATGGTATTGTTGTCATATAATTTTCAACATTTACAATATATTCCAATCTTCAAAGTTACCAATCCACTCATAAGAATCTCATAAACACTATTGTCATAGAATTGGATGATGGGAAAATTTACAGGAAACCCCTATATTTCATGGTAAAAACCCATGGGTTTCCTGTAGATTTTCCCTTAAACCAATCCATTGATATATGAAGAATATGGTAAACCTCCATTTTCCTATGGTTTTCCTATGGTTTTCCCATTAAAACCTCCATTTTCCTATGGCAAACCCAGCTCCATCCGCACCCTCCAGGCGATCGTCAGGACGTCTTCCGCGGCACCGTCTTCGCCTGCGGCGTCAACGAGTTGGGACAGCTGGGCACCGGGCGCGACCTGCCGTGGAGCGGGGCACCGCTGCGGGTGGTGGCGCTGAAAGAGGCCGGTGCCTGGTGGCGGATAGCCATGAAATCACCATGAAATCCCCATGAAATCACCATTTTTCTGGATTAAATGAATAAAATCATGTTAAATCACATGAAACTGCTAATGAAACAATGGTAATCGAAAATTTCCCATTTACTAGTACAGATAAGTGTCCCATTAGACTGTCCATTTACTGCCATGTTTGATTACCGAAGAGTATGATGATGGCACCATCCAAAATGGGAATATTTGGTGGGTATCTAATCCACTTTGATTTGGGGGCTTTAGCCTTTGGTAATTTGTCACAGTTTGCGAACTGGAGAATCACCATTTTCAATAGGTAAATCATCGGACTAGATGGGTCATTTTCCATAGCAAACTGTCAAATTACTGGAGGGTAGTACTTAGTGAAAGTTGCTGTATATATCTGTATATCATGTTGGTGACATCAAGGCATGTGTAATACTATGTATATTTCTTTTGGGGGGCTATATCCGCTATATCCATCTATATCCCCATGTTAACTACGTCCAACGATATTAGTGAACAAGGATCGTGATACATGGATGGGTAATTTACTGGCCGTCAACATACTTTAGTACTAACTTTGGCTTTTTTTCCAGAAATGGAAACACATCAGGTACCCCAACCAGCCAGAGATTTGCTCGTTTGTTTTGTATCCAACATTGGCCATATGTGTATGTACATATATATATATACATACACACAACTGCGTGTGTAAGTATGTATGTATCGAAAATATATGATATAGTATATATATATATATAACTATTTATGCATGTAGTATATGTATGTCTGCAGAAGCTTCAGTAGACATCTATCAGTCCTTTGGCGCACCAGTGGAACTTACAGATGAATTTGCTAATAAATTGAAGACCCAGACATTTACCTGGATACAGTGCAGGTTCGCATCAAAGAGGTGGCATGCGGTGAAGCGCACTGCATAGCTCTGGATTTGGAGGCTCAGAAGGGGAGCAAGTTTCAAACCGGTACGCCAAGAGGAACTTTGAGTATTTAGCAAGTTGAGTTGAGCCTGTGAGAGTTGGGATGAGTTGAAAGTAGGATTGTCCGGTCCAATTTGGATAGTTCCAACTTCAAAGGCACTCACCGGGAAGCTCTGAGCGCAGTGTATGGGGCACCTGTTGGGATTCCACTCGGCAAGTCTCAGGGCCACCTGCATGCCTGGGGTTTTGATGAGTTCTGCCAGGCTCGGACTGGGCTTTTTCGGGATTTTGGGTGCATCATTTGAGAGGACGACATTGTAGGACAACAGCATTGGACGAAATTTGGGTTTGTCCAAAATGGAGAACACAACATTTCATGATATTTCATGGCCATTCTGTTGGGAACAGGATTTTAAGCCACGCGGGATGCAATGGTTTTTTTCCCCCACATCCGACAAACCTATTTTGTCGTTCCACTACTAAACCAGTTTCAGCCGTTGGAAGAAGTGAGCAAAAACATCTTCAGACTGATCCCCAGATGGATAACCATAACCTCTGGTAATTCAGCATAGCTATGGAACATTACCCTTACAATGATGGGTAAATCATCGAACTAAATGGCCTAAATGGGTCATTTTGCATAGCAAACTGTCAAATAACTGGAGGGTATACTCTAACAATTCCACCATATAATTAAATTATCTTGAATTTGTCATATCCAAACTATAGTAATTAGTATAATGACCATTCATATCTCGTATAAATCATATCCCCTAGGATTTCATCCTCCCCGAGACCAGGTGGGTGGAACCCACTTCGTGGCATCACCATTAAGTTCGCCCCGCTGCCCTGGTGGACGTCCTGGTTTCCGTGGCTGCAAGGTGGTACCCAAGCCGAGGCGGCGATGATGGGCTGGGGAAACCCCCATGACTGAAACCTCCACAGCTCCATATGCTAAATGCTTGGTTGGAAGAGTTGCGGGAATCGAACATCCTCTACTTGTAATGTGGGTAAAACTGTAAAACAAGGTCATAAACCACCCATTTGGGAGTGGTTTATACTATTTATGGCGATTTGGGGGATGGGTTGTTATTGTTTTACCCACATTAATTGATTTCTTTGCCTCAAGAGTCCGCTCTTTGCGAGGCAGCTGCAGGTTGGGACCAGCTTTGTTCGTGTGGCCTGTGGTGCACAATTTTCACTGGCGCTGGATAGTTCGGGGCAGGTGCCTGGGAATGCCTTTTGATGAAGGACATGTTAAAATGCACATGACGTCTTCCAGGTGAGGTTTGTTCATTTGTATTCATTTGTCACGTCGGTTTTGATTGGGAAATTTGCTGTGTGGAGTGTATTTTGCATGTCCTTATTTTCCAACGAGGTGATGTGTCGGCGGATTGGGAGATTTATCCAGATATACCCAAATGACCCAAATGACCCAAATGGTTCATTCCCCACTCCATAACAGCAGCTTTATTCCCAACTGTGGGCTTGGACATATTTCGCGTTCCAAATCTAAGACGTTCAGCTTTTCCTTCCCCTTCAATCCCAGTCACACTTGGAAAAAAATGGAAACTCTTCAATACAGTATTTCACAATGATCCAAGTATGTATCCACAGGTATGACATGGTATGATGATGTATGATGTATGATGGGAGCCTAAATCAATCCCCATAATGTATAATGATTGGGATAATTCGTAGACCATAATGAAATCATGATGGGTTGTCTTAAAATGAGGCTCCCAATACATTCATTTGCATCATGTGGCTATCCCAATATACAATTGATATCAATTGATGTTATTTCATGGTCGAGACCTGGGATTTCCTTGGGTTTTTCATAGGTTTTGGTATAAAAAGCAGGGGTTTTCCCTGGGTTCTGCCTGCCCCCGAGGTTTGGTCCTGGGGCCACGGTGAAGGTGGCGTCCTGGCGTTGGGCCCCAGCCTGACCGCGCGAGCGGAGCCGACCAAGGTCTTGCTGGAGAAAGGTCAGAACTGTGGAGCTGTGGAGCTGGTTTCATAGGGGCTTCATGGGATGATTCATGATTGTAATCTAATATGATATGTATCACACACATATATATATATATATAATATTCATATGAATCATCCCATTTAATGTGATATCATATTCATTGTATATATATATATATATCATATATCAGATATTCATAGGGGGTTCTAATATGATATATATATACACACGATATGTATCATCCCATTTAATGGGGGTTTATATTAATGGGTTTATATATTAATGGGTGGGGTGGATGGCATTATTATAATATAATAATTTAATATGATATATCTAATATATATATAAACATACTGGGATTACAATGATTATTAATGGATTTTATTATTGCAATGGTTTAATGATATTTATTGGGGTTGTTAATCTAATAATATGATATATCGAATATGATCATTAATCATTATTCATTACATAATGGGATTATTCATTAATTGGATTCTATAAGGATATATCTATAATATGGATTATATATATAATGGGATTATAATGGGATCTCTAAGGGAATTGGTGATCTAATATTATATAATATGATATAATTAGGAGAATATATATATAATATACATACATATATATATATATATATATAGTGGGATTATTAATAGCAACCATGCTGTTAATTTGTGAGTTATCCTAACAGTCGAGGGTCATGAAAAATAGGGGGTTAATGGGATTATTGATCTAATATGACATATAACCCCATCCCATTCAATGGGATTAAATATAATGGGATTATAACGGGACCATATATAATGGGATCTAATTTTTGCATGGGATTTGGGATTATAATCCCATCCTCCCAAATTATAAAGTCAACCTATGGTGTGCCTAAGAGAGGCCATCCACGGTTTCCCCATGGTTCTGGAAGATCATCCAACCAAGTCTGGATGACTCTATAGATTTTCCGGAATTTCGGGCTCACCCTTCAACATCTTCAACATTTCCCTTGTTACATCTTATTAGCCTCTGGTAATCCAAGCAGAAAATCCTCAGCTGAATTTCCAGGATACAGCTGGGCCAGCTGGGTGGCTTGCGGCTCCTATCACGCCTTCGCCGTGTGCGAAGGGCAGCTTTACAGCTGGGGTCGCACGGAAGGTGGTCAGCTGGGTTTAGCCTCCGAAGTCATTGAGGGTCACATCGAGGCGTCCGGAGCATTGGTTCAGCCGGACGAGAGAAGGGTTGGAATGTGTGGAATGTTTGACAGCTTTTTTTGTTTTTCGTGCTCATTTAGATCTTGCTGTAGATAGGTAATGATAGGTATATAGTATATAGGTTGAAATGCAAATTGATTTTGTATTGTTATATCCATGTCAAAGGTTGTTGGTGACCAAGTATATAGAGAAGTCCGTTTGAGCTTCATGAAAAGCAAGCGACGTGACGGGATTCGTGGTGATTTCATATTATTTTTCTATGATTTTCTTAGATATGTCGATCCGGATTGACCTGTCCACTAGTGTTGAGATCTGTTGCCTCAACATGGCCCACAAATCAGATACCTAGGATCATTCCATAGAGTTTTTATCCCAACATCAGGACGACATCAACATCTGTTTGCAACGAAAAATCCTGCCAGGAGCACCACTTGGAAGATAGCTGTGTTTGTTTGCCACATCCAGTCCTAAACCTTCCTCCCATCCGTTCGGCTGCTGGGGGAGATGTACATAGTTTGGCACTGGACGAGACAGGTGCCATGGGATGCGACAGGGGATCTGCTCAGGAGGGATAGAATCACAGGAAATCCACGGTTTTGGACATGGATAGCCAGCGGCTTTCAAAGGTGCATTTACCCTCTGGTAATTTGTTACATAGCTATTGAAAATGGCTATTTATAGTGGATTTTCCCATTAAAAGTGGTGATTTTCCATACTGTAGTTTTTTGTATGTTTACCAGAGGGTAATCGGCTATCCAGCAATATCCAGCATTCATTTCGATTGGCCATGAGATGCCATGAGTCATGCAGGTGTATCTGGACATTGAGCCAGGCTTGAAGACTTGTGGCCTTTTCCACTTTTCTTGGATTTTATCACCAGTTTTTTTAGGCTTTGAATGTGGAAAGAGACTTTTTGAACTTCCATGAAGCCAAACTTGATCATGGTCAACGTACTGAAATCTAGCACTTCTATCGCATCCAATGTTTGAAGTCTTGCTTACAACAACCACATGTTCACCATCCCTTTTCATTGCCTGAAGAGCGTCCCATTTTCACCAAAACGTCCCCTGCGGCCAGGAGAAATCTATTCCTGGGGCTGGGGAGAGTTTGGGCAGCTGGGTCTAGGCTTCTCGTCCAGTTCTTTCCAGGCGTGGCTTGGGATGTTGGGAACATAGAAGGTCCAATGGTTCCGGGGGGGAGTTTAAAATCATCGAAAAGTTACAGACGGGCCAGGAAAATTGAGATATTGTATCCAACATCAACAACCAACATCAACAACCAACATATCCACTAAGGTGTGAGTATCCCCAGCACCAAACCTGGTAATTGTGTTCGCAAGTCGCCTCAGGTGGGGATGGGCGGTGCGAGCTCGCGTCGTCCGCTGCCTCAACATCTTCCCTTGGACAGAAAGGGCCGAGCCTTACAGGTGGGAGCCAGTTGTCACTATTATCGTTTATCATCTATACTATCTGGGTAAATTATAACGACCTCACTGCGACCTCACTGGAAATATGATTAATAAGGGAAATGATCCCCAAATGGCCTTAATTCAGGTTGGTGAAATATTATAATTTACCCAGATTCTATGCTATTGTCATTGCCGGTACCAAAAACGAAGACCAACATTTCCCACTAAAAAACGAATATGATTGATCATTTTGAACATATGGTTGATCATATTTTATTTGTATTTTATCATGTGTATACCTTATTATGAGCATTTTTGGGGGGAACTACAGGTTGCTCAGATAGATGATCCAGCCATAGCCATATCTCGAAGGTGGCCTGTGGTGGAGCCTTCTCTGCTGCACTCTTGGGGCAGGACGCGATGGAAATCTGCTTTGAATCCCATGCTGGATCTACCCAGCCGAGAAAAAAATGGTTTCTTCGGTATGGTTTGGTATAGTTACTGGTGACACAAGTGTTATTCATGCTGATATGACATATTATATGTACATATATATATATATATTATATCTCATAACAGATATAGACTCTATATGACTTTATTACCTGTCTACACATACATCAGTTAAGTTGCGAGATGGTTCCGGAATCCACTAAAATCGCATCATCTTCCGGGGAGGACCTCAACGACGGTGGTCAGCTGCTGATGTGGGGAGCCAATGATGTAGGCCAATGTGGCCTTCCGGCGAAGAAACCCATCGACATCGCTTCACCCACCGAGGCCGTGAATCAGGAGGAAACAGCAGAAACTTTGATGTTTCTTTGAGACATACTGAAACCCTTGAAACTTTAGCCAAACAATTGGCAGATTTGACACTAGAGTCCTATAAGATGACAAAAAATCCCAAACTCCAAATGGGGGTTTCTTAAAATGGGGATTAACCAAGTCGAGGTTTCAACACTACGTCATGGTCATCCATGACTTGGATGATTTGGGGGTACCCCATGACTTAGGGATCCCTCAAAGCCAGGTTCCTGGGCTGCGAAACATCCCGATTCGCCTGGTGGCTTGTGGCACCTGTCATGCTGTGGCCATTGACCTCAATGGCCAAGCGTTTTCCTGGGGTGCTCAGCAGCAACCTGGAGGCACTGGAGGATCCCAAATAGCTTTGATACCTGAAAAATCATAGAAGAACCCTTCTAATTCCACTGGTTCTTATCGGTTCATCATGATTTTCCATATTCAACTTGTCATTTTGGCGGAGAGATGTTCCTGTTTCGGGAGGGGATCCAGGCTCCGAAACTACGCCGGATGCAGCTGATCAGTTTTCACATGACTTTTTTCAAGCGGAGGATGCAGATTGATACAGCTGACGATGATAAGGAACATTACCTTATTATCATGATGCTGATGATGATGCTGATGATGGTGATGATGAGGATGATGTTGAGGATGATAATGGTGATAATACAGTAATATACAGTAATAATAATGATGCTGATGATGTTGCTGCTGCTGGTGATGATGATGAGTAGGACGCTGATGATGTTGATGATGATAGTGTGGATAGTGAGGAGGCCAGGTAGCACTTTATGGGCCTCATGACTTGCTTATCATTTCTGTCTCTGCCTCTACAGCTATAATTAACCTCCATCACTGCTCTAAGGTTTGGTAAACTAGGTCGCTCCGATGCTGGCATCACTGCAACCTTCGACGGATGCGATGAACCAGGGCTGTTGCGCAGCATGGCACGGCTACGGTTGGCGCGGGTGGCCTGTGGGTTACACCACTCCTTGTTGGTCACGGAGGTAAGTGGACGGAGGAGCGGCATGGAGCTGCTGAGTTCCTTTCGCATGTGATTTTTGTTGAGATGTTGATTGGAGTTGAACACTATGCAAACTTGGAAAGTGTATATATGTAGGAATTTACTTTATCATATATATATATATACACGATTACACGCTTATAATTATTGATACATATTATTGTTATGTTATATTCTATATTATATATATTATTATATGTCGTATTAGTATGATAATTATATATATATATGATTATATATTATCTTACATACATGATATTACATTACATACATTATATATATTATACATTTAACACATGTTAGTTACCAACTTAGCATATATATATATAGCTTTTGGTCTGTACCCAAACAGAATGTGTACTTTCCAAACTTATTGAAGGATGTTTTAACAGTTTCCATGGACCCTCAAGTTCCTTCCTTCCCCATTGCTAGGAGATCCAGCAACGACAGTACCACTGAAGAAGGAGTCACTGAGGTTTCTTCCGGCAGTCAATATGCCAAAACTTGAGCTTGGCGGATCCGCAAAAAGTTGCCATCGCTCCTAGGGTGATGGCACTGAAATGGAAGAAACCCCTGTTGATTTCAACATCTAAGAGAGTTTTTTAAAATTTATCACTTCACAAATAAACCCCTCACGTTTTTAGTGATCCAAAGATGAACAGATCCACAAAGCCAGGCTTGCTGGGGATTGTTTATTGTGAGGGGGAAAGGATTACTAAACACTTCCTTTGCGACTGCCTGTGGCTCCGTCAGCTGTTAATGAGTCTGGTGACACTGCGATACGATTTAGAAAAGACGGCCAGGGCGTCTGAGATAATGCGTTGTGGTGCTGTTCCAAATCAATCCAAATCATATGTATATATATATACATCGTCTATGTCTATACATTTACGATAATTGAGAATGACATGTTGAAGAACCAACGATGATTTCAAAGCAAAACACTCCAGATGGCTTTTGCTCAACAGGCACTGGTCCGGTAGATCTTGTCCCTGGTGTTGCCCGTGAAATGTCGCAAGGACGACATTCGCACGAAGTGTTCTTTCTTCACACCCGTTCTCAAACAGACAATATAAACAACTCCCATCACCATCCATCACCTATTGAAAAGACAAGGATGGGTCTTTGAAAATTGACGCTGTGAAGAAAGGAAACCGTCAAAGCTCGCCAAGGGAGTGAGATGGCAACAAAAAGTGCGATCGGTGAGGGCTATTGGAGATGCCAAACATTTTCGACGATGAGTGATTTGTGTCCTTCGGTGATGGAAACACAGGTCCGAAAAAATGATCAGCACAATGATACCCTGTGGATTGTTGGCAAGAAAGCTGTATACACGATCACGGATATACATGGATGCAACTGAACTGCTTCTGTACATTCTAGGTCCGTGCCAGTCAAGATGTTTTGTATGTGACGGCATACCCAGTGTTTCTGACTTTGCATATCTCTTGCCTTGGACCTGTCATAGCTTGATCAAACCATGAAACCCTTTAGATGGCGCACACGGTCGTCCATGGAGATAGCATACAGTCTGTTTTGAGAACAGAAACATCATGGCCTTCGAGCAGGTACTCAGGTACTCTCTTCAGAGAGTTTTCTTCAACTAGCCCATAATTAGAGATTTCTTTTACTCATCAACAGCCAGCCAAGAAAAGATAGAAAAGAAACGTGGCCAGAGTACACCCCCAACCTTCCATGGGTTACCAGGACCTCACAGGACTTATCAAAACCGCATGGAGCGCAAAGACGCCTCTCCACGCTCACCGGTGCCGGATATTGCCGACCTTGAGACTTGGCGTGGGATTGATTGAGTATTCACCGCTCCAGCCTTGAGGCTTGAACTTCTATAATTTGTATACAGTATACACATATATGATCATATATGCACATATAAAGCAAAACATATAGGAAATTCATGGAAATTTGGCCACTCCACTCAAGTTCACCAAAACACAGGGTTGCCCACAATGGTGAGTTCACAAACTAATATGAGGAGCTGACCCCAGAACGGACCGAACGGACAATTCATGAGAATATAGCCAACCACAGCTTTTTTTTGTGGTCAGAATTTTCAGCCCTGAGAGCTGTACAGAATTTTGGAGCTGGTTCGCTTGGTGAGCAAACCATTTGATATTTGGATGTTAAAGTTAAAATCTTTACCAAGTCCCATTATTTGGAGTTTGGAGGTAAGTAACGATTGCCTGCTAAGAAATTACCAGCAAGTGGGTTGTAGAAGAAAAGGATCAGTGAAGAGAACTTGCAAGACTAAAGATTCTCAGATTCCAGGTGAAAATGAAGGCTCTAAGCCATGTCTAAGGAGGGCGAATTCTTCAACGAGAATGATGAGAAATTCTCTGCAGGAGGGGTGACTGTGCCGTTGTATTTGTCAGCTGGAAGCGCGTACGTGAGTTATTCATAGTTATTCCTTTTGCTGGTCACATACAAGGTGTTTCTGAATATTGGGCCGGCCCTTTTTCCAGTGGTTTCCCCATTAAACTCAACCAGTAAATAGGAAGGTACTGTAAGTTGGGGTCCTCCATGGCTTATGGACCCCCATATCCTCAACTTGGGATGATTTATGATTGGATTGTTTCCCATGTTTACTCCGTAATTTTCAATCAATCATAGTAAATCCTATAATTATCCCAGAATTATCTCAATTATTATACGTATCATTGTCCTACAATTTTCCCACAATTTTCCCACAATTTTTCCAGATTTGGGGACCCTCCCCCTCATGCCCAGCTGCCACTGGCCCGTGGGCCAGTCCTCTTTGGACGTGGTTGGCTTCCGCCAGAAGAGCGAGGGAAGTTGGTGATAGAACCTGAAGCAGAAGAGGAAGCCAACGGATTCATGGCCTGTTGGGCGGAAGACGATGGACAGATAGGACTGTGACGACTGCAAGCAAGGTGTCAAAAACAGCTAATATACTGCACATATACATTATAGATCATTATAATATATGATATGATGTGGTTATATGTATATGTATATGTATATGTATATGTATATGTATATGTATATATATATGTATGGAGTATCCTCGATGATAGTTGTCCAATAGTGGAGGAATTGGCCCTATTTAATACGGCCATTGAGTAGTGGGGAAATGATCACTTACCGCTGTTTTCAGAGAAACCCAGGTGTTTTTCAGTGGCTCTTTTCATGGTCCCACTGGAGGTTCTCATCCTGATAGATGCATATATAGATTGTATAAAAGGTTATATGTGTATATATATATATACACGTATATATACACCTTTTTACCCCAACTCCACTGGTACATTATCATACCAATTCACATTTTCCCTTTTTTAATGTTCACAAGTGGTGGCATGCCTTCATTTTCACCACCAGATCGGCTCGACATCTGAGGATGGGAAGTTGTTGCCATAGGCACCTCCCGTCGCTCCTCATCTTTCAGCGATACTGGAGCTCATTCAGACAAGGCGGGCAGGAGTTTGATACACGCTGCGCTTTTTATGTGTGTAAAAATGGGCTATACCCCCAGAAGACATCAGAAGACCATTTTGCTGGAAAAACATGATACACCATTGGATTTTGTGAAAAACACCCAAATACGGAGCAAGTGGATCTGGGTGATTGCGAACCTCGAACGTTAGTACTACCGAAATTGTAGTAGAACTTGGACATGGCAGACCTTTTGGACCTAGTTTTTTGTTCTGTTCAAGAGTCGAGGGTTGCACGTGTGATTTGCTTTAGTCATCACTGTGAGAAACAAAAAGGCTCACCACGCAACAAAGAAACATATCAAGAACAAGAACAAGAACAAGAACAAGAACAAGAACAAGAACAACAACAGCAACAGCAACAGCAACAGCAACAGCAACAGCAACAGCAACAGCAACAGCAACAGCAGCAGCAGCAACAGCAACAGCAACAGCAACAGCAGCAACAGCAACAGCAACAGCAACAACAACAACAACAACCACAACAACCACAACAACCACAACAACCACAACAACCACCACAACAACGACCACAACAACCACCACAACAACCACCACAACAACAACCACAACAACAACCACAACCACAACCACCACCACAACCACCACAACCACCACAACCACCACAACCACCACAACCACCACAACCACCACAACCACCACAACCACCACAACAACCACAACCACCACAACAACCACAACAACCACAACAACCACAACAACCACAACAACCACAACAACCACAACAACCACAACAACCACAGCCAACAACAATCAACAACAACCACAACCACAACAACAACCAACAACAACAGCAACAGCAGCAGCGACAACAGCAGCAACAACAGCAGCAGCGGCAACAGCAGCAGCAACAGCAGCAGCAACGGCAGCAGCAGCGGCAACAACAGCAGTAGCAACAACAACAGCAGCAGCAACAGCAACAGTAACATCAACAACAGCAAGAACTGCTACAACAGCAACAACGGCAGCGCCTGTCACAACACTCACAACAGCAACAGCAACAACAGCAGCCGCACCCGCACCTACAACCTCAACCTACAACGACAGCAACAGCGACAGCAGCCGAAACCAGAGACACGAAACAACCAGTAGCAACAAGAGCGCAACAAACAACTGTAAATTCATGTAAATTCTACTGCAAGTTGCAATTGCTTTTGACTCTGTTCCGGCTGCCCGGACGACAGGTTCGTTGCGATGGTGTGCCAGACGACCTCATCATGGGCTGCTTAGACCTTTGGCTTGGCAGGGTAAACTTTGTATGTCCCAAAAAAAGCCCCAATATTACCTCCTTAAAGCCTGGTTTAATATTGGATCCATTCATTTTGGGGGCCCATATGGGGGGCATTTAATAGGTTTAATAGGTGGAGGTTATATCATGTTATATCCTCATTGGGCAGTTGGCACAGGACCCCAATTGCGACAAACTTTGGTCCCCCGGAGAGAGCCGGCAACGCTGTAGCGCCTGTGGCTTCTTCTTTTGCAAAGCACACATTAAAGGTGCGGTGGGACTTAGAGCTTGGCGTCAGGTATTGAACTGATAGATATTTATGTAAATCTACATGCATCCATGTTCAAGACTTCTGATAGATAACCTAACTGATTTTGGCAAAGATTTAAGGGGCCTCGAGATGTTTTGGGGACAAACCTTGATTCTCAGAAGCCTCACATGCTGTTTGAGGCCAGCTTCTGGCACAGATCTCCCTTTCGTAATCTGTCTTTGAAATGTACTTAGAAAGGGAGTGACACTTGGGCATCCATAATAGCAAAGATAATCAAAGGACCACACATTTTGTCACGGTAAGGTTGGCAAAACAGCTTCATCCACCAGCTATGGCATCGGATTGCGCGCCGGAGGTCCTTGGTATGTCACTTGCTTCGGTGGTTCCAGCTCTGGCGCCTCTCTCTTAGATTCCCTCAACTTGCCCAAGCCTGGGTTGGAGGCACAGGCAGGAGCAAATGGGACGTCGAAGAGAAATGTGTCTGAAATCTTCTGAACTTTCATTAATATGGGTAAAACAATAATAAACCACCCATTTGGGAATGGTTTCTACCACCTATTTATGGTGAAATTGGGGATGGTTGACTATTGTTGTAGCAACATTGTTTTTTTCCTCAATGAAGTCTGTTGAAGTGTTTCATGGTGGCACTAGAAGTGCCAGATGAGGCGAAGCACATTGAAGCCCAGCTGTGAACACGATTTGCAGTCGTTTCCACCTTCCATAAATGTCATAAATCCCATTATTTCCATCAACCACTCTAATATCTGCCCAAAAAGTGGTCTGGACTTTGATTCATTCGTTGAGTCATAAATCATCAACGGATTTTTGCATTCGTATGTCACATTGGGGGTTTCAATGTACGCATATTGAAGGGGATGGTCAGAGCCATATCACCCTTACTGATCAGCTTCTGCCATGGTGCTTGGATTAGAAGACGACCAATTTTCGTCAGGTTTGATTTAGTCATAAATCATCCCATTTTGGGCATCAAATCTTCGGCAAAATCTGTATCCCAGAATCTTTGGTGAGGAAAAAATATTGACAGACGCTTGACAGACGGAGTAAAAGGCCAGCATTGAATTCCCGCCCCCCAAAGAACAGAAACCATGAGAATCGTCAACTTTTTAGAGGAAAGTCGTCTTCAACCCCAACTAACATGTCAGGGTTGCCATGTTGGGTCATCTGCCAGGTCTTTTTGTGCTTCAGATGTCACAATCGCTTGCCTTTGGGCGATCAGCTTCAAGGGCACGAGCTTCTGCTGTTACCAGGGCGAAACATGTGGGAAACCTGGAGATATGGGGAGGTTTAATATACATAGCACGGTGCTACAACCGGCAAGCAAACGGTGTATTAGTACCATCCAACATCATCCAACCAACCATGATGATCCATGGAATGATCATGTTTTTGGGGGTTGAACTGGGTTAAACACAAGGATTCCCAATCGACGAGCATTGGGCCATGGGGATAAATCCACCAATCAGATGTTTTTTGTCGATCTGGTAGAATGGATGGAAGTTGTATTGGGATGAACATCAGATACCCTCTGGATCCTCTGGTAATTTGACATATCTATGGAAAAGCAACATTTTTAACAGGCAGGTAAATCATCTATAAATGGGTTATTTTCGCTATGTTAAGTTACCAGGGTTACCAGGGATTCATTGACTTGTTCGATGAGTGATCCATGGTGGTGGATGGTCCTATGGGGCGCATGGGGCAATACTTTCATGGGTTGACGGGGATTGTTTTACTCCTACATGACATGTGTTATTATATACTCTAAAATATTCTGCGTATATGTATTACTGTATCTCATATCTATATTGTTTCAACAGTACAATATATATATATAATATATATATATATACGTAGATGTCTACATGTAAAAGCATTATATGCATTATATTATATGCATATGTAGTACATAGGGCATAGAAACCCTCATCAACCAAACCGTAGTTTTGGTGCACTGCTTGGTTGCAGGCTAAGTGCAGAAGTCTGCGCAATGAAGAGCAGCGTCCTTGACTCTGATGCCACCGAGGAGGCTCGGAGGGCTCGGAGGATTGATGGTGAAGTTACATATTGGAATGATAATATATGTATGTGTATATATCTAATATAATTTATATAATATAATATATAATATATATATATATATAATATAATATAATATAATATAATATAGTATAATATAATGTAATGTAATGTAATATAATATAATATAACATAATATAATATAATATAATATGTATATATATATATGGGATTCAACCAACATACTGGGAATATAATGGTGTTTATTGGGATTTCATGGTGATTAAGGGTTAATCAGGATATACCGGAGAATTAAGGGAATACAATTAGAAATGAATGGGGATATAATAGGAAATTAATGTGGAGATAGTTGAATTTAGGGGGACATCAATGAGTTTGGCTTTGATTCATAGGATTTGAGCGAGATCACAACCTACAGGGCAGTTGAAGCAGCCCTGCAATACATTCTACAACTGCTGGAGGGGAAGGAGACCTTGCTACTCGGGAATTGTCAAAAAGACAAGGCTGCTAGAAGGTTGCCAAAGGATAAGTCAGTGGCTATTGGGTGCGGCGGCCATGAAATTGGCCTCACAATCGCCAACGGTCCAAGTATTCAGTGTGCAAGAATCAACCCCGGAAATAAAATGGGATGAGATGTGTGCACTTTGAGATGGTGTAGGTTCAGTCACCGGTTCAGTCTATTCTTTGCCCTGCATTCAGCGGAATACTCGCACCCATTGTGTCTGTCCCCTCGCATGACGTGGTTGCAGTCCCGCTAAAGATTGGCGGAATCTTCCACAAGCACAGTCATGATGAGTGGACGAGTGTTCTCATCTTCAAGAAACCTCACCAGCCGTCAAGATCAGATATGAACAGATTATCTTTGACTCCGCTCCTGCTTCCAAGGTCAACTTTGATTAAAGTAGTTTCTAAATGCTTCTGGCAAATTAATTGTGTTCATTCGCAGGATCATTGCCCTTCCCCAATTTACCAGCTCTTTGCATGTGTTCCACCAAATATTCCCATGCTTTCCGAGAATAAAGTCCATGGAGCATTTCTCTGCCAGGAATCTGCAGTCAAAACATCTGCTCGTGCCCTGCTGTTGCGTTTGCTGGACCAGTTGCGACGCTGTCTTCGTAGTTGGACGGATTCAGAGCGGGAATGGGTTGCTCGGCCATGATGTTGGTGTATCCGAACGTTGGGTCTTGATACCCCAACCAGGATTTTTTTTTTCCACCTAAGCCTCAACAGGCTTTTTTTTGGATGTGGGAGTCTACAACTTTGTTAGGTCCCCGGTCTTGGAACCACTCAGTGCAAGAGGAGTGAACAAGATGACAAGAATACAGGATAAATCTGGGACGCTCCGAGTTTGAATATGTAATAAGGTAGATTGAAATGTCCACCAAAGGTCAAAACCTGTGATACAGCCTTTGATACACGTATTTGGGGGAAGGAACATCCATAACAGACGGCTCTTTCACTGTGAGAAGCAAAACCACCATACTGCTATGTTCAACTGTAGTAATCCCAATCGAAAACCAGTTAGGTATGTTAGGTTGAGGTCAAATCGCTGATGTATCTATATTACTGTAGATGGACTCTACCTCTACTCATAACATTGTATACCCATTTGAAGAAGGGATTATTTTGCTTGACACCCCAAATTTGGGATAGGAATTGATGATTGATTTGTTGATTTGCTGACACCCCAAAATCTGGTTGATCATCTAGTCCCCCATGCCATGACAGCTGCTGAATCCCCGGAGTCCTGATGATGTTTACCATTGTTTACCCTATTTGCATGTTTTTTTTTTGGGTTATAACTATAACTCTTATATAACCTATAGATATATATTATATTATTATAGATCAAAATGCGAAACATACGAACCAGTTGGTCGATTCACCTACGCACCTAACCAGGTGATCCTTGGCCATGGCCTAGGTCTGGAGTTTGGCCAGCGAGCTGGTGGAGCGTGACGTGGGCTGGTTGGCGCAGTTCTTTCGGCAGAGTGGCGTGGTTTTCCCAAGCTCGTGCTCGGTCCACGGGGGATGGGTAGCAGTAGTGGAATCCCCCGTAAAAACGGTCGGTCATTTTGATGAGCAAAATGATGGTTTTTAAGGATATAAACGGATAAACCATGGGAGTCTGAGGTAGCACTCAAAACATCTCGACTAGCGAATCATTTGGGTGTGTGGTTCACAGAAAAAGTCAAGTTGCAACGCCAGGGAGCTGACAGACAGAGTCAAAATCAGGATACCCCAAAATGGATTGGTTCAATATTTGAGAAAGGGATAAACACGCGAATAGCTCTTGTGGTCCAGTCTCAAGTTATTGGGCCATACCTGTATTCCCATCAAATCCTCATGTTTTTTGCTTCGAAAAAACATGAAAAAACACTTGGTCACTTGAGGCCAGTGGACCAAGGAAGAGAGTGTCACTGCAGTGGAGTTGCTGGCACCTTGACAGCCTTGACAGGGATTTCTGGTGGGACCAAGGGATCCAAGCTGATGCAGCAAACCCAACTGATTGAAGCCTCATGACATGGCAGGCCGCCCTCAATGACATCCGATGAATGGCTGATGTTCCTCAATTTTCCCCATTCAATGGGAGATTTTCCTGATTTTTGTTTCCATTAAATGATAGGTGTCCCATCCATTTTCCCTATGATAAAATGGTTGATGTTCCCATCCATTTTTCCCATTCAATGTTCTTGATTTTTTCCCCATCTATTTGGTGGATCTTCCCATCCATTTTTCCCATCTTTCCAAGCTTTCAACAGGCTCATCTATGATAAAAATGGTGGGTTTTCCCATCCATTTTCATATATATTTTCCCATCCACTTTTCCATTTTTCCCATTTCAGGCGAAAGTTCACGCAGATCTGCCTGGCTTCGAAAGTCTTCAGATCCTCGGCTGCCTGGGTCGCTCCGCCGAAGCCGCCTGCGCTCACCTCGGGGAGCGACGCCTGGGGCTGGCGGCGGTGCATGCCACCAAGGCCCTGCAGGTCACTTGCATCCAACGGGCCAACCGGGAATCATGGGAATTGTCCATCAAAGTGGTTTATTTAATTACTATTTAAGTGATATGATTAATAATATTTAGAGTTATACCAATATTAAATATACCAAGTGGTATATAAGTGGAATGAATTGTGGACATATTATTAATGGGATAATGATGGTGTAATATTTAAACCAACAGTGGTAAATCATGGAATACTATTTAAGTGATAATGATATAGAATATGTTCTAACCGAAGGGTTTATAAGTGGTATAATGATGGTATGATCTTTAAACCAAATGGTATGTAAGTGCTATATAGTGGTAAAGAACGGATAATAATTCAGTGATATATGATATATAATATTTCAAGCAAATGGTTTATAACTGGTGTATACATACATATAATATATATATATAAGTTGAATTTGTTCCCCCGCATATTAAACATCCCCCAGTAACCATGGTGGATGTAGGTGATGAAGACACATATTTGGGACCATGAAAAGGGGCTGTTTAATATTAGGGGGATGGGATTATATAGAACATTTTAACCAGATCTTTGATAAGTAACATATAAGTTGTGTAGACATGGTATATGAATGGTGTATATATATATATATACATGACGCTTTATTCGAAGAAGTTTTGTGTGGAATCTTCATGTTCCAGGATGAGACAACCAAGTCTGGTTGTTTGGGGTTCCACGTAGGTACTATACTATTTATCCCACGCTGGTAAACCTCTTCAAGCAATTGTGTGGTGCTCTGAAACCTTCTCATGGCTTGAAGAGGTCCAGGCTTGCCACGAAAAACTGCTGTGGAGGATTGAGGGAAACATAAAAGATTAGTTCCGGAAGTTGGCATGTCAATCTGTGGATTGAACCTTCAAAATCAGACAATGAACATAATTTAACATACTTAACTTCAATCAACCACGACCAGTTCCACGCTTGAAGATTCTACACTTCTTGCACTAAAAGATCTCAGTTCTTTGAGGCCATGAATCCTCGAGAAATCTCCTGCTGTTTGGAACTCCTGCTGGATGCAGCGCATGAGTTTGCCGCCAATGGCGTCACTGGTGGCTACCTCGCAGTGCTGGCGGTTTTGCAGAGCTTATCACAGGAGAAGAGCTTGGATGGTCAAGCTTTGCGCAATGAGCTTCTTGGACAAGGGCTGGGTAAAATACTAAACTGACTCAGGGTCATGGTGAAACATAGCCACAAGGCCACTAAATTGATCATTTCACCCCTTTATTTACCAGTTTTTCCCCCTTGTATCTGGGATGTTCGGAGCAGCCCTGTGATTGGTGAACGCAGGAATGTCCGGCATAGGGTCTAGCAGATGAGTACCCTTTAGCAACAATGCATTGATAGAATCACATTTTTCTGTTCAGGAGATGTCCTTCTTTGATTTGAGAGTGGATATGTGACAGAAGAAACGAATACAGTAAATGGGACAGCTTCAAGGTATTTCACTACATAGTTCAAAACAGAGGTTTTCGGTTAACTTGCCAGTTTTTTGGAAAAGACTGCAGGATAGCTCGTAGACTCCTTTGCCGCAGCCGCTAAGCTGTGGGTGCCTTTCAGGTTTTTCTGGGCACTTGAAACCAGAGTGCAAACAGTTGCGATGAATCGACAGAAGGACGGGTCGCTGCTGGAGCGAACGTAGCCTGATGTGGGCTCAAAAAGGCTGGCGAGGAAACAGGACATGAACGTGAATAAATCAATCGCCGATCTGGTTGCAGGAACTATTTTTGAGCCCCCTGCACCTTTGTACTAATGTTTGCTTGGACAAGTTTTCCCTTCATTTCCTTCAAAGTTCTCTCTTTCCTGGCAGCTTACATTTCGTTCTTCCGATTTTTTGCCTTCGCAACGGTGTCCTATCGCCTGATCTCCAAGCTCTCTAAAACGCAGAAGGGACATCTCTTCAGAACCAGCTCACTAGAGTTCACTTCGATCCAACATCAGAACGCATGTTTGTTCTGTTTTGTTGCTTTATCCATGTCAATCTATCCTACAGTCACTTAGTTTCTATATGTTTCTATCAACCAATATTCGTTTCGTGCCATCCTCCAGTCGGGCCCGGTCGGGCCCCAGTGGCCACGTTGTGAGGAGACTGCTGCATCCAAGAACTACCGCTATGCCGAGACATGGCAATCCAAGGCGCTACAGGAGCTTCTGAAGAATCTTCCACAGGACAGCCGGGATCAGCCGGGATTTTGGCACTGGAAAATCATGCAAAAGTGGAGATGGTGAGGTTTTGTTCACCTCCAAGGGCGGTTTTTTCCTCACTGATGGACAGGGCCCTAGCGACACCTGCCTCAGCTGGTCCCTTCAACACGAAGTCAAAATTACTTTACTTCGTGTGATCCCCACCATGACATTTATACATGTTCTTACTGGCACATCTTCTGGCATTCTATCTGACATATCTTCTGACATTCTATTTGGCATTCTATCTGGCATATCTTCTGGCATATCTTCTGGCATTCTATCTGGCATATCTTCTGACATTCTGGCATTCTATCTGGCATATCTTCTGGCATATCTTCTGGCATTCTATCTGGACATATCTATCTGACATTCTCTGGCATTCTATCTGGCATATCTTCTGGCATTCTATCTGGCAAATCTTCTGGTATTTTATCTGGCATATCTTCTGGCATTCTATCTGACATATCTTCTGGCATTCTATCTGCATATATCTTCTGGCATATATTCTGACATATCTTCTGGCATTTTATCTGGCATTCTATCTGGCATATCTTCTGGAATATCTTCTGGCATATCTATCTGGCATATCTTTTGGCATATTTTCTGGCATTCTACCTGGCAAATCTTCTGGCACTCTATCTGACATTTTATCTTCCTACATGAGGTCCGGCAGGGAACACTTGGCGTGGATACTCGCGGTTGAGGTCCGGCAGGGAACACTGGGCGTGGATGGTCGTGGATGGTCGTGGTTGAGGTCCGGCAGGGAACACTGGGCGTGGATGGTCGTGGTTGAGGTCCGGCAGAGAACACTGTGGATCGCGGGTCGCAGTTGGACGAGGACGACGAGGACGACGAGGACGACGAGGACGACAAGGACGACAAGGAGGACAAGGAGGACGAGGAGGACGAGGAGGAGATGAGGAGGAGGACGAGGCAGGAGTCAGGAGGAGGCAGGAGGAGGCAACTGACATAAAATCTAACAACCCTCACCTGGCAGGTGGGGAAAAAAGTGTTTTGGTTGCTTGGAAATAGGGATAGCCATAGAATTTAGGTTTAAGTTAACACTATACATTTTAACATGTTTTTGCTGGGAACATGAGGATTTGAGCCATGGGAGACATTTTTTTCAGACAAAGCCGTATACCATCAGGCGCCTTCAGACACTATCAACCTGTCCAAAGTGATTATTTGTGATTCTAAGTACTGCATCATCTGACGTACTTGGGATGAAATTTGATGAAATCATCGCCTTCCACTGGCGTACTGTTCAGGAGGGGGAACTGGATTTGATGAGACAACATGCTTGGGTTCGGCACATGGAGCATGGAGATTATGACTGCTGCACCTTCGAACCTGCGTACGGATGCCCAGCAATTCACGACCAAAAACACACGGAAACCATGAGATATGGTGACCAGCTTATTCTGTGGTATTGTAGTTTTATTATGTTTTATTATGTTTTATTGACATGGCTTGTTGGTCTTGTTGGTTTGAATAGAGTTGAATAGAGGCAACTGTTGCATTGCGTCTGGTTCATTCACTCTTTGTCCTTGCGCCGCGTGAAATGGATTTCATCACAGGAACCTTTCAGCTTTGCCTGAACTGCTGGACCCTCAAAGTCCTACAGTTGGTCTAGTTTAGGGGAGGCCGGGAGGCCATTAGACCGTCCGGATCGGAATCTTACATTAAGTACACCTCATTGGCCCAGTAGCATCAGGTGTTCAGATGCTGAGCTGGGTGATGCTTGAATATTCAGAGTATAGCATTCCTCTTGGGGTTGAAACCCAGCGTCAGCGCCTTGAGCTTCAATGAGACAGGTGGGGTGACACGCGCACCTTCCCATTGGCGGTGTGGCCTGCCTACCGCCGCTGCACCGGCTTGCATTCCCTTCAGAAGGCTGAGAGCAAATCGGCGCCGCTCATTGCTAAGTGTCGCTACAAGGACCTCTCCCCCAAAAAGGGGATGGTTATGTAAATCCAATAACTGGGGAAATTTGATAAAAACTGCGCGTCCACTGGTACCCGCAGTTTTGATACCCACATTCCTTTGTTGGCCACTTGGCCACTCACATTTTGTGGTAGGTTGGGGAGATTTCCTTGATGTTGTTCCATGGTGTCAACCCCGGATTACCCCATGGGCCCATGGGCTGTTCAATTGGGGATGGCATTTGAGTCGCAAATTATCCAGTCGACCACCGGAATGAACCATCCTCACCCAAGGTTCCCAAGGGGTTAGAAAAGAACTGCAGTTCATGCTTGGAGAGGCTTCGAGGTGGGCCAAAATTGCTCGTGGTAGTGACTGTTAGTGGTGCTCAGAGACAGTCGGTTGAAGCTCCAGCAGATCAATCAATGAACTCATAATACTCATATTATTAATATCACTCATGGACGAGGATCTAGGATGGTTGTGTTTGGAACTAGTCCTAAAATGTCCTAAATAGATGGGAGGATATGGGAGGTCAATCCCTTCAACTTCAAACTCATCAGATTCCCCCATTGGGGCCGACTCCAGCAGCATCAACCAGGACGACTCGAGCCTCCCCGGTGCACCAGCAAAGAAAAGCCAGGCAAAAGCGGGGAGCCACGCGAACCATCGCCATGGTGAGAGGCCAAATACCTCAGGCGTTTTGTTGAAGAAGGACCCCGACATGCACAAGGAGCCGCTGGGAGATGCTGGAAACTGGAAGGTGAACTTGGGGATCTTACACATCGATGTTTCAAGGTGTTCCACTGAAACATTCATGGAGATAAGATGTGCAAAATGTCCACTCTCTCTGTCCAGGTCAGGCGGCCATGGATTCTTCCCATGGCCAGCACCATCCATTCTTGGATGTTCCAGTCAATTGGTTGAAGGGAACATTTTCCGGACACCCTTTTTCTGTTTGGCCATGTTTCGCCTGCAAACATTGACCTTCAATCCATAGATTTCCACCAAATTTCACCCAAATTCAAGCCATCTTCGAAACAACTTGGTCTTGTGCAGGAGCAGCAAGTGGGACAGGTCCTGCGATTGCTGGAGATCTTGATCTGGAAGGATTCCGAGCTTCAAGACCTGCTACAAAGGGAAGGCTCTGGATGGCTCGGAATTTGGGGAAATTGTAATGGCCTCACCAGGAAAATCTGTGTTAGCATGATCCATGATTAATTTCTATCCCAACATTCCCAACATGTGACTTTATGTCAGGTTGGTGAATGATTCCAATTCAGAACCGACAGTTTACTGGGTTGGTTCTGGGGGATTTCGGAAGCGACGACACATTGGTTTGCCTGCCAATTTTCCCTTAGATCAGTTCCGTAAATGATCAGATAATGAGATGATTTGAGAATCCCAAAGTACTAACCCAAACCACCAGGGGCTAATTACTTGAGCCATTTGCAGGGTAGCCCCAAATAACTATTGGTCGTTTTTTTTGGGAAGAGTATTGAGACATATTGGCACCCCGGATTTTTCACAACGAATGGGCAAGGAAATGATGGTAAATGATGGCAAATGGCTGGCCACTTGGACGTAAGCCGGCACCGCATCGGTCCTTCCGGGGGAAATGACATCATTGAAGAAAGATGACGATATATATTATCATATATCATATATCATATATCATATGGGTATCAGAGATTTTGGCATTCTCGGCGTCCCCTGGTTGACCAGGCCTAGACCCAGAAGATGTGAGGGCCACCTACACCATCGTCATGACTGGGCCTGGGACTGCCATGTTGGAATTCATTGATGGCGCCCGCACACTTCGGGAAGTGCGATCGGGTCCAGACACTTCCCTGGTGAGTTCTAGGCTTTTCTTTTCAAAAGGCCAGCTGAGTAGGGATGGTAGGGCTTGGGAGATGTACTAGGGCCGGGGTGGGGAAACTGAAGCTTGCTGATGTTCTCAAGGTCCACAGGGATAATCCCTTCCTCCTAATACTAAACCCCCCCCCCCTAATACAAAACACGGCAGGTAGTTTTTTATTAGGGGGGTATTTATTATTAGGGGGGTTAATTAATTAATTAAATTTCCTTATATAACGCAATTAAAATATTGCCAAAAATGGCAGTTCGAAGCTTACCCCTAATACTAAATTAAAACCCTTAATACTAAAAACTATTTTTTCCGATCTCAAAATCAATTAAATTTCTTTATATAACGCAATTAAAATATTGCCAAAAATGGCAGTTCGAAGCTTACCCCTAATACTAAATTAAAACCCTTAATACTAAAAACTATTTTTTCCGATCTCAAAATCAATTAAATTTCCTTATATAACGCAATTAAAATATTGCCAAAAATATCCAAAAATGGCAGTTCGAAGCTTACCCCTAATACTAAATTAAAACCCTTAATACTAAAAACTATTTTTTCCGATCTCAATATCAATTAAATTTCCTTATATAACGCAATTAAGATATTGCCAAAAATGGCAGTTCGAAGCTTACCCCTAATACATTGCGGGCGCCCACGAGGAACACTAATTGAAATCCGCCACTCGCCCCACTCGCCCCACTCGCCCTACTTGCCCTGTGCTAGCAAATTAATTGAAATCCGCCACTCGCCCCACTCGCCCCACTTGCCTTGGTAGGAAAATTAATTGACTTTGGCCACTCGCCCCACTCGCCCTACTCGACCCCACTCGCCCTACTCGCCCCACTCGCCCTACTCGCCCGACTCGCCCCACTCGCCCGACTCGCCCCATGCCCCCACTCGACGCACTTGCTGCGGAGGTAAGCAGAGCAAGTGCAAGCTGGGCAAGCGGGGCAAACGGGGCAAGCGGGGCAAGCGGGGCAAGCGGGGCAAGCGGGGCAAGCGGGGCAAGTGGGGCAAGCGGGGCAAGCGTGGCAAGCGGGGCAAGGGGGCAAGCGGGGCACGCGATATACACTGACAGGCCCCATTTTGCGCAAATTGGAGCTCCCACCTGATAAACGATAATAGTCAAAATTACTTTCCTCGAGTGGCCCCGGTCAACTGGCATTCTAGTTGACATATATATATATTATATATATATTATATATATATATATTATATATATTGAGATTCTATCGGGCATTCTTTCTGGCATTCCATCTGCCATATATTTTGAGATTGTATCTGATTATTTTGGTATTCTCTCTGGCATTCTATCTGATATTCTATCTGGCATTTTGTCTGAGATTTCATCTGACATACTGCCTGACATTCTACCTGGCATTTTTTATGGGAGTCTATGTGGCATACATTCTGACATCCTATCTGGCATTCTTGCGGGTCTGTGTTTCCAGATGCATGTTTCCCACTTGCAAACATTGGCTCTATCTGGTGGTGCCACTTGCCACTGTCAAGATTAGCGGCCCTTGGCTTACCTGTGCTCTCTGAGCCGGGCTGTCGATGGTATCTCGAGCATACAAAAGTACAATCACAAGGATGTATGTTATTTACCCGTACTTGGTTAGGCAGTGGGCCGTATGGAAATATAGAGATTTGGTACAGTGGTTCGAACCAAGCCAGTAAGTAGCGATGCAAAGTGTGCTGGTGTATATAATGTCTTGAGCTGTAAATTGCAGATTCTGTTTGTGATTGGGACATCTTGAAGTCAACAGCGAGATGTCAGGAACTAATCTCCAGGCGACAGGAATTCATCATTTGTACCGTTACCACGACTGCCCTATTTGGAGTCGTTTTTTTTTGCACTTTATCTTCACGCTCATGCCCGGGGCCGGGGTTGAATTTGGTGGAGTGATTGTGTCTTTGCGGGCAGGATCGGCATTGAGAGATAACGTGAACTTTAGAACCTTGATTTCGAATCTTGTTGCTTGTTTCAGATGTTTCCGAAAGATTTCGTCTTGAGTCATGTCAGCTTTAGACGCTGCGCACTTTTCGGCTCAAGAGAATCTCACAGAGACGGGTCAGTGAAATTGGCTCATTCCTGATAGCACGCATCCATCGCCGGACCAGCGCGCATCTTCATCAAGCTGTTGTGAAGTTGCCAACTTCTGGTAGTCGCCGGGCTACTGTGGAACTTTGCCAGCACTTGCTTCCACGGCCATGCATGGCTTGGGAATATACTTTTGATTAATGCTGGGGGCTTTAGCTGCTCCCCGATGATTTCAGATCAGCTGTCTCAAGGGCCAGGAAACGATTCAGCTTCGTTCGAAAAGCGCAGAAAAAGCCGGCTGGCTTGGTTGTGGTCTGTGTCATGCTGCATACTGCCATTACTTCAAAACCACTCACCTGATTTTCGATTTTTTCCCAGTTTTCCAGGTTCGCAGACCGCGCTGCAGCTGTACTGCACCATGGTGTCCTTGTTTGCGTCAAACACCTTCTCATCTCATTTTGTTTTTCTCGATTTTCCTGGTTCGCAGTCCTTGCAGCAGCTGTGCTGCATCATGGTTTCCTTGTTTGCATCAAAGTTGCAGTGCCATGTTGAATGTGCCTATTTGCAACTGTCGCTCCCGTTGTGCTCAAGTTGATCGCCTGAGCTACTGTTGTCCACCTGTGCTCTCCGAGCCGGGAAATTGACTTAAACAAATACATTCGCTGCATTGGCCGCCATGGAAACGCAAGACATAACTGCGGTACTGCCCAGTAGGGAAACAGCAGACTGTCACGCTAGCAGTATCAGCCAAGGTTCAGGAACTCAAAGAGATTTTGCAGCGATGATATGATTCCTGGACGCGCGAGGTGCGGTGTTGCGGGTCGATGATATGATTCCTTCGGCTGCAAGCGCACACTGCGTTACATGTGTCGCGCGTTTCCCTTGTCTCGCTTCAACCTGCAAAGCCTTTGCTCTGTGGTGTCACAATGACCGTGTAGTGATGGGGACATCCTGCCTACGGCTCCGACAGCTCTGGTGTGTGTGCAAGCGCCTGCGCAAAGTGGTGCAGATCGTTGCCAGCGGCCGCGCTTTTGCCGCAGTGACATCATACGGATCTGTTGTTACCTGGGGCTTGCCGAAGATGGTTGCTGACAGGGCAATGGTACGGCAGCAGCTCTATGATGTGAGAAGCGTGACTGCAGCTGCCCAGGGCGCATTTGCCGCCCTTCGTCATGATGTGTCTGTCGTCACCTGGGGTCCAAGCCAAATTGAAGGGAGTGACGCAGATTCACAGCACGCATACTGCATTCGCTGCCATTGTGTTGGATGGGTCCGTGGTTGCTTGGGGAGACCCCTAGTAATGGAGGAGACAGCTCGATGGTCCAAGACCGACTTCAAGGCATTGTGAATGTTCAGGGCAACCCTTATGCATTTGCAGCTGTCACGGAGGAAGGGTCGCTTGTCACCTGGGGAAAGGCCACCTTGGGGGGCGATAGTTCTGTGATACGAGAAAGTCCGGCAAGTCACACCCTCTTTGAAAGGGTTCTTTGCCAATGCTGACGGATGTCAAGTTCATACATGGGTCTGTCAAAGCGTTTGCAGCAGTGCGCTACAATGGATCCATTGTTACATGGGGAGCGCAGGACGGAGGCGGGGACAGCTCCGCAGTGCAATCTGTGTTTGCCACTTTCTAGTTGCAGTGGCCATTAATGTTGCTACTGCAGCTGCGGCAAAATTAGACATCTTCACAAACTTGGACATATGGTATAGACAAACAGGCCTGCGGAACAGCCTGCTATGGTGTAAAAATTTGCGATGGGAAGCTGGGCGCAATGGTAATCTAGTGGTCGAAATAGTCGGGACATCCTCTCAATCCCTCAGATGCACTGTCCGCTGCAGCTGCCCTGCATGCTCAGAGAACTTCATGCTTTTTAACTACAGTGTGGTGTAGCATTTGCTTGTTTGCGCCTATCTTCATCCGTTGGGCTCAAATTTAGGCACCTGTGCCGGTATTGTCAACCTGTGCTCTCCGAGCCGGGCGATTGACGTAGACATCGTGACATTGAGCTGATATGTAGATGTACGTGTTCATGCTGTGAACAAGATCATCATTGTAGCTCTCCTTTGAAACCATGGCCGACGAAGCGCAAGCGACTCGGCGAGCCTTCACCATTCAGGGGCCGCAGGTTGCCTTAGCTATGCTGCGAGGTTCCAAACGCATAGAATCTCGGAAGAGGCGGATGGCAGCTGGCTGGTACTATTTTCACGTGGGCCGTTAGTCAATCAACAGCTTGCCCCCCGAATGTTCGGCCGCCTTGCGCCAGACATGGCCGGATGCGCCAGAGGAAGCTTCTTTGTCCAAAAGTTGCGTGGTTGGGATGGTGTGCCTAGGGAAGGTGATTCAAGCCAGCAAGGTTGAAAACCCATGGGTCTGTGCCTCCTTGCCGTTGGTCCCCGAGATTGTTGCCATAGAGTTCAGATCCCCAGTTCGATGGGAAAAGGGGAAGCAAGTTGTCTGGCATGTCAAAGAAGGAGAGATGCAAGGGAAGCTGAAGGAAGCAACCGCCTCTGGGATTCCTTGTGGCCAACTGCAGAAAATGAGGGACCCGCTGCCAAGCGCCAGAAGCTCACGCAGCCGCCTTGGAAAAGCAAGAAGCGGAAGCGCCGTTCTGACGCTGGGAACACCGGCAGTCCGGCTCAAGTTTCCTTCACAGCATCCAAGCGTCGCCGGCTGCTTCTTCGCAGCCCTTTGCAAAAGCCGAAGTTGGCAAAAGCATCAGCATCAGAAGCCTTGCAGGCCAGCACAAGCCCGCAGAGGGGACCTGACCGTTGCAGTCTTGCCCAACGGGTGGCAGCAGGAAGGACGTTGGAGCTGCTGACAACACTGATGGCAAAGTCACACAGTTGCAGCCCAGAGGAGGTCTCTTTGCTTTCCGGGACGATCAGCCAGTGTTCATTCTGAGTGTACGGACAAGCAGAAAAATTCCTTTGGCTGATGTGGTTCCATTGAAGCAGGCAACTTTTCAAGGACGAACCGTCCTCAAAGCCAAATACACAGAGACCCGCACATGCAGATGGAGTGAGCTCAAAGATGTCGGCTTACATTTCCAGATTGCCAACTGTGCGAATGATCGCCGTAGAGCGAGTGGCTTGGCCTCGATGATTTTTTGTAACATGTTGCCATCCTTTAAAGAGAGACCCGCAACAGATTGTTTTTATGTAGCTTTGCATGCCTAGGCTTGCCGTTCCAGAAGCAACCGGGGGAAACACAAGGAGATCAAGGCAGAGCTTTGCGCGAGAATGCAGCTTTGGCAGCTCGCTGGCAGGCTGGCAATGCAGAGCTAGGTTTGGCCACTTCATGCACAGTTGATCACTCGGTGCGATCCGTTGTGCCAGTGCGTTTGCGGGCGCACCTGGCCGAACGAGCTGCTTCAGGTATTACCCATCACGCGGCCCCACGCGCAGATGAGAGCCGTTCCTTTTGGATTCCGCGACTGAATTAGTTCTGTCTACCTGTGTTCTCGGAGCCGGGCAATGTCAGGACAGTATATCATTGAGTCATTGAATCTATTAATGCAACACAATCACACACAAGCAGCATCAGAGTCACCCTTTTAAAGCCTCTAGCCCTATGTTAATGGCAATGTATGCTTTGAATGCGCTGACACCTGGTTGCAGCTGGATGCTCTGGAATTTGACCCTCCAAGGCGGTCTGGAGATGGCAGCGGCCGGGCAGATGTGCAGCGGATTCGCTTGCTCTACAAACGTGATTTACACGGAGATGATGGGCTCGTTATAGTTTCCTGTGACGAGGAGGATGTCATCTCCCCGCAGCATGCTCCACCAAACGTATGTAGACGCTGGCGTTCAGGTGCATTAGAGCCCATTGCGGGTGTTGAAGTTGACCTTGCATTGCCGCGGGCGCTGGATGAGCAAAATGTTCGTCTCTTGCTTGTCTATACTGGCACCTGTACAGTCAAGTTGAGCAAGAACGTCCGCCTGAAAATTTGCCGCCAGACATTCCGCTATGGGCTTGGGAGTTGTTTTCAAAACCAAGATTTCATTGGACTGAGGCTCGGGTTCAAGCGTTGCAAGAATCTTGTTTGCAGACGCTGCAGGCCGCAGACCGCAAATTATCCGTACCTGATTAGCGCCGCCCTGGCTTCGTCCACTGCGACCTGTGGGTCTCAATGGCACGGACGATATTGTGCTCTCAATCGCAAGAAACTTCCAGAAAGCAGTCCTTTTGTACACTAGGCCAAGCAGTTTTTGATCATGTCGCGAGGTTAAAAAAATTCGCTGCGCGCTACAGAAGTGTTGAAACTGAGAGATGTGGAGGGCATGTGAACATTTTCACATTGTTCCGGCTGTCCACGCAGCGCAGCATGCATGAGAGCCAGTTTGGTTGCATGGAGTCGATATCACGCTTGGGACTGCAAAGGCAAATCCGACAAATATGACCATGATACCACGCATTGACAAGTGCTCTCCGGTACCCAAGCCGCGCCATCAAGTTCAAGTTGTAGGAGTTAGTTTGCTAGAGATGGCCACGTGTGAAGTTTGTGGAGATGGTTTCGCAGACGATGCGGAAAAACACTTGTGCTCCCCGAGCCGAGACTCTTGCTCGCACGTGTGCCACGCGGATTGCTTGCAGCAATACCGATTAAAGCAGGGCTGCCCTATGCATGACTGCCCATTCTGTCTTCAGAATGAAGATTCCCAGGAAGAGGCTGATGATGCCGCTTTGCAAGAGATGGAGATTGAGGCAGCAATGGAAGCAGAGGCTGTGGCTGAGGGGGTAAAAAGAAAGACCAGAGAAGAGGCAGCTTCGCCTGTCCGTGCGGGTGGGGGCCCAGCGGGCAAGAAGTTAGCAACCAACGCAAGCCCGCCAGCAGGACAACGCAGCCCAGTGCCGCCCACCCAAAGGTCCCCAAGCCCAGAAAGCCCTCCCTTCACACAGGGTGGAAGTGAAGCAGCCCGCTTGTCCATTCCAAGCTTTGGGATTGACATCTACGACGACCTGGTCGGACCAGCAAGGCATCTACCACGGTGAAGGATCCTATGCACGACGCCATGTCGGAGTACTTGGCTTGCAGGGATGAAGCACAAAGCCTTTCGTTGCTTCACACCAAGAGCACATATCAAGGGCTTGGAAGCCCAGAGGCTTCTTATCAAACCGTTCTGAATGCAGCCTTGAAAGACCCCAGGGACCACCACGCTGTGGCATCAGACTTTGCCTTCAGAACTCGAGAAGTGCTGCCCGTGCCTTTCGAAGTCAGCTTGAGAACCATTGCCCGCAAGGAAGGTTGTGAGCCTGAGACATTCATGGCGCCGATCCTCAGCAACATTGGTTGGATGGAGCATCCATGCAGGCACGCGGCTTCGATTGCAGCCTGATGAGGAGCACCGACGTGGCTGCGTAGTCCAGATTGTTTGCGCAGGTGACCCCAGCATGCGCAAGAGTTATTTGAAGGATTTTACCTGCAAAAAGCTTCTTTCCCATGCAGATGTCCCTGCTGTCATCAAGGCAGGTGGCGCCACATGCACGGATGCCACCATCAAGGGTCTTCGTGCTTCTATCAAAGAATATGCCCGAGCTGGCATCATTTCGGATGAGATTGCCACAACAATATGCCATGACATCCGGGAGGGAGACCCGACACTCAGGTCTGCATTACGGCAACAAAGAAAAGATGTGCACTTGGCTGAACTGCGAAGATGACAAGACAGTCACTGGAGATGGTGCCACGGCGCTGACTCATTACACCTTCGTTCACCAAGTGTATGGACAGGTGTCGCTTTGTGAGTATGTGCTCCAGCCGACTGCAAGCATGTTTTGCAAGAGAATCCATGCGACGTGGCAAACAAGGCCAGTGACAAGTGACCCTGATCAGCAGAGCCAGTCCAGCAAAGAGTTCCTGATTGACTTCTTTGGTTGGATGGGGCGCGTGGCAAGCAACCAGGACAAAGACCACTATTTTGACAAGTTCGCCTTGCCCGTGCTCAGGAAGGCTTTGCAGGGAATCTCCGACTTCTTTCACGAGAATCACGAGAATGTAGAGGAACCAATCTAACAGAAGCTACGCTATGCTGACAGAGATGTGGCTCGGTACGCTAATGCAGCCATGCGTTGCAGGCAGTATTCTGAGGCCCGAGCGCGTTGGCCCTTGATAGGATCATAGATGAGTTTGCCGTTGAGATGACCATCTTCGATTTGGGACATGCCTTGCATATCTGGCGTCGCCAAATGTGCTTGTGGTTTGCCTTCTATCGCTCCAAGCAAGTCCAAGCCTTGGTAGACCCCAAAGCAGTGCCAGATGTCAAGCCCCCAGGACTTGCAGATTTGGATGCCAAGATGAAATTGCAGCGAGTCATTCTGTCCAATCCTCGATGTGTTGGTCCAACCTCCACTGCGCACATTCGCTCTGTTCTGAATTACCACTTTCAGAAGGAGAAAGAGGAAAAACCAGCAAAGTTCGTCTTGGCAGCAGTCAAAGACCTCTTGAAAGTTGGCATCTTGCAAGAGGTTGACAAGAAGGAAGTGGAAGAACAGGCGCCCAAACTTAAGGACAAGAAAAGCGCCAAGAGCAAGGAGGCCACGCTAAAGAGCGAGCCACGAGGCCCGCCAGGTGGCCACGCTGTCCTGTACTACCAGACATGTGCCTGGGAGGGCCTTTTGACTAATTCGGAAGCTCAAGACATGATTGCCAAGCTTCAACTGAGTGCCAATGATTTCAAGTAGGATTCCAGAAATACGAGGTCTTGCACGGTCCCATGTCTAAACTGTCAGCCCAAAAAAAGAGTGACAATGTGCTCCAAAGCACTTGTTGTATATAAGTCTTGTTTCCAAAGATACGCGTCAATAATGGTGCGATTCCTCGAAATTAAGCTCTGGCTTCTTTCCAGCCCGAGCGTGTTCCTGACCCTACGAGGTGAATGCTTTCAATCAAGAGTGTATGGTGGCTGCAACATATTGTGCGTCAATTTCAATCAACCCACCCATTTTCATGACAAGACATTGTGGTGTGAAGATCTTGCATAGTGGTTCATCATGGTGTCCAAAGCCACATTCAAAACAGTCTGCTTGGCCTTCTAGTGTTCAATCGTGTGCGCTGGTGGCATGAGATTGACAAAGGCCCAATCTATTCTTTTTGAGGCAAAGCGGACAGCCAATACCGCGGCTCCAAAATAGTTTGTGCGGCGCATATGAAGCCACTGTTCGCTGAACATAGCCGTTCGAGATGTTGAAGCAATACACATGTTTTATTTGTTCCTGATCAAGTCCAAGAAAGAATTGAAACTTGCACCTGTTTATTCTGTTTTCTACCATTTCTGTTTTCTATACCATCCTTTCCGACTGCGATATAATTTTTCTGCTTCATGGGGAAAGAAGACTCACGGGAGTCCTGTCCACACCGACCATGTCGCTGACTCCTGCGTCTGCAGGTGCCGATGCTAAGTGGCACCATGACAATGGCTTCTACCTTAGGGATTCAGCAGATGCTGATGCCAGCATGCGTGATGTTGGTACGCAATCAAATAGAGATGGCACAATAGTCCACTCCTCATTGTGACCATCGGGTCTGTGGTCCCGCGGGGCACGTGCACTGCGCGTCGGTGCGCATTCCCGGAATGGCTGGAGGTTGCTTCCGGTGATGCTTGATTCTTCATGTCACATTGGTATCATGTAATGTTCAACGCAATTTTTCTAGGACATGTTTAAACATAGTCGATCTTTGTTTGGTCTCATACAAACCTTGTACAAAAGGATCTTGCACAGCAGCGTCTAGAAAGAACCTGTCAAGGAGATCTTGCACACGTCTTCTACAAAGGGAACTTGCAGAATCCAATCTGGTATTGATGCCACGGTGTTTGGAGTCGCCACTTAATCCCCGTCGGCCGCTCCACTCGCCCCACTCGCCCCCCTCGCCCCACTCGCCCCATTCGCCTCACTCGCCCCACTCGCCCCACTCGCCCCACTCGCCCCACTCGCCCCCCTCGCCCCACTCGCCCCACTCGCCCCACTCGCCCCACTCGCCCCACTCGCCCCACTCGCCCAAACATTCCATTCACGTTACCACCTCTATTCCTTTTTCATACTGCTGTGTGGTGAAACCAAAGCAAGCAGGGCAAGCGGGGCAAGCGGGGCAAGCGGGGCAAGCGGGGCAAGCGGGGCAAGCGGGGCAAGCGGGGCAAGCGGGAAGAACCACCGATCTTCCCTCGGCTTGCAAGTAGGGCAAGCGGGGCAAGCGGGGCAAGGAGGAAGATTCACGTATTTTCCCTAGAAGCGGAGCAAGCGGGGCAAGCGGGGCAAGCGGCAGAAATCACTTAGCGGCCCCGCGGGGCACCCACACTGCCCTAATACTAAATTAAAACCCTTAATACTAAAAACTATTTTTTCCGATCTCAAAATCAATTAAATTTCTTTATATAACGCAATTAAAATATTGCCAAAAATGGCAGTTCGAAGCTTACCCCTAATACTAAATTAAAACCCTTAATACTAAAAACTATTTTTCCGATCTCAAAATCAATTAAATTTCCTTATATAACGCAATTAAAATATTGCCAAAAATGGCAGTTCGAAGCTTACCCCTAATACTAAATTAAAACCCTTAATACTAAAAACTATTTTTTCCGATCTCAAAATCAATTAAATTTCCTTATATAACGCAATTAAAATATTGCCAAAAATGGCAGTTAGAAGCTTACCCCTAATTGCTAGAGTAGCTAGGCAGCTTGGAGTGAGGGATTGGGACTAGGCCCCCCTAATACTAAACACCCCGGGGTGAATTAGTTTTTAGTATTAGGGGGGAGAACCCACAAATGGTAGGTTGATTTTTGAATTGTTTTTTAAAGGGGATCAATTAAAAGTCAAATTGGCCAAATTGAAATTTTCGGAAATTGGAGATGGATGCCTGTTTTTAGTATTAGGGGGACGTTTAGTATTAGGAGGAAGGGATTACTGCATACTGTATCTTCTTGAAGTTTACTACTAAAAGTATAACTTAAAGTCACTCCATTTGGGGTTGTCTGAAATTGTGGCACCCTGGAATCTCGCGATTGATCATCATTTATTTTCTCCCATCAACATGGTCATTCTTGGAATATCCCTTTTGGACAAAGTCATTTGTTGAATGTTACAGTTTCATCGGGTTCACAGAGACTTGGTCGTGCTGATGCCAGGTGAAAAGGGCACCTTGAACACTTTCCTGCGCAGGAATAACAAAGGATTCCCGGAGAGCATTGATGGCATTGCCATGTGCCAAAATGACTGGCTAATCTGGCTATGACTCGTAGGTATGACTGGGTATTATGGTGGTTTAACGTGGAGACTTGGGCATATCATGGCATATCAGTGACCAGCTGGACAGGCATTTGCTTGCAGTCAGATCCAAAGTATCAATGTACTGCTTCATCTCCCAGCACATATATAGATGTAGTATGATTCACAGTATTTTCCCAATCCTTGTTGATCTATATATAGACGTAGTATGATTCACAGTATTTTCCCAATCCAATCCTTGTTGATCTATATATAAGTAGATGTAGTATGTAGTATAATTTACAGTATAATGATGTTCATGTATTTTCCAGTCAACCTGTTTGTTTTCTAAGCATCCCTCATTGGCATTTCCCCAGTGAACCTGGCCCGCGCTAGGAGAGGATCTGCCCAAATCCCTGAAGCGCTTGGCCTTCACCGCAGCCATCTCGGCGGTGCTGAGCTTCGTGGCCGGCTTGGGCGATCGACACCACGAGCCTCGTCCAATGAGTTGGGTTTAAGCCATCTGACCTTTTTGGGCTTTGATGGCTTGGAACATGGGGACTATGATATTATCAAAGTATAGTTATAATATAATGTTATATGATGTTATATGATGTTATATAATGTTATAATAATAACTACTATAACTAACACATACTAACACAATATGATATTTGATGATGTCTGACATTGGGATAATTTGTAGGCTTATTTTGTTGCGATTCTTCGCGGATGCTTCAGCTCTGCTAACCAATTGTTGGATTGGTTTCTGAAGGAACCTTTGAAAGTGTCACCCTTAGATTTGAGAGGAAAAACCAACTAAACAGCTATGAATGGTTTCAACATGTTTCAACCTTGGGTTTTTTTCATGGTTTTTCCCCAACAAACCAACCACCAAGCATTAAATCATATGAAATCTCCATCACATCCTATGAATCCCATAAAAATAAAAAAAACATCCCTTGTTGTTTCCCATGTTTTTCCCTCACCAACGAATCAGCCAGGAAAACTTCATGGTCACCGTTGACGGTCGCTTGGTCCATGTGGACTTTGGCTGGGCACTTGGGAAGGAGCCTCTTGACGCGATGCTCATCCACTTTGCCGTTCAAGGTCGGCACCTGGTGATCCATGGCCATGATAGAGGCAAAACCCCATGGTTTACTTCAGGAATCTCCCAAGTAAATGGAGGCTTTTAGATGGTTTTAGTGGGAAAATCATGTATTATACTGTATAAATATCTATAAATAGTGGATGATGATCTATAAATTCGTGGATTTTCCATTGCCATGTTTCACTAGCGACGAAAAACCCCTCAGGTGGCAGGCCCGCCACGACCATCCAATACGATGAGCTCATGGACGCGGTGGGACATGACATGATGGACAGGATCTTTTGGCCGGTGGTTTGCCACTTGACTGGATAGGCACTGGATAGGTGGTCAAAAAACGTGATCAACTGCCAGAAATTTGTCAAAATGATACACCAATTCTATGTAATTCTCATGGCTCTGGGATGATCAACCAGAGGATAGAGAGAAGTAGCCTATTCTCGGACATCGCCATCTTGACTTTGGTGACGCTGAGCTTTTGTTTTTTTACAGCCAGCCACTTGAATAGATCGTTGTAAATCATATTTTGTTTTGCCCGATCTGCTGATCTGCTGGCTTCTCCAGGTAAGGCGTATCTGTGCGTGCGAAGATACCCTGGACTCTTAGCTGAGATGTTTTACACAGTCTTTCGGCAGCAGATGGATAGGCTTGGCACCTGGTGCCTTTAGCGATGGTGCCATAGGTTGCAAGTGGTTTGGGATCATGGCTCTATCTCCAGAGGCTTCTCAAATTGGGTGATCCCAAAACCCTGGGTTTCAACACTAAAATGGTCATCCATGACTTGGATGATTTGGGATGATTTGGGGGTACATCCATGTAGGAAGCCTCCAGCTATCTCCAGCAACTATCTTAGGGGCCCTGCAGGGTGACTGGGACATTGCTAATATCAATCTCATCCCCCTAATATGAAATTATTCACTTCCTAAATGGTCCCAATTATGTATAAACCCCTACGAAACCATGGTTTCTGGGTAGTGTTTAATATTAGGGCGATGGGATTATAGTTATGCCAATTATACTCATCATGTTCTGGTGAGATTACCGTTGCCAATCTATTACCAGTAGTACCGCACAAGGCGGTGGCGGAAGTTTCAGAATAGGAAACCTATAGGAGAGCTTGGTTGTTGTGAATCACGGATGGCAGAGCGAATCCACTGATGGACTGAAAGGTGGTTGGAGTTGTGTTTTTTGGATTGGTTGCAATGGTTGCAGTGGTCACCAGGTCGGTCACCGCACCCACAACTGCTGGATGTAGTGTGGTGTAGTGCAGCTGTAGTTGTAGTTGTAGCGTAGTGGAGTTGTAGTTGTGGTGTAGTGTAATTAGTGTAGTGCAGTTGCAATTGCATTTGTTGTGGTGTAATGAGTGTAGTGTAATGTAATGTAGTGTAGTGTAGTGTAAAGTAGCGTAGTTGTACTTAGTGTAGTGTAGTGTAGTATAGTGTAGTGTAGTATAGTGTAGTGAAGGGTGGTGTGGTGTAGTGTGGCGTAGTGTGGTGTAGTGTAGTGTAATGTTCTGCAATTAATGCAGTGTAGCGCAGTGTAGTGTAGTGGTAGTGTAGTTGTAATTGTCATAAGCTAGTTGTAGTTGTAATTGGTGTAGTGTAGTGTAGGTGTAGTTGTAGTTGCAGCTGTAGTTGTACTTAGTGTAGTGTAGTGCAGTGTAGTGTAATGTAGTTGTAGTTGTAGCTGTAGTTGTACTTGTAGTTGTAGTGAAATGTAGTGGAGTGGAGCGTAGTGTAGCGGTTGTAGTTGAAACTGCTGCTAAACCCTCGCGTTTTTGCTCACTTTTGACACGCACTTTTGACTTGGAAATGTGCTTCGCGCCACAACGGCGTGCACTTGTTCGACATCTCAACTTCTGCAGGATCTAACACTTACGGATCTGGACTGAAATGATCTATTAGTGAATCAGTTTACAATAACACCCCATTGTTAGTCATATCCATTATTGATTTTGAATGATTCAATGAACATAGAAACAACTATTATCATTACAACTATGACAACTATCATTCATCTATTATTTCATACTGTTGGTTACAGATAGTTTATGAACCATTATTAGCCTTACATGTATACGTCATCCCATCTCATCCCAATGATTTAATTGATATAATTTATTGATACACTATCATCCCATAGATTACCATACTGATAGATGGTTACAACTGATCATAACTATAGCTATTAATTACACCTAACCATCAGTTAGTTATAACCATCTACCAATAGTTACCATCAGCTATAACTTAAACCATGAATCTACTATTACCACTGCTAAATGATAGATATAAATACACAATGTTTTTTAACCAGATACATCATCCATTATCAGCCATATTGACCAGTTATATATATATATGTAAATAGCAGCCACACAGATACATATATATATATGTATATAGATACATACTATATGATATAAGGGTTAGTAATGTAACCTAATATATATATATATGTATATATATAGCTATAACTATATCTATCATCCCAGCTGAATTCTCAGCTCCGCTTCAGGCCATGCTGCGCGAGCGCGGCGCCGCCCGCGGCACCGCGGCTGGCCCCGCGCCCCGCGGGCCGCGCGCCTGGCGCGACGCGCAGAGCTTCGTGGCGCGGAACTGCGCCGCAGCAATGTGCCATGCCAAAAAAAAAATCGAAAATGGCGGAAATCGTGGAAAAACATGAACAACCTGTGAAAATTGGACAAACATGGAGGATATACCGATGAAAAAATACGACAAATGGAGAAACATAGTTTACTTAACAATAATTGATTTATGAACATTTTATCATGATTTATGCATGAAAAAATGGGATTCATTTGAATTTTCAGATGATTTATAACTGATTTTATGAAAATTCAAGCGCCAAAGATGTGCTGTTGATAGACTTAGCTAGCGAAAGGTGGGCTTTCATGGGAATTCAACCAATAAAAATTGGTTTTCGACCATAGGGATTCAAGGTAGGGATTTAAGTGTGGCTTTGGAATATGTTGGGATACTGAAGATTTGAGCACCGATTCCTGTGGTTTTGGAATGTTTTGGAATATATTGGGGACTAAGCCAGGAACAGTGGGAATTAACCCAATGCGGAATGCGCAAAACAGTGTTTCAAAATGTTTCAAACATGTTTTTCTTGGTACAAAATCATACAAAACCTCATTATGGAATATTGAAACCAACGTCTTGGAAATGGGGTGAAACTGTTGAAACCAGATGAGAGTTTCCGTGAACAGAATTTGGTGTCCTTCTGCCATCGCACCCCCCCAAATACCAAACATTCCAACAATATATTCCATGCAACATTCTTTGGATTCTGAGGTTTCCATTTCCTTTCATTTTCTCTCCCTATGTATATATATATATATTATATTATATTCTTCCAAATTATCAAAATTTTATTTTTCCATTCCCTCTTTCCATATATTCTTCCCTAGCACCAAGGTTTCCCCCCATGCTCCCCCATTTTCACGGTTTCGAGGCCCGAAGAGAGCGCCCAGCGTTTCATCCATTCGCTGCTGCAGCACTGCACCAGGATGGAACGCGCCGCGCACGTGCGCGACGAGCTCAAGGGCCTACGCCTTGGGGAGAAGACCACGGAGGTGCTGTGTCCATGGCCATGGGTGGAATGGGTGGATGGATGGTTGATTAATAGATATGGTTCCCCCCATGAGAAACCAACCTATAGGTAGATTAAGTAATAGATATTGGTAGATGGTTCTCCCTATGAAAACCAACATATAGGTGAGAATAAACGATATACCAACTGCCCCCTCTTTTTTTCCTAAAAGGACAATATTGAGTGGCTAAGTGGTTAATTAGTGGATAAGTGGTCCATAGGCCGAAAGTAACTGGGATGTATTGGGATATAAGTACCCCAGTGACTGTTGTTACTACCCACGAATCGTTGATCCAGTCGCAACATCGAAGTCGATATGGAAGGGTCTGCAGGGTGAATTTGATAGCGATCTCACTGGGAGGTCACAACGTATAAAAGTGTAACTATCCCAAACTGAGTTTATCTCAGGTCGGTAAATTACTATGATTATTAATTGAAATAGATGGGTCGAACATAGCCCATGTGATGAATAGAAATAGGCATGGGAGCTGAGGGATAGATTTTGAGTGCTTAATGGCCCATGGACTAGAAACAATATTGATAAAATTAAGCAAGAAAACTGATGGATGATGTTTGATGGATGCATCCATGGAACTAACCAACAAGAGTTGGCTTAAGCAACAACCAAGTAGTTCCAATATTCCTCTTCTGATCCTGAACACACCCATACATATATCTGTATATGTATAATAGTATAAGTATACACAATACTACACACATGAATTTATGCATGCATATCCATTCATATTTACATATGTATATATATATGGATATACATATTTGTGTATATATATATATATAAATGGATATACATATTTGTATATATATATTTATATACACACATATACATATATATATATATATATATGTGTGTATATGTATTTATATCTATATATGTATATATATATATATATGTCTATCTATCTACCTATCTATCTATCTGTCTATCTATCTCTCTATCTCTCTATCTACCTATCTATCTACCTATCTATCTATCTATCTATCTCTCTATCTCTCTATCTCCCTATCTATCTATCTATCTATCTATCTTTCTATCTATCTATCTATCGATGGATCGATCGATCGTTCGATCGATCTATCCATCCATCCATCCATCCATCTATCTATCTTATCTATCTATGTTATCTGTCTATCTTATCTATCTTATCTATCTATCTATCTATCAATCTATCTATCTATCTATCTATCGATCGATCGATCGATCGATCTTATCTATCTTATCTATCTTATCGATCTTATCTATCTTATCTATCTTATCTATCTTATCTATCTTATCTATCTTATCTATCTTATCTATCTTATCTCTCTTATCTCTCTTATCTATCTTATCTATCTTATCTATCTTATCTATCTTATCTATCTTATCTATCTTATCTATCTTATCTATCTTATCTATCTTATCTATCTTATCTCTCTTATCTATCTTATCTATCTTATCTATCTTATCTATCTTATCTATCTTATCTATCTTATCTATCTTATCTATCTTATCTATCTTATCTATCTTATCTATCTTATCTATCTGTCTGTCTGTCTGTCTATCTGTCTATCTGTCGATCTGTCCACCTATCTATCTAGCTAGCTATCTACCTATCTATCTGTCTATCTATTTTTCTTTCTTTCTTCCTTTCTATCTCTATAGATGTATATACACATAGAAGTATATGTTTGTGACAGGACTCTATCTTATCTATCTTATCTATCGTATCTATCTACTCTATCTAATCTATCTAATCTATCTAATCTATCTAATCTATCTAATCTATCCAATCTATCTAATCTATCTAATCTACCTCATCTACCTAATCTACCTAATCTACCTAATCTACCTAATCTATCTAATCAACCTAACCTATCTAACCTATCTAACCTATCTAACCCATCTATTCCACCTAATCTACCTAATCTACCTAACCTACCTAATCTATCTAATCAATCTAACCTATCTAACCTATCTAACCTATCTAACCTATCTATTCTATCTAGTCTATCTAATCTACCTAATCTACCTAATCTACCGAATCTACCTAATCTACCTAATATACCTAATATACCTAATCGATCTAATCAATCTAACCTATCTAACCTCTCTAACCTATCTATTCCACCTAATCTACCTAATCTACCTAATCTATCTAATCAATCTAACCTATCTAACCTATCTAACCTATCTAGCCTATCTATTCTACCTAATCTATCTATTCTACCTAATCTACCTAATCTACCTAATCTACCTAATCTACCTAATCTACCTAATCAATCTAATCTATCGTATCTATCTCATCTATCTGATATATCTTATCTATAAATCTATCTAAAAATCTATCTATAAATCTATCTTTAAATCTATCTATGAATCTATCATTAAATCTATCAATAAATCTATCAATAGATCTATCAATAAATCTATCAATAAATCTATCAATAAATCTTTCAATAAATCTATCAACAAATCTATCAATAAATCTTTCAATAAATCTACCAATAAATCTATCATTAAATCGGTCAACAAATCTATAAATAAATCTAGCAACCAATCTAGCAATAAATCTAGCAATAAATCCCAGTCAATCAGTCTATCTATCTATCTATCCATCTATCTATCTACCTATCTATCTGTCTATCTATCTATCTATCTTTCTTTCTTTCTTTCTATCTCTATACATATATATATATACACATAGAAGTAGATGTTTGTGACAGGACTCTATCTTATCTATCTTATCTATCTTATCTATCTACTATCTAATCTATCTAATCTATCTAATCTACCCAATCTACCTAATCTATCTAATCTACCTAATCTACCTAATCTACCTAATCTACCGGATCTACCTAATCTACCTAATAAACCTAATATACCTAATCGATCTAATCAATCTAACCTATCTAACCTATCTAACCTATCTATTCCACCTAATCTACCTAATCTACCTAATCTACATAATCTATCTAATCAATCTAACCTATCTAACCTATCTAACCTATCTAACCTATCTATTCTATCTAATCTATCTAATCTACCTAATCTACCTAATCTACCTAATCTACCAATCTACCTAATCTACCTAATCTATCTAATCTATCTAATCTATCGTATCTATAAATCTATCTATAAATCTAGCAAAAAAACTATAAATCCATGTATAAGATTATCTATAAATCTATCAATAAATCTATCAATCCATCTATCTATAAATCTATATATAAATATATCTATAAAGCTAACCATAAATCTATCTATAAATCTATCATTAAATCTATCAATAAATCTATCAATAAATCTATCAACAAATCTATCAATAAATCTTTCAATAAATCTATCAATAAATCTATCATTAAATCTATCAACAAATCTATCAATAAATCTAGCAACCAATCTAGCAATAAATCTAGCAATAAATCTATCAACAAATCTATCAACAAATCTATCAGCAAATCTATCAATCTATCAATCTATCAGTCAATCAATCTATCTATCTATCCATCTATCTATCTGCCTATCTATCTGTCTATCTATCTATCTACCTATCTTTGTTTTTTCTTTCTTTTTTTCTTTCTTTCTTTTTTTCTTTCGTTCTTTCTTTCTATCTCTCTCTCTCTCTATATATATATATACACATAGAAGTATATGTTTGTGACAGGACTCTCGGAACGCCCCCAGGCGCCCCAACAGCTTAACAGAAACAATGAAACCAGAAAAATCAGGAAGGATGATACAAACATCCATGTGCTGAACTGTTGCGTTGAAAGCTTGCTGCTCAAACAAAACGCACATATACGCAGTATTATGGATCGGGTGATGGAAAGTCACGTATGCTAGGCCGCTGCTGCACAGCAACTGTGCGCCTGAGGCAAAAATGATACATATTATGAAAGTAACTGCTGTAGCCCCTTTTGAATCCTAACAGAAACTATATATCGACCAATCAACAATATTAATCCCATTCCCTTCTTAAACACCCCCTAGAAACCATGGTTCGAAGAGAGGGATGCAACGACACAGACCATCAACGGGGGTGTTTAATTCTAGTCCTTAGTTCTGTATCCCATTGTATTTCCAGATTTTTCCCCATGTCCCAGATTGAAATCCCCCACAACCACCATTGCTAAGGCTAAAAATCTTTAGCCCCAGCCCAGCCCATCCCAGGCCTCCCAGGGGCCCAATGTTTCGCGCAGGCGGTGTCAAAGGCCTGGAACTACGCCAAGAACACCACGCGCAGCGCGGGCAGCGGAACACGCAGCGCCGCAGGTCGAGCGGCCGAGGCGCTGAGACTGTGGTTGGGGTTGGGGATGGGTAGCATAGTTGGGATTGGTAAATGGGGCTTTAATGGTGATTTCAATGGTGATTTCATGGGATTTAATGGTGATTTCATGGGATTTGATAGACATTTCATGTGGACTTCATGTGAACCCCAGAGGTGACACCCATGGACCCAGCTATCATTGGGGGTCACCCAGCCAGTCCACCAAGTAGTCGCCGTGTGCCAAAGCTCGTGAAAACTGGTTGGAGGATGTCCTTCATTGATTGATTCATTAAGGTTCATAAACTCAAACAAAAATAGATAGATGATATATGTAGTGCAGTGAACTGATCGACGGGCAACCCAAACCTACCCACTGCATCCCACTGCTACTTATTAGAATTTATTAGATATATAGGTGCATATTTGACGAGTTTATGTATAATTATATAATTATGTCCGTTCCTTGCTTCATTAAATTCATCCTTTCATACCTTTCGTCCTTGATACAATGATAGATCCACCAAGGGAACATCTACAGGAACCCCTCCATTATTGCGGGGTAGACATCATCTTTCCTGAGAGTTTCCAAATCTATCCATTAATGGTTTACAAATGTTTACCGTACCCAACTTTTCCATGATATTCCGATATTCCCATTATTTTTTGGTAAATCCTCATTTTTTACAGGTTTCCATGATATTCCCATTATTTTTCGGTAGATCTAGTAGGTCGTCATTGTTTGATATTTTAAAACAGGTAAACGTATCGGCCAACAGCCACTCTTTGAGCTTTCACACACCAAGTCCAGCAAAACATCAACTCCGCTAGGTCATCAAAACAGGTGGCCCCAGCTTGCAACAGGCGTGTTGTGGCGGGATCTATCACTGATTTCACCACCGGAATGCAACGCAGAAGGTTTTCTCACTCTGAAGATTGGACTGTGGACATCATAGGACCACCATCACCAATATCACAAGAATATTTCTATGGAAATAGAATATTTCCATGGAAATAGAATGTATTTTACATGAAATAGATCTTGAAACCATTTTTGAAGCCACCCGTCTTGAAATCAGGTGCGAAGTGCTGCTACCAGTGCCTTTGGGGAAATCATGCAGCTGGCGAGTCCCAGCAAGTTGTCCATTGAAACTCTCGGGAGTTTCAGGGACGAATCACGATAGCATCCGATAGCCGATAGCCTGAGAACCACCTCTCCACCTGAGAGGCAGCCCAGATGACTGTCTCTTGGGGATCCACAAAATGGGGTGTCTGGAAGGATGATCGATTCGCGACAAGATTGAAGACCTCCCCCGGGTGGAGTAGATGATATCAACTTGTATAAGAAGGAACATGATGGACCAATAATGGAAAATACATATTCTCTCTCTCTCTCTATGTATTTATATATATATACACATACTGTATATAGAATAGATTATAGTAAGATATATTGAATGTACTAGTATGCCTATTTGCTGGTGAGATGGTATATTTCTCGAAAGTTGTCTGGTGCTGATGCCTTGCCAAGCCTATGTAATGGTGGTTGAAAGGGCCACCGGATCCCTCCTTTAGCATCCCTGATCCCTGTGAAGGTTCACTTTACCTCACTTTACCTACTAGGATGTTCAGATTTTGGATATGGATTTCATGGAATAGCATGGAATAGTGTTTTTTTTTTTTTTCCACTGCACCCTCAGAAGCCGCGAAGCCGTGCCTGTTTTGGAATATGAGCTTCTGTTTCATTCCTCGGAATCCAGTGCAGTTCTTCTGGACACCTCCAGGCGTTGCAGGAAGTGACCGTGTGACCCGGACCTACCAACAAGTTGAGCTTTGTCATGTCTGAACATACCCCAACAATCTCAGGGTTGATCAGTTGATCATCATTTCTTCATTACAATTTTTCGTTTTAAGGGATCGTATCCCCTCATTGTCCGAGAAACCGACCTCAAAGATCAACAGATCATCGGCAATCTTCGGCACCTGTCCCTAAGGAGCCGATCTTGTTTAGTGTGAATCATATTCCCGGGAACCTCCACCTTGACACACTATTCTGACATAGTTTCTGACATACCATCTTGAAGTATATATGGCATATATACATATATATATATATATATATGTATATATTCTGACATTCTATTGTTTCTGGCATATACTGTGACATTCTATCTGACATTCTTTCTGGCATACTATCTCACATCTATTCTGACCTACTTTCTGGCATATATCCGGATTTCTTTCTGGCATTCTATCTGCCATATATTCGTGACATTCTTTCTGGCATACATTCCGACATTCTGTTTGACATTCCTTCAACATTTTGTCTGGCAGTCTTTCTGACAATCTATCTGACATTCTATCTGGCATTTCTCTCCGGCATGAGTTCGGGTCCAGGCGCACTCCACTGCATCCGGAGCTAAAGTTGAGGCGCGGGAGGAGGTGGAGGAAGAGGAGAAGGAGTTGCACCTTTGTTAAAATCTAGAGACCCCGTGGCAGGTGGGGAAGCAGTAGGAAAAACTCAGGCAACACCCCAAAAGGTGACACTCCTCAATGAAAAGATGATCAAGATTGAGGTCTTTTTTTTGCTTCCAGCGGTTGCTGGTGGTGAATCAATCCACCTTTGTTAGCTGAATCCCGTCACAATAAACACGTCTCATCAACGGTAGGTCCTGCCTGTACATAGCAGCCATAACCTCCAGAAATTTCAGAGCAGTGGGCGGGCGCAGCCCGTGTCCGTTTTCGGGTTTTCCGGGGATGAGTCGGTGCCCTGATGGGATGGTTGTGGACTACAAGCTGACACCAAGAAACATATGGTTATTAACATGTTTTAAACAACAAACCTGGGGAGTTAAGAGGATTTACGCAATACAAATCGTCTTTGAGCAACATGGAGATACCCTAACATATAGATCGGGCGTTAACATGCTTTTAGTATCTTTTAGTCAACATTTGGATAAAACAACAGAACTGAGGTTTGAAATTTATGTCTGACCATAAAAATGGAGATATAAAATAAACCGACCTTGGGGTACAAATCAACGAACACGAGGGTATCAACCAAACGAATGTGATCGTTAATGATATCGGACAATATACCCAGCAGTCATAGGGATGATTGGTGATATGGTCATCAATGATGGATTGTGATTTAGTGAACAATGGGGGCATTGTCAACAGAGATCATATACAAGCAGAAATAGGGGTACAACATGGGGCTTTAGGGTTTCTATTTGGGTCTTGACCAACCAATTATGGGCAGCTAATCTGGCTTGTTCTTGAAAGACACCATCATAGCCAGATCAACTCGTTTTGGGTTGACAAATGTCAACCTGCATGGTACCTGGTTCATACGATACACGGACACCACGAGCTGAACATAACACATCCGAGCCTCCATCCCCTTGACCTTGGGCTCTTCTGTGAAGCAGTGTTTTATTCACAGCCTTCCAAAAGAAGCGGTTGTGAAGACTGGCACTTTCAAGTACAGATCTGATTATCGAACCTCAATGTGCCGGCCTCAAATTACAAGATTTGGGTGTGGGTCAAAATTTGGTACGCAAAATATGGACGGTTCCCCATAATTTACCAACATGTGTGGCTGCGGTCTCTCCATGTTTCACCTATTTTGACCCAGGCCCAGATCCGTTTAAGCCGCGTTTCGGGAAAGGACATGACGATGTCAATCAGATTCACTGACTGAAACTGCCCATGAAGGGCCTGAAGATAGCCTACAACTAAGAAGACCAAGCCTTTCCTTGCTGGATAACTTTCAGTTGTCGCCTGAACGGCAGGTACACTGGACTTACAATCAAGGACCACATACTGATTCATATCTCATTCATACACTGCAGAAATATGCAGAAATGGGATCCAGATGGATCCAATATATCATTGCAACTAGCATATGACCATATGACCCACAAAACACAGTGGATAGAGGCGGATAGAGGCGTAAGTACTTCAGAAAAAGGATGCATGGATGGGTCATGATCTGCCATAATGGGTCATGATCTGCCATAACATGTCACAATACTGCAAGACACTTCCGTTGCTTCTCCAAAGATTTCAAGAAGCTGTGCTTCTTTGATTTCCAGGCAAAGAACCAGCCTCCGCATCGCATCTGCTCAGATGTGTTGCAGACCCTGTGACAGGCTTTGTACAGTGCATTTGCACAGGGAAAATTCTCAAAACTCCACAAGTGCGCCATATCTTGAAGACCTACTTTTCAAACTGAAGATTGATCTCAGTTCGGACTCACTTTGGACATTCCAAAGGCCATGAAATGGGCGGTTGTCCAGCAGCCATTGGCTCAATTGTTCTAGATTCATGTTCAGTTGTTCTAAGCGGAGGGGTGTCGAATTATCTTTGAACATGCTCAAACAATGAGGTAAACCTGTAATTATGCAAATGTGTGAAACATTGAATTTCCCACACATCGCTCACGGCTTGATTCCACACCAGCCAGTACTCTTGTGCGCAAACGCGCACACACGCGATATTACACACGCATACCTTCACAGAAACAAACCCAGGCTTGCTTCAACACATTTGCCCTACTGTTTCACCACTTGAGATCTCTAAAGTTGGATACAAGGTGAACCTGTGAGGGCGCTTGGACCTATTGCCTTCAGCATGGCTGCCTTCCGGTGTGCCAGCTTCGCGTATGGCGTTTGGTTCTCAAACTTTGGGAAAGTGAAAACATGCTGCTATCATTGAGGGTCTGATGACCCACAGAAAATTCTTTTCTGTGGAACATGACTTTGCATTTGCATTTGCATTTGCTATGTCTTCTAATTTTATCAACACTTCACTCAACACTCCCAGATTCAACATGGAATCCCAACATGGCTTAATCTCAAACATGATTTTCCACTTGGTGGCTCATCCCACTTAGTAAGTGGGTTATAACCCCAGTTATAAATGGGATAAGTAGGGTTAATCCACTTATAATTGGGGTTATAACCCACTTACTAAGTGGGATGAGCCACCAAGCAGATCTCATTTTTTTTCGAGTTCGGGTTAAATTTAAAGGGTGTACTCTCGTTTTCCAAGGAGACTAGCTGCAGCACATGTCCAGAGTTTTTACCTGAAAAGGGACTATCATTGAGACAATAATGGCTTATATTAGTGGACTATATCATATATATATGCGCTATATGCCATGCTTAGAGACTTAGAGATACATAGAAACATGTATTGGGATAGTAAATGAACATAATGACATGTGTATATACCTGATGTTATGTGTGTATATATATATATATAATATATATATATATATTATGTGGGAGAGATGTATACCCCATTCCCATGACTTGTATGGAACAAAGCAGGAACGCTTTTTTTTGGCCATCAGGAACGCCTCACTGGGATTGGCAGGCCTGGCGGATGGCTCGTTAAGTACCTTCCGCAGGAAGTACTTGGATCCACATGGATGTATGTATATATATATATATGTATAATATATATACGTGGATCAAGGCAATGCAATGCAGTGCAACGCAATGTACGTATGAGTGTTTCCAAAAGTAGGGGTACCCTGAAATCATCCAAAATTTGACTATTTAAATATTGAAACCCATGAGTTCAGGGCATTCCAGGGGAAAATGCCTATCCATGATTTGATGATCTATGGAGTGAGAAAGCAGATGACTACGCATCTCCGTTCAGAGAGTATTTTCAGAGGGCAAGGTTTGAATGGTTCTTCCAAGATGCAGCCCTGCAGGTGAAACTCTGGAACTGATTCGAGAAGAACCCAAGCTCCGTTCCACCCTTCCAGCACTGAAGATTGTGGGTTGGGGGTGAAACCAGGACGATGATTTCCCTTGGAGTACACAAGAGCCATCAAACTTTTCATCGTTGGCTTGGTCTGAAAATGTCGGATACCCCTAAAATATTCCCCTAAATCCATTGGTTGATCATCATTTTCCCTATGGTATGACATCCCCCTTCCGAATGGCCGAGATTCCACGAGATTCCACGAGGTTTCGGCTGCTTGGAGCTCTATGTCCGTCTTACGGATGACGTAGAGGTGAAGCTCAAGTGGCTGTTGAGTTTAAGGGTCAGACCCATGGCAGTTGAATTTAAAAAGGGCAAGATTTGACGATTGTGGCCTGGGTGGTGTGTAAATCAATCCTTTTTGGGGATGCCAGAAGGATTGATACGTTCTCTGAGAGGAGTTTTTCATGCGTTCAGTCATATCAGTCATCACAGCACAGCTTCTGGCCCTCACAACCAGAATAAAGGCTGGTGTACTACCAAGACTGAGTATGTAGTTAATAGGTCGGTCTGGTGCTGCTTTTGCAAAAACAATGCACTGGCCACTTTTGAGGTTGACGATCAGCGAGATCGTTTTGTCGTGGAGGAGGAGGGGTCTAGGTTCAATGATGTTTCATGATGATGTGATGACAACAATGATATCTGACAGTTTTGGGGTTGAACTACGAACCGCTTACTGATTACTGTATCCTTTACAAGTTTGCATTCCTCATTAATCCCCTGATGGCACAATCTCCAAGAACATGCCGCCTTTTCGTTCCCCAGTTACCAGAGTTCTACAGTCAGTCCAGTGGTTCTCAACCATTTCAGCGCTTCGTCGTAGTCAGTTGAATCTGTATAATTATATATAATTATATTGTATATATGGACCATTAGACTTACATACATGCATTGTACATACACGAGGTAGATGATTGTACTGTATATATATATGTATGTGTTGTGAACCCTCCGAGACTAACCTTTTTTCATATGTTGAGGGGACTTTTTTACAAGGTTTGATGATTCATTTCTCTCCCCCTCTCTCTCTCTCTCTCGCGTTCTATATACATCCATCATATATACATATAGTGAATACTGTACAAGATTCTAAGATTGTATATGATACACAATGTAGACACGCATATTTACACATGATTCTGCTTCCAGCGTGCAGTTGACAGGATGTGAGGCAACGAGTCAGAGTGCACTGGAGAAGTGCTGATGTCAGGGAACCCATGGGAGCCGTCTATCGCCATTTTCGCTACTGCAGTGGCTACTTCGGGGGTCATATTTTTCCGACAAAACCAATATGTCTCAACGTTTAAACTTCATCCCAAACAACATTTGCATATAGACAGAGAGTTTACAGGCAAAGATACCGACTGAGTCGTGGAGCATTTTTAGTTGCAGAGGCTATGTAGAGATGTCGTTTGAAAGACAGCAATGATCAGCGAATCCATACGTCCCTTTGTATATGCAGCAGAACAACCCCTTGCCCATTTTACTCCACAAGAAACCACTTTTGTTGTCGGGATGCGCCCAACGGTTTTTATATGTCTAAAAGAAGTTGGTTTGTTCTTAAAAAAAAGCAGTTCGACTTAAGGAACATCTTTGACACATGGTTTCTCCTTGTCCGCAGATTCAAAATGCCGCATGTTCGTGCCCATCTGTGCCCCAAACTTGTCAACTGCAACTTGTGATGTTTTTGGTGTTGATATTGTGGGGATGAAGACTAATCACCATTCGGATAGCCAAGTTGGTTTATAATTTAGCTTAGCTATGGCTTATGGTAGATATATCGATATATCTAACCCATTAACATCAATTAACTATCGATATATCATGATATATCCATATAATATATGGTTAACTATGGCTTAATGAGTTTTTATATGTTCCAAACCAACTTATCTATGGGGGACCGCACCGAACTGGCCAGGCAAGTCGAGATTCGACCGTGCGGGTCTCAGGCGTGAGCAGCTAGGCGTTACCAAGGTCAACTTTGAACTTTCGCATCATATATGATATCTATTCTTTATGATATTATAATATATTATTATAAAACACATTTATCTATGATTGATAACATATCTAATATCTATGATATAGTTCTATATGATATGATTATATTATGTACAAATTGTGTATCTATACTTATAACATGTTGGACATATTGATTAAATGTATGTACATTGCATAATTTATATGGGTCATGTGATATCATGTGGTAGAACCAATTTCATAAACCATCCCCAAAATCGCATTTTTTTGATGGGTGGGGTTCAAACCATCCCTAAATGGTGGGTTTATGGCATTGTGTTTCCTGCATTATCCCAACTATCCATTCTTCATTCATTATTGTTGGTTATACCACAATTATTAACCATTATCAACCATCATTTCTTTGTTTATGGCATTGGGTTTCTCCCACATTTTACATCACAATCCCAATAATTGGAACATGATCATATACATTATATACACACATATAATTAACAGGATTATATTCCATAGATAATAAAGCCATTGAATCCCTAATGGCTCTCAGTGCTAAGTCATGGCGGGTGAGCTGTGCCTTCTCGCCCTGGGAATCGCAGGTGCCTTTGTCGGTTTTTTTTGCTTCCTGGATCTGTGGTGAAATGGCTTCCCAGATGATCCATGTACTGAATATGTATTGTATGTACATATGCATAATATATGTTGTAATAAATAAATAAATATATATATATATATTATAATTGATATATATATATATATTGATATTATATGTACATTGTATACTTGTTGTATACACATCTTTAAAGGTGTTTCATGGTGTTTACCTACATTTGAGTCAGGTTTGTGGTGATTTGGATTGTGTGGAAAATGTAAATCTACAGTGCATGGAGCCAGGGAGCATATGGGAGCATGGCTGTGGATTAAAAAATGACCGTAAACTGTGGTGAAGCGAAAGTTTGAATGGTGTTTCTATGGTTATCAAACATTAACTATAGTGAATAGTTTGATAAACTGTACTATGTGTTTCTATGGTTATTCATTATTCAGGCAAAACATATCAACATCTGGGATTAAACACAGGATGATGACGCATACGTTTGGACCAATTTTGTTCAAACACATGGATGTTGATATTGAGCCTTGGGCAGCTTTCTGCTCTTACTTGGCGAAGGGTTGGAAAATACTGGAACATCACCAATAAATGCTGGTTTTATAGGGTAGAGACTGAAAGTAGGGTTTATAAAGTTTTAACCCGTGGTTTGAACCGTGCACACCTAGGGCATGCGCAAACCCAGGCTCTATATGGAATTAAACCCTGGGTTAATTCTTTACTACTTGTCTCGAACTACGCTTTAACTTTGATGCTTTAGATCGAATGAAACCGTGGTTTAAAACCCCTTCCGTTGCGGATCTGATTCTAACATACATCTGCACAGGATTTATGTTCCCTGGCAAGTTTTAAACCGCGTTTTAATTCCATCTATACGGCCCATTGTGCAAGATATCCCGGGTTCTGGCTGCGGTTTGAAGGTTTGACCCCGTGGTTTAATTCGGTTCTATTTGGGGTTTCTTCAGATCTTCAGTCCGTCTCAAATCTTTCCGTTCGTCACGGTTTTGTCTGGCAGAGTCGATCGGCAGTCTTCACAAGTTCTCGGTCGCATCAAAGTGTCTATCCATTGAGACACACAATGTCACCTCTGGGCCCCAGCAGGCACTGCTGATGCACTGCGGAGGTGTGATGATACGGATGTATTGCTTTGGATCTGTCGCTGAGGAATCTGTGACGATTTTCAAGGGCCGTCTGAGGCAATGCGCAGAGGCCAACAACGTGAGATCATCTCCCCATGCCCCTGGCTGCTCCATGTGGGAGCAGTACGATCCATATCTGCCTCGAAATTGGTTTTCCATGCGGGCACCAAAGCATGCGGAGAGAGGTCTCAGATACCCAACGACACTTCTGCGTAGTTGCAGAGCCGTCAAAGGCACCTGTGCCGAAAACACTATGGCTGAGAATTGGCAATCACCATCTGCTGCAACCGGGACTCGTTTCAGTCCCAAGCAATGCAACCGTGAGTCCAAAATGGCATTGCTTTTCGCAATTTTCTCCATAAGCTCCTGGTTCTCCTGCAAGGATTGTTGCAAGGCAAGATTCAACTGTCTCTCCTCCCAGAGATCCATTGCATGTGAAGCAGGCTCTTGTACTGACTCATACAACTGCAAAGACCATTTCTCAGTGGAAGAAATTTCAAAGTGGTGGCTGCAAAAGCAGCCATGAGTACGTTTGCGCTTGCACCTGTCTCCTCTCAACGTGGTCGACATGCAAAGGACTTCTTTTTCTTGGCCAGCTGCTTCCACAACAGCTCGCTGAGAGGACTCTGTGACACTTCCAGGAAGAAGATCGCAGGCATCATCTGGACGGACTTCTGAGAGAATCTCAGCAGGCACCACATTGGAGTTCTGTGAAGAGGGAGCTCTCAACATTCTTTTCAAATGCGCTGATTTTTTGGGAAGCGGCTTTTTCCGTTTCTTTCCAAGATTGGATTTGGGTCCACCTGGTATCTTGGCAAGGCCACCTGGCTGCAGCAAGGCATGTACAAACAGAGAGTGTTCAGAGTGTCCCGCGAAGCTCATGTAGGTGCGGTGTCCATCCACGACACGGTTGTCCGTTGTTACCCACACTGTGCAAAAGTTGCTTCGAAGATGGAGATGGCGAATGACATCATACGAACCTGCCACAGAAAAACGATCTAAACACCGGTTCCATCTTCTTGTTTCCTTGTGTACGTCAAAAACAATATCTGATAGCAGAGATACGTATGCAAAGCAGCAACACATATCTTATTCCACTAACCACGAACTACAAATCAAGACATGGGTAAGCAACAAAAAACACCATATATATACAATATATATATATACAATATATATATATACAATATATATATATATACAATATATATATATACAATATATATATATATATATACAATAATTATATATATAAAATGCAATCTAGGCCTGTGAGTGGAGAAGCTGTTGCGTGTCTGACCTCTTCGGAGGTAAGGCTCAAGCCCAGTTGCAAAGCCGCCAGCATCTCTGGTTTCTTTTGAAGCGCATGCTGCAAACAATATTTTGGAAAAGCATAGCAAAGGCGGGCAGTGGACCCATCATCCAGAGGCTTATTGCAAACGCTCGCCACAAATGTTCCAGTGGGCCCATGCTTGTGGAACCACTTGCACAAGGCGTCCAAATCGAGACGCTCACGGTGCACGACCTGGGCCTCTTGTTCCGAGTCCAAACTGTCCACCTGCACGCTTTGTTTTTGGCTTCGTACATGTAAGCAGGAAGGTGCGTCCGCCACAGCCGCCTTCAAGTTCTCATAGTCTCCAGCTGCTAACTTGGAGTGAAAGGAATCGCAAACGCCTTTCATGAGAGATCCCACATCCTTCTTGCGCAATGTCCTGCACAACTTTCCAGGGTCAATGTAAATATATTTCAAGGGTAAAATGTCACGAAGCCATGTGGAAAGATGTGGAATGACATCAAAACGCTTGGAATCACAGGGAACAAACTCATCCAAAAAAATAAATGACATGAAACAGATTGAGTGGAAACATCTATATGATACAAATTTGGAGCACGTGCGAAGATGTGTATTGCACCCGCACACCGAAAGCAGGGTCCTTTTGCGCAGTAAGCCCTTGATCGTTCTCCAACTGCGTTCCAAACTGTTGGAGGTGTACGTAGTGAAGCCAGCCGGAACCTGGCCGAACCCAGATCGCCACGGTGCCGAGTACAGCCCGGCCTGGCCAGTTTCTTGGAGAAGATTTCGTACCAGGTATTGGGCGACATGGGGTTCATCCCAATCTGTCTCTTCACCATTGGAACGAAGACGATTGATCACTGACTCCCAAAACGAAGAAAATTCCAAGGAACTTGGAAACCAAGCAGACTCCATGACAAAGCTCAGCAGCACAGGCAACAGTTCCATGTTGCGCAGACGCACCTCACCAGTTTCACTGTTGCGCCGTTTGACTTCCTGTTTCACATTCTGTTTGGTGTGGTGGAGGCAACGATGAACTTGCACATGCTGCAACCCAGGGTCAGATTCAATGACCGCTTGGATGCCTTCCATACATGCGCAATCAGCGAATCCATGACTCAGTCGGATCCCATTGCAATGAGCCGCAGCAGCAAATGCCTTGAACAAAGTCATTTGGGACTCTTTGTCCTCTTTGCGGGACAAAAGGAAATGTGTTGGCAGCATACGAACCCCTGGCTTCTGGCTCCCACCAGACCTAAGGCCTGCTGGGCCGATTCCTCCTAATACCAAGGACTGCTGATTCGTCTCGAACGTAAAATCAGCAACAAAGACAGAAAGGTGCTGGTTCTGCTGAAGAAAGGAATCTGCATCTTTGAAGTGGAAGAGAATGCTGATGCGGTCAGCATTGCAAATGCTTGAATCCATGATGCTAACATTATCAGGTGGCTTTGCCATCCAAGCCTGCACACTGGCTACGCAATCAGCTGTGAGCTTCACACGTACCTCTGCCCTGCACGGGCGAGCGTTTTTCAAACGCCACATTTCCGGCCGATGCTCTATTGGAATTCCACTTTCCTCCATCTTCAGCAATGCCACACCACCAGTGTGAGTCTGCGCATACTGCTTGGCCAATCTCCTGCGGATGTGCACCACGTCCTTCTGACCATGCGACCCACACTGCGAAACTGCCATCTGAGAATCTCATGGGCCTTCTGCAAACAACCACGCTTTGGTGCAGCCGTCTTTGCACTCCTCTGAGCAGAGCAATGTACATGCATAGGCATGGATGAAATCTATGGTTGCATCTATTATGGTGGTGTCCCAAACAACGGTGATCTGCACAAGTGTTTGGTATACCGAACTTCCTAGAACTCTGATGGAGATGGCCACATCAAATTCCGATGTTCGAAAAGGAATCATAAGACTTTCAAACCAACTGAAATTAGTAGGGGCAGCCGTCTCTAAGAGCACTTTCAACAAGTATTAAACCGTGAGTCAAAACTTTAGAAAAACTTGAAAGACATGAAGTTAGAAGCCAGTACATCTATTCTCAAAAAGAATTAAACCCTGGTTTAGAACTTTCAAAGGGACAGGAACGCTGTCGACGGGCCCCTGTATCTGGTTCCTTGAAAGCACCTGCAGAAAACCTCAGTACCAAGATCTCTGAGAAGAAACCTTGTGTCTAAGAATCCTTTGAAAACTTGTACAAGACTTTTGTGTAAGGATCCCTTGAAAACACCTTTAGAACACTTTTCAACCATACGGCTCCTTGCATTTCGCGATGAAGGTCACAGAGCCCTTGCTTGAGGATTTTGATAAGGGATCGTTCACGACCTCCTTGGCTTGGAGCCACCGAGCGGCATTTTGCCGCAGAGTCAGATTGGCATCCCTTTCAACGATCTCACAAGGCTGCCAGTTCTTCGGCTGCCTACCTCGACCTCTCCGGTCGAGAACTGGAACAGGTTCCTGTTCCATGGCTGACCCCGCCAGACTGGAGCCGCAGCCACTGCGGCCGAACAATGAGGAGGAATTAAACCCTGGTTTAGAATTTCTGAAAAAACAAAACCCAGGCAACACGCCTCTGAATGAAGAAAAGAATTAAACCAAGGTTTAATTCTTGGGCTACATGAAACGCATGGCAAAGAATTAAACCAAGATGTCATTCTTCCATGAAAGCATGCAAGAGATGTGAATGCCATAAGTTTCAACTCAAGGTTTGAAACTTTTTAAACCTTACGTTTACTCTTTTCCGTTTTATAGGGATTTAATGGGACATCCCTATAATTTCCCATTAATGTCCCATTAAATCCCAAATAAATGCAGGTTTATAGCAGGGAAAATGGAGGTTTTGTTCGATGCTTTTCTCATTGGAATTCCCATTTAGATGTCAAGTCTTTCCCAGCCATGTTTGAGTACCGAAGGGGTATGGCTTCAACAACCTGCGCGACGGCCAGCTTCAGGTGGCTATTTGTGAAACCCTGGGCCGGGAGGCGGGATGCTGAGTTTCGGCAAAAAAGGGTTTCCAGTTCTCCAATCAATGTACAATGTATATGTTATATACATATTATCATTTAGGATCATCCATGATCCAATAGAACTATTGGGTGGAATTTCGTAGAATGTCCATTATCATTGGTTTTACCAGATATTCTATGTTATACAGGGGCTATATACCATTGTATACCATCTATTCAAATTATAAACATATTACTGTACCATAATTTTGAATATTATATACCATTATATACCATTTTATACCATTATATACCATAGATTATTATAATATATACCATTATATACCTGTGTCATCTATTCTCCCAATTTTTGATCTCTCAACTTATGAACGTCCAGGCCGTGGACTGGCTTTGGGACGGTTTGAATGCGCTGGTTCTTTCAATTAGCCTGCAGGCGCTGTTCGCAGGGAAAACAATCCATTGGCTCTGGGGTTCACCTACAATGGACATGAAAAAGCCAGTGTTTTTTTCTCCACAAGAATATTGGATTCGAACACATGAAGAGATGTATATGGACATACAGATTCATCTCATACATAGTCCATTTGAGGGTTGCTTTCAAACTTATTGTGCTAGTGCCCCGGATCCAGGCCCATAGAGAGTCAACTCTATTTGCTGCAGAATGGCCAGTGGCAGGCCAAGAGGGGATCGCTCATTTGCTGAGAATATCTGTCATACTCGCGTAGGAGCACGTGAGCAGCGTTTTTGTTTTGAGAGCACCATCCGCCGCGTAGGCTAGCATCCATTCAGCGGAGGCTCGCGGAGGCTTTGCGTAGTAGGTAGCTTCGCATAAACCATGTTGCGCGTAGGCTACTGCGCAGCTCGCGCACCCGCTGCGTAGGCGCTGCGTAGGCAATTACGAGTAATACCTTTAAAGCATAAAAGAAACTCTGCTCATGTGTGCCTGTGTGCCTACTCTTACCCGAAAATTGATTTGGGTTTGCAAACATAAACGGAATCAAATTCAGGATAGTTGAAACAAGGCTCTTCAAGACTCTTCAAAGGTAAGTTTCTCCGAAGGGGTGCTATGCAGGTAGGTCCAGGTAGGTTGGGTTTCATGCTGAGAATGGCTGAGGACCTTGAGGGCACGGTGGTTTGGCTCAAGGATTCATCAAGCTGGGTACAGAAATCGCTCCCCCGCGGTGCCGCCAGGGGCCCGCGCTGTTAGCGAGGCATGACAGAAGGGCAGAAAAGTGGCCCATCTGAAGATGAGTACCAAGGCCAGATCAGTAGCATTCAACAGATCTTCGCAGAGTATCTTGGAAGAATATGGAAGAATTGGCTGCCCCCCTTGGTGAATCTTTTTCAAGATTTGGGAGGGTATTTCCTGGTGTGACATGTGTATATATTATTAGTCTAATATGTAGACATACAGAATATGTGTACATACATAGAGAATACATACTGGTATATAAAGTATACAATATTACATATATATATATATAATTGCATTATATATATATAACTACACTCGTCATATTAATAATAAATATATATATACATACATATTTTAGCCCAATAATATCATATATATATATATTCATCTATCTCATATGTCATTTTCTACGTCACCCTTGTTCTTTCACTCTTCGTAGGTGAACAGTTCATGGTTTAGCTTTACCACTTGGACCAGTAGCTCTCATGCGGCCACAGGTATGATCACAACGGCAGCGGCAAGGTTCGTGTGGAGCGAATCCCCGATCTGATCCTGAATTTGGGTCGAGACCTGCAGCTTGGAATTTGGAAAAAGTGAGGGATGCTTGATCTTTCCGACAAATTGGGACAAAATCATTGGAATGTGGAATCAGATTCCTGTATATATATAAATAGAAAGTTTAACATCCCAACAAATTGTAATACTATGTTTGAACACGTGCTTCAGATCTTTTATATTTTCGAAGACCTCTTTGCACCTTCATACAGGTCCATCAGGGTGAAATTTGTGTGAAAGTTGTTCATTCGTGCAAACTTCCGTTGGGATGAACTGATGAACTCATGATTTCGTTCTTGATGATCAACGACATTAGAAGCAAAAGCATGGGTTGCTCAGTAGGTGCCTCATTTCAAGTAGATTCCACCCGACGGGCTTTTCCTTCAAAACTGAAGGGCGATTCTATGGGAGAAATTCTCCCAACATTCTACCACAGTTAGATTCCAAGCTATATAATGTATTATAATGTTGCAAATCCAATAATAAAACATCCCCAGATTTACTAGAAATTGGTGGCAGAGGCCGAAGCTTTGAGGTTTATGGCATTGGGTTTACCACATACGCCAGACCCTCCAACATGTTGATCTCCTAGGCAAGTCGGACGAGAAGTGGCCCGACAACTCAGTGGCAGCGGTTCGGTGGAAGTTGCGACCTTTGAGGAAGTGGTACAGACCCTGAAGAAGGTGGAAGAGACTCAGGACCTGAAAAAATATGAAAAAATAGGAGTTTCAGTCTGGTGGTCCATCCATGTATTTTTGTAACTGTGTATATATGTCATGTACATTATATATATATATTAAGTATGTTATGTATTATATATATGTAGATCATAATATAATATCTGTATATATATATATATGCACAATAATACACATATATATATATATTATATGTATGTTATACATATATATAATTATATATATATGTATATTATATATATATGTATTACATATGTAATATATATATATATATAGTATATTATATATATATGTATGTATGAATAATATATATACACATAACATGAACATGTGTGTTATACATACATGTATGGATATTCTATCGGACAGATTTGGTCCCCAGCTTAAGAAACATTTGGTCCCCTGAACTTCCAAAGACCGTTTTTCTTTGTCAATCTTTTGGTGCTTCAACACCAGCGCCAGGATCGAGAAGTAGATGGTGAAACCACTACGCCTTTGACGCTGTTGAAGAGGCTGAACGCCTATAAAAAGCAATGCGAATCCAATGGTGAATACGTCGAGGCACAAAAAGCTCGAAAGAAATATGAAGAGCTGCGTGCCAAGGACGGGTGCATAGCTATTTTTCTTTAAATTTTAAATGTTTATTTTTAGTCTTTTAAACATGATGTCTTGCAAGAGCATCAGGTGAAACACGGAGCAATTCCAGAAGAGTAGGTTTTTTCAACCAGAACAACGGATGAACATCCATAACATGCATAGTTCTTATGGCAATTCTCACCTTTCCTAAACGAAACATCTACATAATTCTGTATATATCCAAGCAGATCTCTTTGTGAAGCAGTGCAGGAAGAGGAACGCCAGAGAAGGCTAGTTGATCAGGCCCAACAGCAGGAGATGATGGAGGTGGAACAAGCCCAGCGAGCGCAGTTCCTGGGATTCTCCAATGCCTGGGATAAGTACCTGGGCGCTGCACAAAATGACGCCTTCGCTTAGGTTTGTTATGGAGACAATAAATATCTGGTTGGTGGTTTGGAACTTTTTTTTTATTTTTCAATAGATTGGGAATAATCATCCCAACTGACTAATATTTTTCTGAGGGGTTGAAACCACCAACCAGAATAGGTATCTTGTTCAGTTTAGTACCTTCCAATACATCTTCCCAAAATGATACTCTTCAGTAGTTCTTGTCGACAAAATGTGAATCAATGCATGTACTGTACAAACCAGAGTTGGAGACGGTTGGAGATGTTCCGATATGAAATTCAAGTTGTTATGTTTAAATTCTTAAATTCTTCAAAGGATTTGTCAGGATTATCTCTGGGCTCATACCAAGCGCAGGCCGCAAACATCTACCTAGCTGCTCTTGTGGATTTGCCCCATCATTTTTTTCTGGGGCTTTAATTCAGTCAAGAGTTCGAAGAGACACAGCTGCAGGTATATGGCAGACTACGAATCCACTGCCTACATGAGCTTGGAGAGACTGAAGGAACAGCACGGAGAGGAGTTGAGCAAGTTCCAGGAAATGATTCGTGACTCCGCTGAAGTGGGCTACATGGGCGGCTAGTTCTTTTGGTCTTTTGGAGTTCCAGGGACAGATCCCCGATGTGAAAAGCAGGTTTTGGATGACACAGTCCTATGTATTCCTATGTACTATAGACATCACCCAGACACTTGGAAAGAATCACATAGAATCAACAGATACTTGAGATAGTTGTTGAATTGGCATGACACTCCTGATACAGGGCATCACCAATTGCACGATTCCCACACGACCTTTGGCTAGTGCTCAGACGGATCCTGCAAAATGAAGCTGAAACCCCTTGGGTTCAAGATCCTTGTTGACCATGAATCGTTGCCTATAACAGTGATAGCAAGAGCACGTTTCAGACCACAGCAGGATTCAAGACCCGTTCGTATGTCTCATGGGCTGGACATGGGTAAATCAACCCACTTTAATTAATTGTTCCTTCCATTCGAAAAGAAATACAAACAAAACAGCTGAAACTAAGCCTTAAAAACTGGAAAAGTCCTGCCATTTTGGGATGTTGTCTTTTTTGCCCATTGAGAAGTCACGAGACACGACACAGAGAAACGCAGGCCACCAGCCAGCGCGGGTGAAGTGTTCCCGCGAGCTGCTTGAGCTGCGGCGGAAGCAAGAAGCCTTGGCGAAGCTTGGGAAATACGAGCCTTGGCCAATTGGAGGAGCGGAGCCGGTGGCGTTTTGGTGATGGCGATGGGTATGATGGGTTGATGTGGGTTGATGATAACCAACAGTAATTATAGATGAATTTGTGATTTTGGATATGATGATGGTGGTTGGGATGATGGTGATGCTGATCGTGGTGCTGCTGCTGCTGCTGATGATGATGATGATGATGATGATGATAATATGTATGTTTTAGGTGGTTTGGCAGGATGAGTTGCTATGGGGACGGGTCCAATTTATGGCTATTGAAGATAGGGAGACCATGAGAGAACGTAGTTTTAAACCATGAAATCTGCGAGTACCCTATGTTCAGACCGATATGAAATGCATGCTGAAAGCAAAAGGGAAAGCAAATGGGTTTTTCTAGAATTCGGCTGTTCGAAGTAGGATGAAGGGCCAAATCATGGCAGAATCGTTTGTGTACCAGACTACTAGCATCCCTGTCACATCCACATTTGCTTCAGATTTCTGTATAGCTTATGACTCATGTGACTCACACTCGTAGAAAAAAGGAAACAGGTTGGTTCCTCGTGTTTCCTCCTGGTTTTCTCATTGCTTGGCCCAAAATCCGCCAGCGATGAACCCAGGAAGAGGCTTGGAAGGTGAAAGAGGAAGGAGATCAGCTGGAACAGCTGCTCAACATGCCGATGAGTTTGTTTCGGTGCATGATGAAGACTTTGGAGATGTTTTGAACACATGTGATGCATTGACCATATTGACCTGCATGATCCTGCATGTGGAGTTTACAGATGTATCAACACAAGAACTGCTATAGCTATATAATTACTCTGCTAACAAAATCTAACAAAAGAATACACAAGATAGTAATCAGATGTAATCAGTCGAACCATGTCGAACATATTTTGTAGACATTTTCCACAACCACCCAGGTGGGAGCAGGCCCGGAGTGCCTCGTTGGTCAGCGACAGCGCCAAACGGCAGGAGGGGCGCTTGAGGTCGCAGCAGCAGAAGGCACTTCAGGCCCTGCTGAAACGGATCCAGCGGGATCGCGGCGAGCAGACTCTTGGTGTCCATTGGTTTTCGGGGATGCTTTGGATGGTACCTCAATATCTCGGGATATTTTGATGTGGAGAAAACCAAACATCCTCTGATTGATCATGTGTTTGTCCCTATAAACATTGCAAATTATTTGGGGCATACGGTATACTCCATTCTTAGACACAACTCCATGAAAAGTGAATTATGATGACCCAAGACTATGTAGTTAACTACTAGCAACATCTATGAATGTGACTGAGAATTGTGTTATTTGCCATGATTTAGGAACCCTCCAATGGATGGATTTGTGTTGGGGTGGTTGAAGCTGGTTGTGTGATGATCAAGACTGAGAACTCAGGATTCGACATCGCCAGATGGATTCCCAACGCCTCATTCAGCGGAACAAAAACTTGAAGGCTGGGTGGCAGCCTAAGAGCCATCCTTTTTTCTGCTATATTCTGCTTATGTCTGCTTCGTGGGCCAAAAAAAAACATATTTCCTGTGGTCCCTGGAGGTTTTCGCTCACCAAAAAGTGAGTCCCCTCTCCCCCCGTAGATCCCGTAGGCAGATCTCTACAAGAAGCAGCATTTGGAATTCCAACGAGCGGAAGCGGCCATCCGTTCCATCATGTCCCAACCGGAGCACGCCCAACGGCTTCTGGATGAACATGATCCTGCCTCAGTGGCTCGCAGTGCCGCCATGGGAGAGTTGCAACAAGCAGCAGTTAGACTTTTGATTTTCTACTGTTTTTTTTTGTGTTTTGGATGTTTGTTTGTTGATATTTGCTGTCAGAATATTGATCCGACCAACTACTGTTTTCCCCTTAGATCGTTCTTTTGAAGCATGTTTTTGTGCAGCTCGTATAAAGTCTTGTTCCCATCCTCAAAACTGGAAGACTCAAACAAAGATGTGCAAAGACATGCGGGAGCTACAGGTAGATTTTCCACCGGTAGATTTTCCAGTTGTCCGAACAAGACACTTTTTTCACGTGACACCGGCCCCAAAACCATCCCCTGCATCCAGGTTGCCAGCCTTGGGTCGCATCAAATGGAAGGGTCCTAGCCTTCCAGAGAACTACATGCCTCCCGGTGGCATCTCCAAGGGCTTGGTGAAAACCGCTCGACCACGGCAGGAAAGTGAGGAGCTCGTGGCCCAATGACGTTGGCAGGATGCAAATGCATCGTTTCTATGGCTGGTGGTTTCAAGGAGTTGTTTTTTTCTTGTTTTCCAGACATGCTGGAGGGTCATCAAACTTGGCTGACATGGTTAAACAACATATATTTTTGATATTATTTCAATGGGTTAAACGATGTTAAAACATGTTGAAACCAGCAGACAGGAAGGGTTTCACTGGGACCAATATCCCAAAGCTGTGCTGAAGCAGCTCAGAAACAAAAACGATGAAAGCTGCGAATGGAATTCAGTGGTCAACTGAAGGCAAAGTACATCAAGGTACCGTGGAGATACCCCACGACACATTCTGTGGATTATTGAAGCACCAGCATGGGAAGTCTCCATGTTTTTGTTAGGCAGAAGGGATAAGCCCTAAACCTTGGATTGTCTTCGATGTTGTGTTCCCTTATCCTTTTTTGAGGGGTAACAGTTGGTGTTTCTCTGTGCATTATCACAAAGTCTTAGCGAGAGTAAACATTAAATTCTATAATTATATACATATTATGGGGATGAACGTGGATCAAGCCAACACGATGACATATCATAAGAAATTGAATCAAAGGTTCGCCATTCCTTGATGCACAATCACATGAGGAAATCAGCAAGTTCGGCAAGTTGAAACCATGGCAGGTCGAGGTGGTTTGCGCGGGGCCCAAGACGGTTGGATTCTGCTGATTCACCAAGCATTGGAGATCATATGAATCATATCACAAGCCTTGGATAGTGATGAATGGATCATGAAGCTGATGAATGATCTTTAGGAATCCTTCGGAGATTCCAATGGATGATGAGCACGTGCCATGCTGTGTGCAGGTTTGGCTTTTGCTTGCAAGAACTGTGCAGACGTGTCGCTTTGGAGCGCGAGAGGCGAGTTTTTGGTCGCTGGCTGTGACAGGAGATGTTCCGTCAAGGTTAGGAAATCATTTTCCGTTCGGCGAAGCAGTTGATTCTGAATAATCCATACACAACTGGATATATTTCATGTATAACTGAGCTGAGTTGTAATAGGATCAATGCCGGGCGATAAATGTAAACGTGTTCAACTTATATATATATATAATATATATAATATATATAATATATATATATATATATATTATATTATATATATATATATTATATTATATATATATTATATTTATATATATATATATTATATAATGCGTGAAACAGTATGAACTTAAATCAATCTGACTGGACACTTACTTGTTTTGGTTTCGGAGAATTCTCAGCTGTTGCAGCAACCTCGCAGATTTCACCTGGGACTTTCAATCTGGCAATGTCGTGGAGATAGAATGGCCAAGGTGGGGCTGAGGCCGTTGGTGATCATACCCTCTGGTAATGACTAACAGGTTGCTATGGAAAATCGCCAATGTATCGATGATTTATGATGATTTATGATGATTCATGATGATCTATGATGATTTATGATGATTTACAGATTTACCTATTAAACATGGTGGTTTCCGTAGCTATGAAATTACCAGCATTACCAGAGGGTAATTGCTGTAGAGGAATGATGATTTGTCGGGGATGGGACCGGCATCGGATCATCGGAAAGTGGCCAAATATCATGTGTGGCAAGCCTGTTGAACCGCACAAGCGCTATGAAAAACTATGGGTCATTATGGGTCAGAGTTTAGTCCGTTTTAGTAGTACCCTCTGGTAATTTAACATAGCTATTGAAAATGGCCATAGAAATAGTGGATTTTCCCATTAAAAATGGTGATTTTCCATAGCTATGTTAAATTACCAGAGGCTAAACTAATGTAAACTATCCCATTTTGGGTACCCCAAGTTTGAGCCATACCCTGCCATGTCCGAGCCTCGAGGATCTCCTGGAGTTGTCAGAGGAGGAGATTTCTCATTGTTTTCCTGCCAAATTCAGAGGCACTATGAGGCACTCATGTTATTTTTTGTTGATGGTTCACTATTTAACGTGAATCCATTTGGGTCATTGTTTTCTCCCATTTTTTTCCCTTAAAGGTCATAAAACTCGGCCCAGTTGCGGAGGACACGGACCAGCTACGCTTCGAGATGGTCGCCTTTGAGACTCCAGAGGAAGCTATGAGTCTCTGGGAGGCTGCCAGCTGTGGTGTTTTCGAAGAAGAAATGGAGGTTTACCCCAAGAATCATTGGGCAGAAATGGAATGGTGCTATCCTATCTGATTTATCTGGCTGGTGTTTTTTTTGAACCTACAAATATATCCAAAACATGGGATGATGATATGGAAGGAATGTCTTGGATTGCAGTGTAGCCACTAGTGGGAATTCTCCAACAGCTAATGATCGGCCAATGGGTGAACTACTTCCATTTCCAGAAATTGGTTTCAATCTATTTCCGTCATTTCCAGAAATGATCATCTTGAAAGGAAGAGCCACCAATTGTATCCATTTGTTCATGGTAGAAATCCGTTTTTCCTGTTTAGCTTCCCTGAGTGTCCCTTGGTTCCCAAGCCAAGTTTCTCATTCCAGGCATGTGTCCTACGACAAGATGTCGGCGTAAGCCTCGGTTTGAAGGGAACATGTAGGGGCCACCTTGGTTTTTATCCCCGAAAGACAGGGTCTTCTTGGATTTTGTTTTAACAAATTAAACCTAAATTGTCACTTCAGATCCGCAGAAGGCAACTGCTGTAAGCCAGCAACTGCACTTGAAAGACTCCATGCTTCTTTGGTTATTTCATGGATTTTGGATTTTGGTTTTGTATACATGGTCTGCATGTGCTAGTGCTGCTAGTGCAGGGTAGAATTAGATAGAATTTGTGCAACATTCGCAGCTTGATTTGCATCCTGCCTTGGCTGCGGAACACAAGCACCAGCTAAGCGGTGTCAGCAAGCCTCCTAAGGACCTACTTCAGCACACTTGTTGGAGCACCCAGCTGATTTCATGCCCAGCCCCTTGGAGGGTAGTAGTCGTACCCTTCAAGCTGCGCATCAGGGCTCCAAATGATGGCTAGAGGGACTTTGTTTGCGTCACATATGGGTCGCATATATAATATATATAATTATATATATATAATTACAACAATTATTAAGTTTAAGTCTAAGTTGCTTATCAATGGTTTCAAGTGTCTAGCACTTGTTCTCATTCGTTTTGGCATCATCTCCAGACTAAGTCGGCGAGGGATCCAACATGTTTTTTGGACGCCGTTGATATCCGTTTGATGAGGCCCTCATTGTATACATATTTGTCTCAAAATGATAGCGCACCAATGGAATGATTGAAGAATAAAGGATCAATGGCATGATTTTGAATGATTGTGCCTGTCCATTGAGTCCGTTGAACTTTATTGGCTCGACCTATCCCTGTCACTTTGATGGCCAGGTTCGTTCGCGTCATGCTCTTCGATGCCCAAAAGCAATCCATGGCAGCGCTGCACTTTGCTCAGGCCTGCAGGGGGATGTTTCCGACATGATTCTGGTTGTGAAATTGTTGAGATACATCATCATATGCCCATCATTACGTCAAAAGATAAACCACAACATTATATGGCTTACCATAAACAGTTCAGTAATGCTTCTTCTTAATGATGTATTTTCGAAGCATTACTGTTGAAACATTTTGGACCAGAAAAGAATCCCTTCGATGTGACTTTGGGTTCAGAAGATGTGCTGAAGTGTTGCTGTTTCCTGTTGCCGCAGGTGGTCAACATGAGCGTTTGTGATCCTGAAATCCAAGCAGATCACAAGGCCATGATTGCCCATGATCACCTTCTATTGGTAAAAACAGGAATTGATGTACCCCAGAAATATGAATTTTGTAGTTGTTTAGCATCATTTTCACTATGAGCATGGCAGTTTTGTATTTGAACAACCCAGCATTTTAGATCATGTTCCCTCTATGTGAAAGTACGTCAGGGTAAATCTTGAATGGTAACTCAAGGTTGCGATTCACCAAGGTCGCTGGGGGGTTCCAACAGGTTCAGGAGACCCTCCTGGTTTTCGAAGCACTTTAGGATGGAATGGCTTGTGACTCTGACTGGAGCGTGTGCCGCAATTTACTTGATATCATTGCAAGCACAATACAGTAGAAGTTACTCCGGGAAAACAATGATATTTTACATACATATTATATGATGGGGTTGGGTCAATACCTATGAAAATACAATTTTTAGGGGGTTATTCACATCCATTTTAACCCAGCTATTTTGATGTGAACAAAAAAGGGGTACTATTGGTTTTGACATTTTTTCCACGGTGGTTTTCCACACCTTTCCTGAAGGCTCTTCAGCAGCTGCTGTCAACTCCCGGGCCAGCGTCCAGTCGTTTGGCCGAGGTGCCTTTCTCGCTTCCAGACGGCACCGGGTTTTTTTTGGCACAAAACCGGTGAAAAAAACATGGTTCAACCATCAAAATCATCAAATGGGGCTTAGTGGAGCGGTTGTTTTTTATTTTTGTTTTTTGAACATAGAACCATATTTTTGCTGGGTAAAACAACTGGATACTGAACTAATTACTCTACTAACATCTACTATATAATCTTTGCACTTGTGTATGCACCACCCAGCGTGTTTTCCATCAATGCGATTGGCCACGTTTGTACTTCAACTTCGCTGCCCAGGTGCTGTCACCGCTGATCCGAGGGAACTGCAAATCCTTTCTGCTGTGCACCGTGCCCTGGTTGATGATTTTTCGGAGGTTCGACTATCCATATAAAATCACATAACATGATATTAAAAGGATATAATACGTATACGCGTATATTGAGAAGTATCATCATCCAACTCAGAATCCCATTCTTAACAAACCAGTATGGAATGACACACGGTTTTGAACGTGGCTCAATGGAGCCTTTGGGCTCTGGCTGAGAAGTTGGTTTGCTGCACCGATCCACATCCAAAGGTCCCCGAACGACCTGGAAAAGGAGACGAGGCACACGGGAAAGTGCTGTTGAGTGTTGATATCTGTTGATGAGATCCGACAGTCCAATGATTTTCTTTCCACGGCTCCACGGCTGTGGAAATCTAGGTCTTTTGAGCGCCGCTGGCATTTCAGAAGCTTTGGATGAAGTCCCTGGTTGAAGATCAATCGCACTGCAAAAGCGTGAGTCGAATATTACAGGAATTGATTTCATGGATTTCAGGGAATTGTTACAGGAAACTATGCTGTTCACACGTGTCGCCCAATTATGTATCTATTTATGTATATGTACACAGTATAAGCTCTAAAAACAACAACAAAGCCAAGTCTGGGATACATATAAAGTCTGGAATAGAGACACAGAGTAGATATACGTATATAATGTATTTTATATAGTATTATACATATTATGCATATGTAGTAATAATAATAATATTAATATACATATTCTCAATTTTATTCTTATTATTTCTGTATATTATATACATGTAGACATATATATATATATATATACACTATATTATCATATTATTATTTATCATTATTATATGTGATTTGCACCAGATGATTTTCATCTCTGTCAGGCTCGGAAGCTCTTGGATCTAGCAGAGCAGGCGTCACTGATCACGGCCAACTGCCAGCGACTGCAGGTGGGGCCCAGGGTGATATTCCCGTATGACGACTGGGAGTTTGTTCAGCCATTTTGTAGGGGAATAATGATTACAGTTATATATATATAACATACTTATAGTTATTGTTATAGTTATTGACATTATTAGAATTATTACTGTCATTGTCTTGTTATTGACATTTAGAATAGCTATATAGATGTATAATTGGAATAACAACAACTATTCTCTGTCATTACCTTTGCTACTATTAATACTCTCATTGTGATGATGATGATGATGATGATGATGATGATGAACATGATCCATTGGAATTGGGATTGTTCAATTTTCAGACACACTGACATCGTTGTGGGAACATCACCGCAATGACAGCTCCAATCTTCACAAGACTCAAACATGTTCAAACATCTGTCTATGCTCTACAGGGCAATTGACATCAGAAAGAGCTGACATGAAGATGATAGGCCATATTTGACAGGACCGCCCAAGGGCGAGATTTCTCAGCTAAGTGGCGCCAGTGGTGTCCCACAGGCTTGACCCATGCCCACTGCACCAGCTGTGTCAGGGTAAACGCTGCGAAGACTTTCATTGGGCCAAGATGGAAGATGTTCTTGGCAGACTTCGATCGTCCCGGACTCTGAGAGCACGATAGGGCTACATATGGGATCATATATGGCTTATGGGCATATTCAACCCAGATCCATGGTATATGTTTCTACATGTGGGTGATGTTGGGGTCAAATGTAAATAAATAAAACAAATATGGATCGATCGTTGGATGCTATGAGATGGTATTGGAACTGTTGGACATTGCTAGAGTTAAGCATAGCGGCGTAGCGATCAGCTTGGTGAAATCAGACACGTCAAACGTGAACGGTTTGGGCCGGGCTGTTACGCCACAGGGGCATGGCATGGATGACTGTTGGTTGTCTGCGCACAAAGGTCATGAAGCCCACATTATTAAATGGCAGCCTTTTGTGCAGAACAATCATATTCCAAACCCTAAAATTTTCAATGGAGACCACCATCCCATCTCTAGTCACATTTGAGGCTCCAACAATTTCTGACCCATACCCATTGGGGTGTGTCTTAAGGTTGGGCTACCCCTTTTCACCATCGGTTTCCAAATGAAAATGACAACAACTTTGATGATGTCCATCTTAAATCATCTCAAATCTCAATAGGGAAACAAAGCAATAGTTAGAAACCATGTTTGGTTTTCCTCAAACATGACTGGATTGCGGATAGTCTCACTTCGGGTTTTGCATTTCCACAGATCGGGACGACGTGATACGACGTGCCAAACGTGCTGGCTTCATCCGTTCTTTGTCACAAGTTCTATGTTCATATGTGAATCTAAATTCATTTATAGGAATGGGAGACTTGATACATCCTTTTTTTAACAATATACTATATCCAGCGTTCAATAGTGGGTTCACTATGGCATTATAACTATATATTCAATCTAACTCTGTGTTTGATTCATGTCTTGGAGTACATATTAACATATTATTAATATATATATATATATTAACTTGATATTAACCATAGTATCACTATTTATCACTATAATTTACCATTTGATACCATTTGTATATTTTTCCTCCAGTCATTTTTCTCCCAGTTGCTCCCGGCCGTGGCTTTCTAGGCCACTTCCTGTCGCAGAGCCCCGTTCGCCCGAAGCGGCCGCGTTGGCGCGGAGGAGCCCCGCTGACGATGCTGCAGGCCTGGGAAGAGCTGATAGATCTTGAGTCCAGTGACAGCAAACCAGTTTGTTGGTTGTTGGTTATAATATATATATATATAATATTACATACGTTTTTACTAATCTATCTATCTATCTATCTTATCTTATCTTATCTTATCTAATCTAATCCTATCTATCTATCTCTCTCTATATATATATATATATTATGGATACATGTTATAGACATGTGCATATGATACCAGCTTCAAGAGGGGAATTCTCATCCCTTCCGCCAGGTCAGAGCTTGGGTCCATCTGACAGCTCAGCATCCAGGACAGATGGCCTACCCTTCGGTACATGGCTGGAAAATCCAGCTTTTTTTTATGGGGTTCTACCATTAAACATATTAACCTTGTACCCCTGGTGAACATCAAAATAGCTGGTAAATGGATGTTCATCCCACTAAAAATGGTACTTAATTATAGGTATTGATCCATAGCCATATATAAACATTCTGAAACCATACTAAAACCTATAATCTTAGTGGATTTTCACATGAAATCCACCATTGATAGGGGATTTCCCTAGCTCTAAACCTCCATTTATAGTGGACATCCCAGCCACATTTGATTGGCGGAGGGTATGTTGGATGGATTTCAGAGTTGTCTTTGTACATTTGCGGAATTCCTATGCCTCCCAGATGAATAACATGACGTTTGGCCGCCACGGTCGGCTTTTCAGGCTGGCTTCCGGAGAGCAACCAACTCGTCCAAGACCGGAAGTTGAAGGCTGGAAAAAAACCACACTGTTCCTTCTGCAACACAGCACAACAGCAAGCTTTACATATTACACGTGGCTTTTTCGGAGTTTGTGTTTCACTCCTTGAGTTGTTAAGTCCCGTTTCGCTTTCAAAAGGTGAAGGTGATGTGATACTTGTCAAAACCCCGGTTGGTTGACTTTTTTTCCGAGAGTCGTACTATCCTTTACATATTGGAGATTATCCATGAACTGGTAATCCCTTTCTTAACCAAGCACTAAAATGCAATGACGGAGGGATCTGAACACTGCAGGCAGCGGAACCTACGAATCGTTGGGGGGCTTGGGCCTGCGGGTCAAAACATGCAAAGACTGTGTATAAAATTATATAAATATAAGGTATAATATGGTATAATATACAGCATACGTAATTTGAAGACCGAATACACAGTTTGAAGATGTAATGTATATTATATATATATGGATAGATAATATGTGTATATATGATTATATATATATGTATAGATAACAATAATATATATATATATATACAGTACATACACATGTATGTGTAGATATACATAGAGTTGGCAGTGGCCACCACTTTTGACCCACTCAGTGGCATCATCATGTCCTGATTCAGTCGTTCTAGTTCCGCTGGAGATTGGGTTCTTGTCACCGTCCACCTGTGGAAGCTCGGAGTAAACATGTCTTTTTCGCATACATATGCACACAAAACAGTGTCAGTGTTCTGTGTTGCATATCTCGAAAAGGACATGCTTGAAAGGCCGATTTTGGGTGGGTTATCCTGATTGTTTCGTTTAGATTTTTCCAAAATTCTTCCATTGAAACTCGTAGCACCTACAAGAGACCTGGGAGACCTTGCGATTTCCAAGGCCCACGCAGCTCGTAGAGGCGCTAGAGAAACAAGGGGCAGAAAAAGCCACCAAGTATGGTCATTTTTGGGGAAAATAACGATGAACCACCGGATTTGGAGTTCCCCATTTTCCAAATCCATTACCCAAGATTCCAAGCTATGGACTGTCACAATCCAAACAGGGATCCTTAGCGCCAACCATTCTAGGGCTCTGATGTTCCAAAAGTGGCGTAAGCGTGTATATATGAGTCAAATCTGCAGATGGTCTCCCCGTTCTAAGGGCGTACATATCCAGTAAGTCTCAGTTCCACTGCTCATTGGTATCCACTAGCCAGGTGTCGGAGCCGCTAGTGGCAACACCACCACCAGAGGGGAACTCTCGAAAGCGTGGTCGCCCACCCACAACGCCCGAGGATTTTGGGCTATCTGGCTGGGGATGCACATCCAGCTGCTTTAATCGGAGCTTTCCAAAAATAGGGAATACCCCCAGAACCATGGGTTTCAATACTAAAGTGGTGCAATTTTGGATGATTTGGAGAGGCTTCCCCCATTGTACCATTATTTTTGTACCTGTCCATTGTGTTTTGCTTGGATTTTCCTATCTTATCTTATGCCCTCTCATTTTATTGGCATTTTGTCCTTAGGCCCCTGCATTTTATTTTATTTTTTTAGGTGCCCCACCCCCCCGGCACCAGACGGGGGTCTTATATGGTCTTATAGCATGTTAGGGTGAAAACCAAGAATAGCAGGGCCAGGCTTTCCATAGCCATGTGGAGGGTTCTTTTGCTGGGCTTACACTTGGAAACTCTTTTAGCAGAAAGTCTGTTTGATGTGCTTGACATCATCATATTCATTTGTTTTGGAGTAATTAATGGTTCTCTACGGGCTAAACATACCGATGCGGCAAGGGTCGATGTTGGACTCTCTTGGATTCATGCTGTGCCAACTGGAGGGTCCAACCGGAGTCGATTTGGTGTGGGCCATGCGTGGCCATGCGTGGCCCACTAGCAGCATTTCCAGGAGAAGAAAAGTGATGAGGCCACTTGCAGCCAGGACCGACTAGGTTGTTTTGAGATCAGATACCAACTTGGCTTCCATCAACTGGACCTGTGTTTGACTCTTTGTGCCATCTGATATCACTGACATCATCACCACCGGCATCTTAATCATTTTAATAATCATCACCACCACCATCACCATCATCATCCATCATGATATTTTTTGTTGTGGTGGGATGGAAGAAACCCTAGATCAGCTGAAAAGGCCGTTGCTATACTGTAGCTTTGCTGAGCCTCAGGCAAACGACAGAAACTGCAAAGTTTCAAACAATTGGCACAGCACACGCGACCTTTATTATCTTGCAAGAGATGGCGCAAGAGGTTCGGGTTGTGAAATCAAAATTCAAATGTCAATACACATAAGTATTAGGCATAGTTGACAAAACGGCAGTTGCTGGCAGTTCTTTTTCAAGACCAACTGAGTAATTAAGTCTGTCTATGGTGACTCGGAACTGCAACACGTAGATTCCACGCCATGTCGAGAAAGTCAAGGAAGAAGGCTCCCCGACAGAAGCGGGGTGCGACCAAGCGCGAAAAGGTAAAAGTGGATCCAGCTTTGCCAAAGGTCGTAGCTGTGACACCAAAGGTGCCACAAAAGGCGACCCCGAAGGTGCCACAAAAGGCGACCCCGAAGCGGAAGCCCCGAGCAAGGGCCACCCCGAAGGCCCCAAAACCAAAGCCCGAACCAGAAAAGGCGCCACCGAAGCCAAAGCCTAGAAAGAACAAGAGAAAAAAGGCTGTGTCTGACTCAAGTGAAAGGCGTCAGAAGATCCCAAAAGCCGCAGAATCGAAGCCCAAACCAAAGTCTTTGTCGAGCACCGAGCCAACAGATTCGGCCAAACGCAAGCCCCTCAAGAGAAGACCAGCGGAGTCTGATTCAGAGTCCAGTGAAACACCTGCCAAGATGACCCCCAAGCCAAAACGAAGGTTGCGGTCTGGCAGCTCAGACTCTGATGACTACGTGAGGTCACACATCGTGGAGCAGCACGAGGCGGGAATTTTGGTGGACCAGCTGACCTTTGAGAAATCAGTTGGGTTGGATATCATGGCAATCCCTCATTCTAATAGGACCTGCAACAGAGCTGCTCCAACCTTTTATCGGTAAATGATAGTCACAAAGGAATACAAAGGGGGTAAATGGATGTAAATGGATGTAAATGGGTAGTTTTACAGTTTTACCTAGTATTTATTTTATACCCAATTTACTCCCCTTGTACTTGGGAGCGGGTGCTATAAAGGCAGTGTCTGAGATGCAACGCGATACGCCGCAACATGCGATTTAACGTCCGTCTATCAGGTTCTGAGATATTCTCCGTACATTTATGGAAAAGAAGGATTCGCAAAACAATGATAAAAGCAGAATGACCGTAAGAACTTATCAACAATATGCGAACCCTCATCAAACAGGCACAAATTCCAGTTGTTTGACATTTTTGACTTGCCTTCGGATGCCAGTTTTACCTTTTGGCATCTTTTGGCAGAGCATAGCACTCCAGGGCCATCGTCCCTATAAGGAAGCACAAAATCCTTTCTGGCACCAGAAGTACGGAGCGGACCTTATTATGTGCTGAGACATGTGAATGACAAATGATGCAAGTTCTTGTGGGACACATTGCTACAATACCTACTGTAGGGCCTCCTCAGACTTAAATTTCAGCCCGAGCTCAAAAAGGCTATTTTTCTGCCCGAGCTTCAAATCCGTCGGAGTCCCAACCATCCGCCTAAAGCCTTTTTGAGCATGGTGTTTTAACTACGAGGCAATCGTCTTTCAAAATCAAAAAAACCAATGGAAATAATTTAGGGTGTTGTTCTAACACGTTTTCTTTAGGACTTTCTGTACCCTTAACTTTTAGTTTTTATACCCTTAACTTTTAGTTTTTATACCCTTAACTTTTAGTTTTTATACCCTTAACTTTTAGTTTTTATACCCTCAACTTTTAGTTTTTATACCCTTGACTTTTAGTTTTTATACCCTTAACTTTTAGTTTTTATACCCTTAACTTTTACTTTTTATACCCTTAACTTGGAGTTTTTATACCCTTAACTTTTAGTTTTTATACCCTTAACTTTTGACTTTCTGTACCCTTAACTTGGAGTTTTTATACCCTTAACTTTTAGTTTTTATACCCTTAACTTTTAGTTTTTATACCCTTAACTTTTGACTTTCTGTACCCTTAACTTGGAGTTTTTATACCCTTAACTTTTAGTTTTTATACCCTTAACTTTTAGTTTTTATACCCTTAACTTTTGACTTTCTGTACCCTTAACTTGGAGTTTTTATACCCTTAACTTTTAGTTTTTATTTCCTTAACTTTTAGTTTTTATACCCTTAACTTTTACTTTTTATACCCTTAACTTGGAATTTTTATACCCTTAACTTTTGACTTTCTGTACCCTTAACTTGGACTTTTTATACCCT